ATATTCCTTCCCATGCACGGAACGTCGCGTAATTCAGCAATCTCGCAAATGTGGCGAGCGTTCTATCGACTTAATTGCTTTACCCTCCTTAAATTTACAAGGCAGCGAGAACTTGGCTCGTGTACTTTGCCTGTCAGACTCTGCTTCTTCGTCGGGAGTAGCGGCATGAGGCGCACCGCGGACCGTACCTTTTCTTTTTGTCACGACCATCCAGTTTTTAGACGTATCGTAACGACGACATTAATATCGCGTGCAACAGCTCGTGCAGCTTTTAACGGAGCCCCGAATGCTCGCGGAAAGCAGCGAGCTGATTGCGGGCGTGCACTTTGAAATAGCAGAATGTAAATTAATGCGCCAAACGGGTTGCGCTACTCTTTGGTATATTACGTTTACGGTGTTATTAAAACGAGATATCATTTGTTCTCCCATGGGTATGTATTGATACCTATGGATACAAATTTGTTGGTGAATATGTTTTAAATAAACATCTATTAGTTACAGCCAATTTGTTCGAATAACATCGAGAGAGATTGTGGCTTTATATTTATATGTCGTCAGTAAAACGTAGTTATTAATTTTTTACGATCCGAGCAGCTAAATGCAGTGTATAAAGGATGTTCGAGTAAAAGCGGTACATTCTGAATTAATAATGTTTTCCTCGATCCAAATCGCTTCACGATTTATCAGATGTACGCACCTATGGGACACGCTATATTCCGATGTTGCGCTGCTAATACATTGCTCAACATTGTCGATATCTCTCTGATATCACAAACATTAAATATTCAAAGAAACATGATTTTATTTTCGGTACCACGAATAGTTGATGGATTTCCTGTCGTCATATTGTGGTTATTCTCATCTCGCGATGAATATTGCATATACATAAATCGAGATATGGCGTATCTAAGTCGACAGTTCTAATTTTTCCCGCAGTAGTACTACAAAGACTAAAAATCAAATTGCAACTTTTGATATTAATATATCTGTTTCATTTTAAGGAGTACATTTTATTATATATGTATAAGGAATATTTTCTAAATATAGTAGCAGCTTATAAAAATTTCGTCATATTTATAGGTTTGAAATGTGTAAGAGAGAACGAAGTGTTAAATATAAAGGCACAAAATTAATATTTAAAAAAGGTACGCATACAAAATGATATTATTTGTATCTAAATATTATTATGAAACACTAGAAGATTAAAGAAGCAGGAATGTTTATATAAATATATTATAAAATCAAGAGAGTTATTTCTTAAATAAAATGCATGTTTTATATAAATTACAGATTAATCTTATTTGATTAATTAATCCCTCACAGAATTGTCGAATCCTGTAATCAAACGTGATCTCCTTAGGGTTCAAGAGCTTCGCGAGTGAGTCGAAACATTCGTACGAAAAACTAGCGAATACAAACGCGAATCATGAAGCACACCGCGAAGTAACCGACCCTTGAGTTTGGGATCCTATTGACTTACGGTTCGTCTATCCGGTGAACACAGAAGAGACAGAGCGTGCGCTGGTCTGTTTAATGAACAAGCTTGAGCGGTTTGATTTGCATTGCGCGCAGTCACGCTCCGCTCGCGGTGCGAATTTCAACGTAGCAGCCTCTGCTACTCGGTGGCCACCTGAGTAACGTGAGATACCTGCACGTTGGCACAGCCCGCCCTGAGACGCGTAATGCGCCCGGGTAGAGAACGCTTTAAGGGGCATTCCTGTCGCGCCTGCATCGCGCCGTTGCGTTATCGCGATTCAGCGTCGAGCACTGCCATCGAATGACAGTTTCCTGTGTCAAAGCATACCCGGTCGCTGTTACACAACGTGATCAACCCCCGTGCGCAACCCGTCGCCGCCTCCCTCACCCCCAGCTGCTGCCTTCTTCCATCGAGAATCGCGCAATTCGAGCGGCAAATGCAATATTGTGGCCTCGCCGCCGAGACACTTGAGACAAAATGGCATGCTTTCGCGCGCGATTTGCCCCTTTTTTTCCCGTTACTTTCAAAGGCTGCACTTCCCGAAAGCTCTTAGATCCTCTTTTCGCGCATCGTTTTACGTGTATTTAATTACGTACATAACTTAAGAGGTTCTCCAAATTAAGCAATTAAAATGAACACTTTTTAATACACCCGTTTAAAGTTTCATCAATTTTCATCGAGTTGCAATGCACGTTTACATATTATTTTCATGCGCATATGCAAAAGCTTATTGTAAACTTCAGTTTAGTAAAAACACAAATGTTTGTTACAAATTTTGGAAAAACATAGTATAACTCAGTTGGTTCATATGTATATATTTTATTTTTATTTTCATAATATTCAATTTTTCGAGAATTGAAATTGTAATAAAGTTTTGGTCTTTATGTCTTTCTCTTTCTCTCTCTCTCTCCTGCTTGTATTTATATAAATAAAATAAATAAATGTATGTATATGCATATATATCTTTATTTATCTATTTACTTTATTTTATATACATCTAATACATAAACAATTTCTCTCTTGCCATGTAAAATTGTGTTTTATTTAGCTTGACGAAGCATCGATAGCATCACTTCAGTTTTATTAGTCGGAGCCCAGCATCGTGTTTCTTTTTCCTACTCTTTGTGTTTGGTACTTATCAAGTCACTTTTTCAATCGCACGAGTGCCTCTTCGCATTAGTCGATGGTACAAATGTGAAAACGGGTTGCCACGTTCGCGGCTTGAGCGGCAAACGCGACTCGGTCATGATCAGTAAGTGGAAACGGACGAGCACGCGTGCGGCCTATGAAATTGGAGTCGAACTTGTGAGCGGGCGAATGTTTATTTGAAATAGGATAGCCGGCCAACGATTGCACGCTCCTGATTTCGAAACCCGAGGGGACTCGATCATTGAACGAGCCCGGACGAGCGACTAACGAAAAAATTGCGTTCGCTGTTTGCGGTCCGGCTGTGTATCATTCGGAGACAATTAACAATTGACTTTGTGCGATACGAGAAGAGTCGAAGTGGAAAAGAATGAAATTCTAGTAATGAAAACAATATCCGTTAAAATTAAACGCTATCCGGAATTGAAGTAATTTGTATAAAATTTCTTTCAATAATTATCTTATATACAAGAATAATCTATTTTCTAAACTTAGTTATTGTTTCTGACTCTGTAAATATTAGGTATGTAATTTCCACGACTTTTTTAAAAGATATATTTGTTAATACTAAAGATACAAACATTTCAACCAAAGTATTTGGTTTTCGAATCTATTACTTTTTGCCATCCTTCGGAGGTATTATATAGATATTTTATAAATATTATATTGTTTATGTATTACAGATGTCACGACAAAAGAATACTTCGTAGCGCGATTTATGAAAATCATATTTAATTTTTTAAATCAATCTTGACACGCTCTTTCCGATGCAATATTGTCTTCGTAAGTTTCACAAATTGTTTTAGTTGTTTCAGCGGCGGTTTTACCGCAATGAAAATAGTGAAGGTAATGGCGAATATATGCACCGTTTCATTTATTTTTAATTAAACTAAAATGAACATGGAGAAAAAAAATTGTTCATTTGACTATATTAATTTAATTCATCTTTCCTATATATTTTTTATTGGAGAATGTATGTATTTAAATCAAATATAATATCTTAAATACATATATACTTCACATCAGTTATAAAACACACACACACACATATAAACGATTTAAATTAATTTAATCAAATAAACAATTTTTTCTCAGTGTAGTTAAATGTTTAACTGCGGATTGTTATGTAACTTTCGAAACTAGATTAATCAACCTTACTAATGAAAAAGTTGGGCGCGAAAATATAAATACACTGTTGTTATAGCACTATCTAAAAGTGCAATAAAAACAAATTGACAGGCTCCAAAAAATAAATCAACCAAATATTATACCTATGTAAGCCAAACACAGGGTGTTGACGTGTAAAGAATTTATTCAATTAGTATATAATGTGACAATAGACGTTTCGATCCTATTGTGGATCCTTTTCAATATCTTAATAACATTCAATATGATAAATTTAAACATTGATAAATCATACAATTACAAACTGAGCTTTAAGAGTAATTGTAATTGTATGATTTATCAATGTTTAATTTTATTATATTAAATGTTATTAAGATATTGAAAAGGATCCGCAATAGGATCGAAACGTCTATTGTCACATTATATACTAATTGAATAAATTCTTTACACGTCAACACCCTGTGTTTGGCTCTCATAGACATAATATTTGGTTGATTTATTTAAAATTGATCATGGGAACTTATTTATACACCTAATAATTCAAAAATTTTTCCATTTGGCTGAATGAATCCGTCTAATCGGTGAGAGATCGAATTGTTTATTGTGTTTTTTCCTCGCGATCTTGTAAAAATCATGAAACTCGTATGATTCGCGATATTAAAAACGGCGCATGTTAAGAAGAAAAATGAGAACTGTGACGCGTCTATGCAGCAAAGCGCTATCCGATCTACAACCTCTTATCTTGCAACCTTATCCTTGTCTCTTACGGCCACTGCCTCACCTTTGAAACATTATCCGCCGCTACGTACGACCTTCTCAGAATTTATATTAAACAAACGACTCCCATTATTGGTTTATTCGTGTGTTGTCAGGCAAGGTAGGATCAATTCAGTGAATCTCGCTCAAGAGCGCGAGTCTCTTTTCACGGCTCTGAGCTAACGTAACTCGCTTATATGCAATATCAACCCGAGACTGAATACCTTCTTGTTTTGGAAAAAAAATCAAATCTAACGTTTGATGGCTGAGAAGGATCGAATAGTTATCGGAAAATACGCCTGAATTTGAGATCAAAGAATCAAATACCTCTTTGCCGTCTAACTAATATCCAATGCACTATATTCTAATGTATCATAATTACAATTATGTCGGGTATATTTTTAGAAATTGACTAAAATGTTGTAATTTTTTTTTTAATTTTGGCAATAATGACAATAGCTTTCGTATATAATAATTGATTTCTTTCTGTGTACAGCTTGTTCTTCGACCGAGTTCATATGCAGAAACGGGCAATGCATCGACAGTAACAGATACTGCGATGGCGTGCAAGATTGCCACGATGGATCCGATGAACACAATTGCCGTAAGTATCGTTTCCACATCTGAAAGATGATCGCCTGTACTCATCACAGTTATTTGCATGTGCATGCAGTTTGGACTTGTAACGGTGGTATCGCGCATTGCTGCGCTGCGATTGTAGCTTCAGAATTCGTCTTCGTCCTTTTTAATAATCTTTTAATAAGACTATATATGGCACACATAAAAAAACGTAAGCAGTAAGACATAAGCAACGTATATGTGTATAAGCAAAAAACTTTTTGCTTACATCATTATTTTTACATTTTTATTGTGATCGACCGATTCGCTTACGCTTTACATTTTACATTTTTTTGTGTGCCACGGCCTTTAATGTACTGGTAACTATGTTAGTTAATTCCGAAATAATATTACACTTTTGTGCGTCCTTACAAACAACATCCACAACTGAAAGGTTTACTGCAACAGTAGGCTAATCCACATTTTATACACAAACAGAGAAAATTAACTCTAAAATTAAAGATTAGGGGAAACAACCCATACAGTAAGATCTTCAGGGGATGTCCTCTAAACGTCTTAAGGACGATTCCCAGGATGTTTCTCGGATAAAGTGTGCTGTATAGGAATGGATTACCTCACATTTTTACAAAATGTGGATTATTCCACTAGTAATAAGCCCTTTCATTTTCAAACGATTAAACCTTCTTATACAAGCCGCGCAAATTGTCGTTAATAATTCAGAACACCATTTTTATGCATTTTCAAGATAGAGATCAATTATTTTTATATTTCAAACTCATAAATATCGTATTTTTATTTTAAAAGAAAATAGAACTCGATTAAAAGGAATGAGCTTTCTACAATAAGCCATTACCTAAGCTTCAATCTTAAGCCGTAAGAAACCAATCATAGTCGATTATTCTTCTCACATTCGACTATAACTGGTCAATTTTTTACGGCTTGAAACTTAAACTTATGTAAGTCCGGATCTACAATAGGTGTTTTAAGCCTTAAGCCGTAAGAAATTGACCAACTACAGTCAAATACGAGGAGAATAATTGACTATGATTCGTTCATTTCTTATGGCTTAAGGCTTAAAAATCTATTGTATATCCGGGTTAATGGCTTATTGTAAAAAAAAACCAGAAGGCGCTTCTTATAACACTAATACGGATAATTTTACGCTAATTGCGTGAGCGGAAATAAGCTTTGTAACCAGATCGTTCTCGCACGTACGAATCTATAAGACCTGTGCGTGCTGATAAAGGTATCTTCACGCGGAATCATGAACTGATACTGGCGACGCCCTTGCACGTACCGACATTATTTATCGCTAGCGAATACCGCACGACAGATTTGCATGCGACTGCGCCGGAACTAATGGTCGCGGGCTGTCCGACATATTACGATGAGCTCAATAATTATAATAACTGTGACAATAACAATAGCGTGCTCGGGGAAAGAAAAAAAAAAGAATATGGGAGTCGTAGTGGGCGGCAGTGGTTGACGATGGCGTTCTTCGGCCTCGTGTTTAAGGCCGTTGCACCCGTATACTGCATCGACATCCGTTTTCTCTCTTCGTTCAACCCTGTATACCAACCCCCTCCCCCTCTCTCGCTACCCTTTTCAACCTCAGCTTATTATTTCCGTCGTCTTTTGCGGAGGCATGCTTCGTGGCCGGTCCGCCCGTGTACGACCGCGTGCACATCGCTAACTTATTCTCAGTTAAAAGGCATAATTTTAAAAAAATTGAAATTTATTTTACGATCGGTAAATCGTGATTCGAACGGGAATGCTTGGTTTGTATACACAGAAAAATATATACTATATGCAGATAGCAATTATTGTTTTCAAGTATTTCAAAGGTTTATATCCTTAAATAGGTATATCGTAAGTTTATCTTAAACGTCCAAATTATTCAAAATATATTCTGAATCCTAGTAAATTTTATACTTCAACAAAAGAGAGAGATTATAAAATTAAATTAAATTAAATCACTTTACTTATTATATAAATAATTTTCTACGACGAAATTTTATAATATTCTTAATAAAAAAAGTAATTTTTTGTTTTGAATACATATAATAAGAGTTTCACTTTCTCTTCTCTTTTTAAAATTTGTAATAAATATATTTTAAGACTATTATCAAGAAAATATTTTTTGTTAATAATAATCGTTACTTAAAAGAAAAAAAGTTAACTGAATAATCACTTTTCTTAACAGTAGAATGATATTTTTCTGTGTGTAGAAGTACAATGCCAAAAATTAAATCAGCATGACATAGTTATTATATGCTTTTAATTTTTATTAAGTATATAAATCATCTTGAAGGTTAATTAAAGAAATGGTTAATGGAAGCATCGTGATATACAGTCTTTATGTCGTAATGTAAGAAACATTGCAGGTATCCAGTTCGAATTATTTCACAGTTCATAAACACGCTGCAATTTGCGATTTTATGCAGCAATAATCCATTAACGGAAATAACCATAATGAGAAACAACGCGTTTGGTGACGCATGTCATGTTTATGTAATTTTACGACGCTTACGCGTCCATTTGTAAATGCTAACATCATGATAGTGATAATTGTGACGCACGAATGTATCAATGGAGAATTGACTGCCGATTTCTTATTCATCTTCTCGCATATAATTTTACTGCACATCTCATCAGCGGCTGCATGAATGTCGTTAGCGTAGAAGCGCGGAAGACGATTAAAAGGAGAGAAAAAAAAAAGATCAGACACGGAACACTCCTCGTCCCCCGGCAAATCTGGGATGGCCCCCTGTCGAACGAGATTTACTCGCGTTTATTAATCCGCCCTAATAACCGGCCGCAATTTTAATCCGACGTTAATCTCCCATGGGCCGTCAGCTGAACATCGCGCCAGGCCCTTCCATCATGGCTCTGTCCCGGAATTTCGCATTTTCACCGCTTTAATCCAATTTTGATTCGTGACAAGAGCGTCGCACGTCCGCCGAACTTCTCCGCCGCTCCACGAAAATCGGTCACGCCGCGGAATCGTGTCAAGCTATATGGCGAGAGTCATCATCCCTGTAAATCCTCGGCACGAGATTATGTTTGTTTCTCGCTGTTTGTCGACGACGTTACGTTGCGCCAGCGAGTGATATTTTCGCGGCGGCTTATTTTGACGAATTCGAAAGTTTTAATGGCCTCAACAAAATTCGTTAGAAGACATCACTGGCTGCGTTCAACAGAAAAAGCAATTGCAACTGCTAAGATTCTTTAATAGTCTAAATATATTAAGAAATAAAATGGGCTAATGGGAATTAACGCTTTAAGTCTTGCGTGATTAATTAATTATAAAAAGCATATTTTATCCGAATCAAAAATACGATACAAAGATAACACATTCTTTAAATTCTTTGGAGTAAAATCTCACTCTAAAGAGTGAAAATTGAACCAGTCTTGAAAAGAAGTGGTTTAATTTTCAATCTTTAAGAGTGAGATTTCACTCTTCAGAATGAGCTTCCACTCTAAAAGTTTTAGAGAGTATGCGTTTCGGCTAACCTTCTAGCCATCTTTAGCAAACGCTAACACAATGAAGATAAAATAACAATATGCTTAAGATCTATTACTGTATACCTTTAGCAATAGTGTTCATGAAGCGGTCAATCATTTCTTCATTAGAGAATAATTTCAAACCAGTTGAAAGGTTGAAGGATACAAAATGATCGCTTAACCTTATTAGAACATAAACGATGAACATACTTTCAAAGAGCAATTTAAAACCAAATTATGTATTATATAATAACAATAATAATAGTATACAATATAAATCGCAAGTTCAGTAATAAAACAAAAATTGTAGCCAAAGTGTAACACAAAGTGATCATACATCAAATAAGATTAAAAAGTAATAACGTGACGATATATAGAGAAGTGAATATATATAGAAGTGAACACTTGCCATATCAAAGTTTAAACTTAAATTCTTTAAATAAATGCAATAAAATTAAATTGATAAATAATAAATTGAACAAATTAAATTCTTTAATATGATTGGTTCTTAGCTCCTCCATTGGATTTAAACGTATAAATCAATCATAAGAATCTTACAACAGTTGGAAAACTGCTTCTTCTGCTAAACGCAGCTATTGTCACGTATTTATCGCCACGCAAAGGAAATTTACACTATATCTCGAGTAATTCAAGATTATTTTGGTTTTACGGTTTATCTGATTTAGCAGTTAAACCGTTAATTTCTTAGCGCGTACGAGGGATCATTTCTAAACTACTCTGAAGCGCGAACGAACCGCCTCGAGCATCGAGCTCGTGAGCGGATTATTGAACTCGCAGCTCGTTTGCAATTCAATCGTCAAATGGGTGAGGCTTCGGGGCAGGCCTTGAACTTAAGATGATCTCAGAAATCGCAACATCTCCCATCGCTTTATCAAGCGACTCACGACTCAGCGTGCTGTCTCACGCCCGTTTCCGCGTCATCTCGCGATGATTTAAGTCCGTTATTTCTCTCTTTGTAACAAATTGGAATGAAAAAAAAAACAGATTTGCTAAAATTTACGTTACAGTAGTGCGATTAATCTCGCAATCAGCCATATTAATCGTTATCAACTCCTGTCGCGAAAAATTGACAACAAATAAATTTTTTATAATTGATAGCTCTCACTCTATTCAATGACAATTAAACGAGTATAATTGAAACTTCTGTAATTCTATGTCGCCGCTTCACTAGATGGGATGAGATGTGAATTATTTATTTCGCATTGCGGTTTGAACATTTGATAAAGTGCCATTCTATTTTTCCGTAATTTTTCGGTTCTGGTTTCCACCGCTCTGGTTTTTTTTTTTGTTTGTAGTAGCCGATTAATTTTTCTACGCGGCCAGAATACTTCAGCGTGATGATCGCGATGAATATTTCAATAAAAGAGATCAAATTTTAGCACGATTGTGCGAAACATCATTATGTGAGATGTAACACCGCTCCTCTCTTTCCTTTCCTCTCAAGCTTTATGTGGACGATAACTTAGCGTTTACCAGGAAAAGTGTTGGGACTTTTATTTCTGTCGCTTTCGCTCGTAAAGAACTTTCCACTACGCTTCAATCGCGCTATCCCTTGCGAATTCGCGTGACTTACGTCTGTCCACGTGTGTATTTCGTCTCTGCGTGTATTCGTGCAATAATAGTCGTCGACGCGGTTAAACGTAAAGGTAACTGTTGGTCGTCACGCAGTGTCCTTCCGCGGGCAAGCAAGTTCTTTCATGTTCTTCCATCGTTAACTAATTGCCGCTGTAAATTAGAGTACGGCAGGAAAGAGTACGACGATTGACGTAACTCCTCGTTCATTTATAATCTCTTCCGTGAAATTTTCTCAAATACGTGCTAATTAATGGCCTAGTCACTTGGGCGTGCTTAACGCGTTTCGCTCGGCCACTAATTAGTTCATCTTAAGAAACTCTTTCCATCCTATCTTATATCATTGCGCCGCGCGATCCCATGTTAGAATTGTTGTTTTGTGTTCTTCAGTTCAGATCACTTTGACATCTCGGTATCTGTCTTTTTTAACTACACTCTTTGTATGTTTAATATTTCGTGAAGCAGTAATATGAATATTTAGATTTTAGAAAATTGCAGAATATGATATTATACTCTCTAATTTTTTTAGAATAAAATATTCTCGGAGTGAAATCTCACTTTTAAAAAGATTGAAAATTCTGCCACTCTTTTTCAAAAATAGTAAAAATTTTTTCACTCTTTAGAGTGAGATTTCACTTGAAAGAATTTAGAGAGTATAAGAGACTACGAATGTAGCTAAGCAAAACAGACCTAAACTTTGCGTTGCTTACTTGCTTTCTATTCACTTATGTACAAGTGAACCTAATTTAAATATCTGTTCTTTTCTTAAACATTATTCTTGAACATTACCTCGGAATGCAGCTTAATTTATTCGTCGATGAAATTGTTATTCGTTACTGGCGGTCATTGTGCTTCCTACATCATTGTATCTCAGTGTTACGTCCATTCAGCAATGTATGCCTAATCTTCGTCAGCGTCATTCTCTCAACTGTGTTTTGTACGTGTCATCTCTCAAATTGACCTGCATCAGTCGAGTCATCGTGCCGTTCTCGACGACATAAATCTTCCCAGATTAGCCTGAGTGCAATTCTTACAGCCTGCAAGGAAGACCAATTCGAATGCGCGCCTGGTTATTGCGTGCCCTTATCACGGCGCTGTGACGGATACACGGACTGTATCGGTGGAAGGGACGAACAAAATTGTTACAACATGAGTACGAATTATCACTATTTACTCCAATCAGCTGCGAAACGACACACTCAGCGCGAAACATGTAAATCAGTCGGCGTTGGAATAACGTGGCCGCACATCTGCGCACGAAATGGCCTTTACGTTTGCCAAGAAACTCATTTGACTCGTTAAACTATTTAACAAGAAATGTCGCGATAAATTTTTTGCTGTTATCAAATGGGTATCAAATTGCGTACATTGCGCAACCCGATGACATTCTAGAGTCGCATTACGAGCGGTCACTGTGAAATTCCAATGCCGATAATTACGGGGACACGAGGTAACTGAGAACTGTTTTATTTCCTTTTTTTTTTTATTTCGTGAAATTTGGTAATCGAAACAAATTGTATCCGCGATCGAGTTTTGAGGGACATCGGTCTCGTGTTCCCGTGTCGCATGATTCGCGATACTCGCGCACACGAGACGTCCAGAACGTTTCGCAACACGCATCTCTGCGGCGAGAGGTAGGTATGAATTCTATTGCATCTTTTGGGTATATGCGGTGGAAGGGTTATACGACATACGCGAATTTTCCTGCGTGAACGATGCCTGCGCAGCATGATATTTGAAAGTTCCCGCATTTTTAACTCATTAGGAAGTAGCGCATGATAATTTACGCATGCGACTCTGGTTACATCATAAAGTTATGCAGAAACTCGCGAACAGGTATTCACACTTGCAATAACGCGACGGCGATTCTTGCGCATAATTATTCATGGATATGTGGTAGCACATATGGCTGCGAATTTACTCCGCAAAACAGTCACAAGCAGTTAACAACGATACGCGGAATAACCGTTTTCCAACTGTCGGGAATAAATTAAATTTCAACAAGTAATTTTAAATCCGCTCGAAAGAAACTCACACGATGCTTTACGACAGAGGTTTTTTTTTTAAACCAGACTGATCTGAAATATAGATGCGAAAATTATTTGGACATAAATACACATATTGATCGGAATCAGATAAATTTTGTAGTTGTAAAATCGAAATTTGATCCGCTATTAACAAAATGAAAAATCCAAAAAGAGTTCTCACAAACCAATTACAAAACAGGCTAATGAGAATCAATTTTGCGGTGAATCACACATGCAATAAAATATTTAATACATATTACTTATACAATTAATCTTCATACGTTTCAGCCATCATTCGGGCCATCTTCAGTGAACAAACTTAGATAATAATGAAAATCTTCTAATCCGATTGTATAAATAATATGTATTAAATATTTCATTGCATGATTCATCGCAAAATTGACTCTCATTAGCCTGTTTTGTAATTTATTTGACAATTTCGAGAGTTATAAGTTGAGGATTTTGTTATACGCTGAAATAAGAGTTCTCACAAATTAAAATTTTAAATACGCTCTAAGTATACTATGAAACTATCATATTTTAAGGTAAAACATATCTAATCAGCTTAATTGATTTATAGAAAGATACGTTTTTAGATTTTACGTCTCGCGATGAGCAGCCGAAGTCACCGACACGAATTCTAAGCATAAAAGTAACGTGACTCTACAATTTATACTTATTGTAGGTCAAATGGATTTTTGTAAATAGTTGCCATTTTTAATTAACTAAAGCGGGCTATCGAATACTTCCGAGCGTGGCATGGATTCAATTGATTATTGATATCGTGTAAATTGAATATGCTTCAGTAACTCGTTCAAATTGCGACAATAATCAATAAAACTCGAGTCGACAGCTCTTCAGTTACTTTGTACAGACAGAGAATAAAAACTTTTAACTAAATCAAGGTATCGTTGTGTGAAAGTGCTATCGTATCGCCAATGAGGATATTTGTTTTGCGTATTTTTTTCGTTTATCCACTATCCTATCTCTTTTTTCCTCTCCCTTATTTTATTTATACACATTTTTATTTTTTTTCTATCAAATAGCACATTTTTTTTTCTCTTTCAAATAGCACGATGTCGAGCGGATGAATTCGAGTGCGCCAGCGGTTCGTGTGTCAGCAAAAATGCAAGATGTGATGGACGAAACGATTGTCTCGATCATTCTGACGAATATAATTGCAATGGTGTGTTTGTTTATAATTTTTTCTTTTTATTATCGATATTTTATCTATTGAATTTTTTATATATTTTATAGCTGTTTACCCATGAAACATAATTAATAATCACATATTGCATCAATATTATAATTTCTAACTCAACAATAATATAAATGTAACATAAAAAATATTGTGTATAACAGTGACATTGTTGAGTAGAAAATTATACATTGATGTAACGTTATTATTAGTTTATGTTTTCTCTCAACGGGTTAGAATAGATTTAAGTTACAGATAGTTTTTTAAAATTATATTTTATAGTTAATTATATTTTTATTGATTATATTTTATTAATTACATTTTTATTATATTTTTAAATTATATTTATTTTTTATTGTACAGTTTATTAGTCATAAATTGGAATAAATCTCGGTTAATGACGAAGAGGTGAATAATTTTATCGCTAAGCTTTCGAGTAATTATTATTTCGTAATTCAAAATATTATATATTTAAATATGATCTTGTATATGATAAATTATTATATTTAATAAACTTTTCATTTCTCTTTATATCGTCGTTTTCAGTGACCACCTGTAGTGGGGATCAATTCCGTTGTCTAGATGGCATCTGCTTAAGTATCGACAAGCGTTGCAACGGAATCCACGATTGCCGTAACGGCGAAGATGAGAGCCAATGCGGTAAGTTAATTTGTTTTCCTCCCCTCTTTGAAACATGTATTTATTCGATCGGTTTATTCTTACATCTTGAGAGCGCGAGAGCAGAATATATCAATGAGATTTTCTTAACAATACAGATTTCAACGGAGTCTGTCTTATACATCTCCGTTATTTCTGCCTTCGTCGTCTCTAATTGTATCGTCTTTGTTCATCGACAACGTAAATCCTACGTTGTTGCATGTTCTAATCGTGAGGTCAATAATCACTTTTGCACGCGCAACGATAACTCCCGCAACGGTTCCAGCAATAAGCCGCGATAAGCCTGCACCGATGCTCTTTGCCAAGTGTCGGTTACCCGACGCGATTATTCACGAGCGATCGAGAGGGGCGCCTGAGCTTAAATGAGCCTCAAACGCGCCTGCGAAGTTTAACAACAAGATTGCAGGCACTTTGATAAGTCTCGCGAGTAAACCTAGCAGTGATCTCATTCGAACACGTGCTTAACGTCGTGGAAATAACGTCGCAAAGATTGCGATTTGTATATATGCGCATATATCATCATCCGAATTTTAAGCATCATTATTTTTTTAATCAGTCATTTCGTCGCGGATGAAAACGTTTGTCTCTTTATTACAATAGTGAACTCTACGAGTACGCGAGCAGAAAAGCGTTTACGCTTGCACATAATTAGACGCTGACGAGCGGTTACGAAGGTCCGGCGTTGGATACACCATTGCGCGCTGTAACGTGAATAAACGTAAACTTAATTTTCTCCGGCACGCTCCACGTGACTTTCGATTTACGATTTTCCACGCTGACCGAACTTTATGCCCCCAGCGCGCAACGCCGAAAATAACACCTCTTTTCCTGAAATAGTTTAGCCAATGTCGTTGCACCATTACCTCGCCTAATCCAGGTTTCGTTGCAACCTAAACCGGAGCGTCCACGACCGGTCGTGTGTGAAGAAGGCGGCGGAACTTTCAGGAATTCCCGATGTACTCGGACCGTTTCGTTACGACGTTACCTAAACTCGCTTTAATTAATCGACTTTTAAGCGAACCGCATCCGACATTCCTGTAACCAACACGCGTGGAGAGCGAAGACATCAATCCTCGCTGCCGATCGAAGATAAATTAATCGCGTAAAGATAATCCAATAGTCCACGTCATCCTGTTGCGATTGACTTATCTTCTTGATTGAGAATGCAGATTGCTGTCCTTCTGCTCTTGTATATTCCCTGTATATTTCCTTCGTTCATATACTAACCTCAGCAAAAGCAGCACAGCTCGAAGCATCTCACACCAGGTAAAGGTGCGTCCGCTTCTACCGTCCAGATTATAGTATATAACGCTATATGCAAATCGTACTCTCTGACCCACGGTGTCACTTACACCGCGTGATCATAAATATGCCGCCACTAGGCGAAATTATTTAGCATTACGCCCAGTTTATTCTGTTAACGCGCATTTTGGACGGAAGAAGTCGGAGTGTCGAAGGGCTTGCTTGGAGCCGCGATCGCGCGGCTTTGTGCTGGTGGATCATGAGTGATCCTGGAGGGATGGGAACACAACTTGAGGACGGGGGCTGACACGCGTTAGCGAGGCGATGCAATCTTTAAATGCGCATGAGTGTATGGTGTATGGAGCAGGTTGCGGAGACACCGAGTTTCGCTGCACGGACGGCCGCTGCATCAACTACGTGTTGCAGTGCAACGGGGTGAACGAGTGCTCTGACGGCTCTGATGAGAGGGACTGCGGTAATTATGCCACACCACACTTACCTACACGCTCTTTCTTCTACACAATACTGAAACACATGTACACGTTACATCACACTTGCGCGCGTGCACGAGACAAGTCATTCAATAAATACATTCATAATGTCGCGAGCTGCGTTTGGACAATGTACACGGGATGACGCTTGTCATAATACAGATTTCTTTTAGTTATTCAAATGTGGGATCGGTTGAAATTAAGATTTTGAGACAATAAGAATCTGTTTCTATATAAGGGCTGATTAGCTTTTTAAAAATATATTTGTTTTTGTAGCAAAAAGTTACCTCCAATTTTACTAGTACTTTCATATTATTGTAATTTACTATGCAGCAAGTAATAGAAAATCTATACTGAAACCGACAGAACCAACTTGTCTTTCATCGATTGTCCTGATTTTCAAATACAAGTAGGACTTGGAATTGTCAAATACTATTATTAGAATTTATAGAATTAGTCGAGATTGAGACGCTTTGAGACAAAAAGAATCTGCTTATATATATATATGTATATATAATACATATATATTTCCAAGGATTGATTAGTTTTTTAAAATAGTTGAAGATTTTTTTATTTTTATAGCAAAAAGTTATTCAATTTTACTAGTATTTTTATATCATTGTAATTTAGTATGCAGTAGGTAATAGAAAGTCTAATACTGCAACCGACAGAATTCAACCAACTCGTCTTCCATCAGTCGTACTAACTTTCAAATACAGCTTCCAAGCATTCCGCGTGATATTTTCGCCATTACATTCGCCTTTTTCTGCCGTAATCCCTTTTTAATTTTACTTATCGCGAAATCATGCGCCGCCCGTAGAGAGGTATCCGTGGCGAAATGCCGGGAAGTTCGTGATTGTACGGAAGTCGACCGCGATTTTCTACGGAGGGAAACTCGCCGAACGCCGAAGGAATATGAATATGCAACCTGTGACGACGGAAAGCGCCGATCGACTCACTATCAAACCAGCCGTGACGATCGGTAATTCGATCCTGGAAACGTTTCCGGAAGAAACTCAGCGACGAAGATTTCCAAACTCCATGCTGCAGAAACCCTCGGCATATTTGATCCAAATTACATCCAAATCGAAAGATAATAACTCGTCCTCGCAATACGTAAAATTTGGTCGATTTCATAATCTCGATGCGAATTGCAGTAATGCCGAAGTTTATCATCCAACTGTTAACCAAACTTTAAAGCGATCAAGCAACGAATCTCGAATTCCAAAACCTCTCAAGCTGTCAGATAGTCTCGTGAGATCTTTGCAATTATTTCAACAAAAAAATATTTCACTAAAAAACTTTGGTTTACAATCTGTCAATAATCGCGATAAAACACGAAAAAAGATGAGTGGAAGCAATCCTGATTGCGCATCGAAACAATCCAATACATGCAATGTAGATGCAACAATTATGATTCTTGGACCCAGTAAAAAGGATAGATATGTTACGGAAAAGAATATTTCCAAATCAAAAAATTCGAACATCAGAACCGTTATCGAAATCTCTTCAAAAATAGACATGGAATATCAAAATGGCGATAAAATTAAAAGGACACCAACGAAATTAGAAAATAATACGTCTAATAAAAATGATATTGACAACACTAAAACGATACATCGCTCTAAAAACATCACTGTAGAAGCTACGAAAAATATTTATGAAGAAATAGTCACGGAAAATCCTTTAATGGTTAAAAAAAAATCAACTGATACTGTTACTCAACGGATTGATAATTTGATCTGCAAGTTTATTAAAGCTAAGCACATGGTATGTCGTCAGAGTGATTCAACTGAAGTTTCAATTAAGCCAATTTATACAACTTCTAAAATAACGACAGTAACAAATGACGCTAATATTAATCGGAATTTTAATATGACAGATGTAGGCAACAGTAAGATTCTTAGAAAAAATCAACACAGAAGACACGGCTCGGCTTACCAAAAATATTACGATAAATATTTGAGGAACTTAATAACTTCATCTACGATGAAGGCTGAAAAGAGGAATATGTTGGAAAATGTAACTGGATTTATTTATTCTGATGTATTCAATAACACTCACGGTCAATCAAATTTACGAGAAAATTATATTGAAACAAAGAATAACAATCCAAATAAAGAAAATTTTTTTGGATACGAGGTAAAAAAAGACAGTAAGGTTTCAAATTATTACAATAAATACCTGAAACATCGCGTCACGCCATCTAAAAGAACAGCTCCTGTCACTGTAAGCACGACTAAAATTGAAGAGTATAACATGACGAATATGAAATACGATCGAGGGCAGAAAGCAGTTTTATCTGTTTTAGAAGAAATGTCCGCAACAGCAAAACCAAACAAAAATGATTATTCTTCGATAAAGACAGAAAAGTTACTATATGAACTTAAATCGCCAAAGGCTGAAATACGTCATCGGTATTTTCCAACAATTAACGTTAACGATGTCAATATGATATCAAATCTTTCAACTTCAAATCATAACGCGACTCAGCAAAATCAAAGTAATGAAAAGTATAATAAAACGCACAAACAATCAAATATTTCTTTCGAAAAATGTTGCGACGAAAACTTGATACAAAGTAACGAGAAGATCGATTCCGGATTGATAAATTCAGACGAGACGCCAGAATCAATACCTGTAGAAAATACAAACACGATATCGAAGGAATTACATGAATCCAGAGAGATTTTGGAAGAAAAATCAGAGGATGATTTTGACGTTGTGCTGTTCAATTTTACGACAACGAGGGTTCCCGAGATCGTCACGCGGGATGCAAACGAACCGAGAGAGAAAACATCCACTGAAAGACACGGCAAACGCAAACACAAAAGTCGTCATAATGGTCGTAAAAACAACAGGCCCAAGAAAAGGAGGAAGAATCACGCGAAACGTAAGAGGAAACCGACATTATCCGTCGCTTGGAAAATCGACGAGCCGACGAGCGTCGATTATGGCAACGCTTATAGTTCAGAGCGGGTGAAGACATTGTCCCCTAATGATCTAGAGTACAACAAAGCTGACGATAATCGTAATACGAGCACTGGTGGAAACGACTGGTACCTCACTGATGAAATTACAACGGAACCTTTTAAAATAGAATTCTCTAACGCTGATGAGTCCGTCTCAAAACACCCCACGGAAGACAGCATTGACGACGAATTTCAATCGGAAGAAACGAACGTAGATCTCGTTACCAGTAGCACCATATCTTATTTATCAACGACGTCCAATGAGAAAATTTCTAAAAAATGTAAAACACTAATTACGACTACCACTGAGAGTAACTGGCTTAATTGGTGGACAAATGATAATAAAAAGGCAGACAAAGAATCAACGGAATGTGAAGAAGATGTTACTTCGCTGCCAACCACAAGTGATTCAATAGAAGAAGAAACAAGCTATTATAGTACATCTGTCAGCGATGATTTTTCGATATACAACACGATATCTACATTAGATAGCACTACTTTAACCTGGGAATATTTCAGCAAAGAAGATAAGAATGTAAGCGATGAAGAAATAAGCACAACATATAGCATGATTAAGGATGAAGAAAATAACAAGAAGAAAGTAATGATAAGTAAATCTATGTTGAATGAAGAAAGTGATAAAAATAATGAAGAAACACAATCTTGGGAAAGTACTACGCATTCTAGAGGCACTACGCACAACGTGAATTTAGACCTCAATAGTGAAGAGGAAGAAGACAGATTGGATAAATCGATATCCGATGAGGATAACGAAATCGACAATGGTATCGTGGAGATCATAGAGGATTACGAGATCGACAATTGCAACGAGACTCAGCACGCTTGTGATAAATATACATGTATCGATGAGGACCAGGTGTGCGACGGTATCGTAGACTGTCTCAACGCCAATGACGAAACCGATTGCGATTATATATACTCTAAGAGGTGGGAGGAGCATCAAAGAATTAATAACAAACGGATTGACTTCACTTCGAACACTGTTGACATGTCGCATCTTGATGGATGCAGCCCTTTCGAGCATCCTTGCGACAGCATGTGCATAAACGCGTTGCACGTCTGCGACGGCAAGAGAGACTGCCTGGACGATACAGATGAGGAGAACTGCACCAAAGGTATTCCCCATGTAGAAAATAATATCCTGCGAGAGGCGTCTCATTTCACTCTTTGTTCACGCTGTAAAAAATATCTCGCCTTGGATGGAGCGTCACGTGAATCTCAAGCAATCGTGACGTCATTTCAGGATGACCTGTCATCTTCGCTGTACAGAACATGAGCTTTGAAGATATCAAATTGGCTAATATATGTGAACGTCCTTGGAAAACTACCGAGATCTATCGCGAAAAAAAACTTCAGGAACATTATTTCCAGCTATTTGCATAGATACTTCACTCTATCCCCCCTTTAAGCCGTTTTTATCTGAAGAATGCAGAAGACTCGCTTTTGTGCTTCCAGACCAATGTCATGGCGTTGGAAATCTACGTCGTTTGTTATGTGTTACGCAGCTTTGGGGAACAAATATGTTGACAAAAGTATTATGAATAAGTAATAACTTTCCGTTCAATGTAAGAGTGCACGTTTACATTGTGTTGTCCACCTTTGCTGTAAAAATATTGCCGGGGAGAGAGAGAGAGAGAGAGAGAGAGAGAGAGAGAGAATATTCAGACGATGATCCTTAAAGTACAGTGACCGAAGACGATTATCTTATTAGAAGACTATCTTATCTAGTTCTTATTAGACTCGTCGAAGCTCCTCGCTCAGTCTGAGGAGGATTTACGATGAACGATTGCAGGAATTAGTATCAATGCATCTATCAATGATTGCATTAGTCATTCTGTATACTGCAGACATACGATCAGCTACCACTATTTTTATGTTCGCGATTAGATCGCCAGTTGAGTCCGCAATGGCAAAACGTGAATCCTCTTTTCTCGGATGTAGGAAGAACATCTCATTTCATCCATTCCATTGACATCATCGTCGTGTCACGCATTACTCATTCACTTTTTTCACAAGGATACAGAATTTGCTTCTCTGTTGCAAAAAGAAACATTTCAATGACACCCATAAAGAATCATTTCCGGTAATGATGATATGCAATCCACACGACACACGTACCCGAACATTGTACATAGTTTACGAATTGGAGTAAAGGAGAAGGTAAAGGAATATGAAACAACATAAAAACTTTAAACATCGCACGCGAAGTTTGCTAAAAATATTTGAAATTAATGTAATATACAGTTTATCAAACGAATCGTTTTATTTTATAGTCCAAAATCGGATGGTTTTGTATATTGTGGAATATTCCTGCTGTCTCTCATAAGTGAAATAATTCTAACCACCCTCATAAGGCTTCTTCACGACGCTTTAAATGTTAGACCAAGCTTTAAAATATAATAAGATCTCTTGGTTACAGAATCATGCGTTTTACCAAAGATGCTTTCCATGTACAGATTTACGAGTCCTCTACCACGCCTAAAACTGCTTTAAATGTCTCTTTATATGTAGCTTGTATTTCAACCTCGAACTCGTTTGTCTCTCAATCGCCAATATAAATTATTTTTTAATACAAATTTTTTGAAGTACACACACAGTAATTTTAATATAGTATAATATACGCTATCGTTTTAATTTATTAGAAAAATTTACTTTTTACATTTATTTTAATAACGCGATGTAAATCATCATAAATTAATGAACTCAAATTACCCCTGACTTTCAAACTTTATTTCGAAAATCCATTGAAATCGAGGCGATTGAACGGCAGAATGTGAGATGCGAGCGTTGATCAGGAGGATCTTTGTTTTTTGCCGATGGCACTCTGTAGGTTTGGCCCCGTGCCCTTCCACGGACTTCACCTGCGGGGATGGCTCTTGCATATCGAAGAGCTCGGTCTGTGACGGATTTGACGACTGCCCCAGGGCAGAAGACGAGCTTTATTGCGGTACATAACCATGTATACCTTTCACGCTACTCGATATTAAAAGAGAAAGAGAAAAAGAGGGAGAAAGAGAGGGGAGACCGAATAAAAAAAAAGGAGGCGGTGCATGGATGACTTGCTGGCGTAATATCAATCAATGTTATTTTGACATTTAATGCAACTCGAGCTTTAAAAAAAAATTTTGGAAGTGAAACATAATATTTTTGTTGCGTTTTATCGGTATCGTTACGCGTACAATAACAAATGACGCGATAGAATTTTAACTACAAACGTGCAGAAATTGATTTCGAATAATTGGTGCGAATTATTTATTCGCACTGTTATGGCATTCGATCGATAGACGGTTTGAACAAAATGTTTTGCAAAATACCGTTGAAAGTTGAAAGTAACGAATAATCGATTTTATTAATGCTTTTATTCCCATTAACGTGATCTTTCCTTTAATTATGAAAAATGCCTTGAGAGATATTCAGAGAACACTTTATTATTCCATGATTATATTCTGTATTATATTGACATCAAGTCATTCCATTGACGATTAAAATGACGCATTATCTGACTGAAAAGCAAGAAAGTTACGATTCACCTAATTCTTTCTCTCTTTCTTCACACCGTTTTTTCCGAAACCCTGCTTAGCTTGCACCTCATACAACGCTTGCCATTGAACCAATCGCTTAATGATTTCCCTCGTTGAATCTAATCACGGACTTGTTCCGTGTTGGTTAGACGCTAATTACAGAGCTTAAATTCGGATCCAGCGCTAACGTGACCAGAGCCGACAATGTTAATCGCAGATTTCGATTATTCGAGTGGTAAATATATTTCAATTAATAAATTAGTTTTTATGTATATATAGAAATTTTTCAAGTAAAATATTAATTATCGTAAGCGTTGTTTTGTTTAACTATACTATTTATAATTAAATTAGAAATGAAAATAATAGTAAGTAGTTAAACAAAAGCGCCTAAAGGCGAAATCTGCGTTTAAATTAGCCTCTGTATATAAGTACATCTATTATGTAGTTATGTAAATAATTTATTACATTATCCTTGACGCATTCCTATAAATACCCTAAGGAACTTTTCTGTAAGAGATATGAACAATGCCAAATATTTTCGATTATAATTTATGTATAATGAAACTTTTCGATACAATATCTTACGATTAATTTATGAGGTAACATAATTATCATTACAGGAAAATTCAATCATTACGTTAAACGTAACAATGTAATATAATATTTTAACATATAAAATGTAATTTACTCAAATATTTTCTTATTTGTTTTCGATCCGCGTTTTCTATCGAATTTCACTGCGAAAATACACACCGAATATGCACGGGAAGACCACGATTCTTTCTGCGAAGTTTAATTCTAAATACCGGAATCGTTCGTCGACTGACAAACGACCTCATAATAGCAGACCATTACACACATTTACGTGAAGCTAATAATCGTGCATCTCCCGCAAAACTATAGTCGATCGCGTAGGAAAGCTACGCTTATCGTCACGACACATTTTTCGCGCATTGCACGCAACATTGTAATTCGCATTAACCAATACGACAGGTTATTTTTCACGAGCATTTCATCCGGCTCAACATAGAATATAGCCTCGGCTTTATAAACGCAGAGGCCGAATATAATTTCCAATTCTCCCTAATCCCTCCCGTAAATCATTACTGCTAAATAACACTCTCGTTGCCTCAGAAGCAGCTTTTTTCGCTTTCGTGTTGTGACAACAGACAGCAGAAGCTATCATTTAAGTAAAGGAAAGCTCGTGGATAAAAAAAGCGAGACCGACGATCGAATTGCGTCGAACGTCGAAAGCGTCTCGCTCTGAGAAGTCTGAGAGTGTGCGTGTGCGGCACGCTTTCCGCTTCGACATAGTATATGTATATGTACACGGAGTGATTGTATATATGTGTAAAAATGTATGTGTTCTTTGCGCATATGTCCGCTGAACAAAACAAAATACAGAGCGGGAATGCACGCCTAACCAGTTCAAATGCGCCACCGGGAACAAGTGCATCGAGGACGTCTACAGGTGCGACGGCCATCCGGATTGTCCAGATCACAGCGACGAGGACTGCGCCCCGTCCGCTAACGACACTACACACACCACTTCGCCTACCACCAGTACGCTCCTTTTTCAGTGTGTCCATCGCTTCATTCATAATACATTTGTGCAACCTCGTCTAGCGTGTTCCGCTATCGCTATTCGATCTCGGTAGATCTGTAAATAATTGGAAACTTCGATCTACTTTTTCCTAATAGAAACGTTCAAAAAAAATGATAATGAATTATTCGACTAATTTATTTCATCATATGAAAAACATTAAAATCAAACGCACTCCCTTACAAAAATCTAATACTGACCGATACTGAAAGACAGCAATTAATTTCAAATAAATAATTAATTATTACCTTTCAGTATTAAATTGGATTTCTGTAAGGGCCGTCAAAAAATCAAACGCGTGTCTTTCTAAGAGAATATTTATTATACCTATACATATATTGTAATAATTTATTATTCTCGTTACAATAATTATAATTTTTTATTCGTAACTATTTAAACGTAAATGCATTTGATTTTAGTTGTTTATAGATGCCGGTACTTTGTGCAGTTTTACTCGCCGCTAGACGTTAAAAAATAAAAATGAGAGATTTGAAAAGTATCTTCGGGGGCTTCGCAGTGTTACAAGTTGCCTGCCTTCGCCCGAGGTCCGTAATGTTTGCTTTCGGTCGAATCCTCTTAAGGAACTCTTATTTACGCGGGACAAGTGGATCTACCTGCCTGAGCGGATACACACTCGACGATGGTTGTATTTCATTGTGCATTTCTCACGATCAATCGTTACGACCGTGGTCGAGAAAGCGATTGCGCCTCTTGTTGCTTCTCCGAAGACCCCGACGGCCATTGTAACATTCGTTTTACCGCGCACTGGGAAAATTTATACTTACGAGACGCGACTGCTAAACTTATCGAGGCAACTTATTGAAGATGTACAAGTACATCTCTCTCTCTTCCTTTTTTTTTCCTTTTCTTTTTTTCTTCTGTTCTTCAACAAACCGTGTTCTCGACAACGGCTGTATTTTATCGTACCACCTGAGTGCGGAAGGGTCGGAACACACCGGAAACGTATTACCCCGCGAATCCCCCGTACGGAAGATTCACGGTGATCGTCGACGGTACTCTCGCCCGTTCGCAAATCGCCGCGTTACAAAGCAGCCTGCGGATATATATACGCCATGCATTGATATACAAGTAGCTGCATTACGCACGAACTTGTACGCTCGGATGCAGATGACGGTGTTGGATAGGAGTGCCTTTAAACGTTCCTTTCCCTGCAAACTTTAGTGTTTTTCCGGCAACAGTCTGCTAATTGCCGAAAGGACAGTAAAAAACGAAGGGTAGAAAATTTGGGGAACTGAATGAACAGGGCATTCTTATGCAACATCTTAGCCACGTTTCTGCTTGCAAAGTGGTATTTTCTTTTTAGTTTTCTATTGCATCATTCTCAGTTGCATTATGGTATGATAGAAAGTAAATGCATTATGTTTCGCTGCAAGTGTACCTTTAAATTTGATCTCTGGCTGCTCGATGCTTCATTTTCCTTGCCGCGGATTTTTCCCTTCAATGTGCCTGTGTGTATGTGTGCGCTCAGACTCATCCGATCCACGCTGGACACCCGAACGCAGGAGGGAATGCGATCCGAGGACAGAGATACGCTGCGATGATGGCGGTTGCGTTCTTCTACGACGTAAATGCGACAATATCTTCGACTGCCTCGACGGCAGTGACGAGCGTGGCTGTGGTAAGGGTTTCACCTCGTTCTCACAGCCCATCCTCTTCCTTTCCTTTCCGCATACTCGTATTAACGATGACAAATGTTTCCTGATTTCCTCCCTCCGCGTATTCATATTAACGATGACGAACGGTTTCTGATTTTACAAGCCTGAGGAAATCTCTCTTTTGCTGATAAAATAAAAAAATTGTATATGTATATTTATTATTTCATTTTTACATGTTTATTTATAGTAATTCGCTAAAATTCTTTTTCTATAATAAGCTCTTTCGATAAATTATCCTAGATCAGTGTGATAAAGTACATTTTTTTTTTATTAATAGCTCTGCTTCAGTTTATATTTTGTTATTTTTAATGTCATAAAAATATGTGTATATTGAAAAACACTGACAGATAAATTTTACTAAGTATTTTTCGCGTAGTAATGTAGTTCTTTATCGCGTAAATGCAATGTTGACATATCTACTTATATATTAATAATGTTTACCATCGACAATTCAATAAAAGTTCATTACCGATAGCTCAATATTCCCACAAATATTCAGCGGTGTCATTCCAATTAATTATTTTCTTATGATTGATTTAACAATTACTTATAAATTTTCAATAACTGTTAATAATAATGCTATAATAATTTTACATATTGAAGATCTATAAATTTGTAGTTATTTTTAAGTATTAATATAAAGTTTTGATATGTTAAATATTTCTTTAATTTGCTTTGAGAATTTAATTTAAACTTTTTTTATTCCCCTACTGAAATTTTTATCAATTTCATACAATATGACACATGCTTACGTAACAATCAGGTATAATGACACCATTGATGATTCCTTATACTATTCCCCACTCCTTAATGCTTTTTGCGGGAGCTTTTGACATGCTTTGTCATAAAGGGGTATGCACACCTGCCGAATGGAAGTGTGCCAGTGGCGAATGCTTGCCGGAAAACCAAAGGTGCGACGGAATAATGCAGTGCAGCGACGGATCCGATGAGGATCTATGTGGTAATTATATGACAGCTTACGCCCACCATCGTCCACAAAAAATGGCCTTTTCACTGCTCTTGCTTGTTAGCCAGTCGCACGCTGCAAAATTATTACACACCTGCTTTTACAAGACGAATATCGTAAGTCCCATTTATTCTCAATTTGGTGGAATCCTCGAATGACTATACCTTGATTAAAAAAAACTTTTTACTCAATCAGATGTAATATTAATCTATGCAGCATGTTACAAAATTCAAGTTTGAATTATTTAATAATATATTTCCTGTTAATCTTAATGCCTGCATGATAATAGAAAGTTAATCGTTAATTTTTTATTTGTGTATAAATTAATTGTTTCCGTTCGTCATATAATAACAGCAATACAATTATTATTCCCATCCCAATCTCAATATATCCTAAATTGATTCCTTTGAACCAAGAATGTATTTGTTGTATTAAACTAAAATCTCAACAATCTACATTGAAATTGTAATAGTCATCGTATGCATGGAATGACTTTTTATCACGTCATCGCATTCTCTCTTCGCAAAAGGAATCACTCTCGCATGTGTTGCTTGATGTCACACGTTGCATTTTGTCTATGTTGTAAGTGTTGGCGCACGTGTCTCTCTGGGAGTATAACCGGTATGAACATTTGGAAGCGCATGATAAAAGCTCCTGTAAGTAGCTCATGATAATATTAATTGGACGATGCAAGAAGAGCGAATGTCCCGATGGGTTCACATGAGGATTGATCGTTCTACTGTATACTTTGCCTTAGAAACTTATTAGAGCAGACTGGCTGGTGTACTCAGCAAAGTACAATAATATACAACTAACAAGGGTGACAAGTAGCGTCTATTGTGTATGATAAGAAACGCGTAATAATTCACGCGAGCATCCTCACGTTTGTTTAACACTTAAGTAGTCGTAGAGACTTTATTACTCAGATGTTTATCGGTTTGAGAATATCATCGATAGAAGTCTCTTCGAGAAGGTAAATTGAAAATAATTAAATTGAATAATAAATACATACAATTGAGAAGTATTTAATTTTATAAGCGAGAGTTTTTTCTTTCAAGGAAAGGATTACTAAAGAAAATCTGAATACATCGTAAAATCTACAATATTTGTCAAAACAGGTGTTCCGTCTTGTGTAAGATGCGCCGACTGCAATTAAAAGATAAAAAAAATTTGCATACATATCACCGCGATTACTCAAGTGTTAATAAAATTAATTTCACGTGCAATGGCAGCACGTTTCTTTACACGTTGTCCGATTATCTTGACCAAATACGGAATCCTGCGGTGGTAAGGCCATTTTTTTTCTCTTTCCCCCTTATTCTTCCCGTATGGATAGCATGCACGATAATACTCGACATGGAATTTGGTAATTATTGTAGTAACCGAATGTCCACCTGGGTGGTTTCGATGCAACGATGGAGTGTGCCTCGACATTAAGAGACGTTGCGATGGCCGGCCGCATTGCTTGGACGGCTCCGACGAGTTCAATTGCTCTCGTAACAGTGATTTTTAGTTTTTAGCTTTATTTCACATGCCGAGGACGATATAGACCTAAGCCACACACCTAGAATCGACTTAACACAGTAGTGCCGACAAGTACTGCTTTTTAGCTTTCACTTGAATGACATAGCAGTATCGTCGATAGTATTGCATTACATTAGAGCAAGTTACATACAATTTTTCGTACTTTTCTTTTCTTTTTAGTCACATTGGATACTTGCATTTTGTAACTTAGGTCTGTGTCCTTCTTAGCGCATTATTTATGTCAATAATAGTCCGCACCAAGAAAGCTTATCGTTAATTTAACAATTAGTCAATGAGATCTTATATATATATATATATATATTAGCATAAATAGATACTTTTATTTAAAATGTATCAATTAAAACGATAACTTTTTTCCGTGCACTGTTTATTCTAATCTTTCTCCATAACATTATTCTACTTTTTCTTTTGCCCTCTGAGGGTTAATCATGCCATTTTTTCCCTAGAGTGGAAATGTGAAAAGTAAATATTGTTTGTATGCATGTATATACATACATAAAAATTATCACTTTTCATGTTTCCGCTCTAGGGAAAAATAAGTTAGATGATTGACTTCCTGAAACTCTTTTCTCTATCAGCATTTTCATTATGGGTCATAATACTTTCTGCAACGTATGGTATTCTTGTTATGAGCATATGATACTTAAATTATATTCTTAGCGAATTAACAGTGAATGAATGCAACCAATTGCTAATTCATTTCATGAATCAATTTTGCGTGACTTCATCGTGTGTTAACTAAAAAAATGCTCATGATGTGTGTGTTTCAGTGTTTAAAGACTTGAAATAGATGCAGGATCAAGTGCCGCGACATTTCTTTATTTCTTGACACTTGATCTTATTTTTATTTCAAATCTTTATTTCGTTTTCTTTATCTTAATACGTTTCTCAACTTTTTTTTATCGAAATTGGCTTTTCTACTTTCGCGTGCATTTTCGCGAAACAAAAATCGCAGACTTTGTGTCAAAGGATACTTCGCGTATTCCATCTTTCACATTGTTTTGCTTGCGCGGTAAAACAAGACGATGAAAGATGTAGCAATGCAGCATGCGAAATCTATTTAAGATTAGCCGATTTTCTGAGACAGTTCTAAGAAACATACAGAAGTCAATAAAATTGAAATGATTTTATTTTGATTCTTAATGTTAATAAACAATCGAATTTTGTAACCAAATATCATTATACTTTCATGATGTTAAAATAAGGTCATTGTGACTTTCTCTTGACTTGGTGTGTTCCTGAGATGTCAATATACGAGCGACTTCTCCGTATCTTATGCGGAATGTCGATTGTGCAGAACGTTAATAAACGGCTACGCAGGGACTTTGCAGCTGTAACTGCAGCGACAGCAACTGCAACGGGCGCGACGACGGCGACGGTGCAGTCGTTCGAACGACTTCTCGCGCGCACGTCGGTGTTCAAGTTGGCAATTAAGAGGCTGTGTAACTAATACGGGCGCACGGACGCGTGCACACGTACGCGGAAGCTGTTAATCTCATTTCGTCGCCCTGTATCGACCGTTTGAGCACGTTTTAGCCGGACGTTGACTGACCATTAACTCGAATACCGACGTGTCGCGCGGCACCACTTGCCGTAGTCACCCCGGGACCACCCTGTCAAAGATGGATGAATCAAAATCAATTCGAGGGAATTCATTCTCGAAACTCGATCGCCAAACTCGGGAGATGCTTTCGAAGTGTTGGAACTTCTTCCTCATCCTCTTTATTAATGATTTATTAATTAAATGAATAAGAAAGCAATCGCCAATACAAGCCGACACTAGTTCTTAATGTGTAAATTATATGTATTGTTCAATCGTAAGTAAACGTTTCGACCCCAATAATTTGAGTCATCCTCAGTACAATTCGAATCAAACAAGTGGACACATAAAATAAAATCAGCCTAAATTATATCTTATGTGTATAATATAAACATTCAATTTTGAATACCGTTCTAATTGTTTTTGTTAACAGTAACTAAACTTTTTAATTTGTCTATGTATTTATGTGCCACATCCTATAGTCAAACTTGATCTAAGAGTAATGTTATAATCAGTGGTCATTGTATCTATATCTCTCGGAGACTAACAATGTTACAAAGTACGATTGTCAAACGTGAATATTAGAGATTTATTCATTTTCAAAAAGTCATGTTATAAATTGCACTTTAAATGTAAGCTAAAATAGAATAAAGAGGGAAATAAGAACACAGGAATTCAGACAATAAAGGAATTTAATAATAAAGTTAAATCCCGTTTCTGAGAGAGAGAGAGAGAGAGAGAGAGAGAGAGAGAGAGAGAGAGAGAGAGAGAGAGTTTGGAGATTCGTAATTTCTCGAAATGAATTCCCGAATTAATCTCTTTCGATTCGTCTCTTCCCATATGTGATCAACGATTTCTCTTTCTATGTTTTAGCATTATATATGTATCTTGTTACATTTTAGCGTCAGACACAATGAGATATAAAGAATAAGACGATGATTAAGAAACGACTGATTCATTCTTATCATATTTCTCACATTTACTGATCACTCCTATATTTCACTGTGTCTTGGTTCTTATAGCTGTTTGTGCCTTGCGATCTTGAATATTGGATACTCAATAACATATTTGCGTACATAACATACATCTTGATTACGCGCTCTGACTTCTTGACATGCATTTTGCATCGATTATGGATGGGATCGAACTAACTCTACCTATTCTTCTTTCTGTCTTTCTACTTGTCTATCTGTACGTCTATTTACCATCTATCCGTCTATTTTCAGCACAGGTTGCCTGATCTTTGAATTGCGCATCTATACTTGTATATATACATATCTATATATATTTATATCAGTGTATACAAATTGTATATGTATATATACGTTTCTCTGATACCCTTTTACCTCCGGTTATTTACGTCTCCGCAATTTTCCACGCCACGCGCTGACGCGTGCACAAACCGCGCTCTGCTGTTGCGTACAGCGCGTAAAAGCTCGCGACTGACGTAACACGAACTTTTGCAAATGTCATGTTTTACACGATGGTCCTCTCCAACGTTTGAGAAACTAAGTTCAGCTAGTTTATTAATATATAAAAAAAGACCACACGTTTTCCACACGTGAAAACGTTCAAGTAAAACCGGTTTAATATAAAATGAAGCGACGTTTATACGCGGGATTATTATTATAAATTTCTCAGATTATGATACGGTTTAGCGAAATGGCACGAAATTATAGACCGAAAACTATGATCGTTTAAAGAATTTTCTTTCTCGGTCAGTTTGATCACCCGGGGGTGATGCGTGCACGCGGCATCGCGCCGTCGTCGTCTCCGTGTTTCTTGAGATAATACGGCACGCGGCAATGTGCACGATACTTATTTGACGAGGCCAGCGTACTTTTATCGCCCTTCGTCCATCGCAGGAGGAAGCACCTCTCGCGGGACTCTTTATCGATCGATAATTATCGAAGGCACTTGGTCAGCCTCGCGCATCTAATTTCTTCGTGCAAGGGTGAGGGTTGCACTGCACACACATCGAAGCCGTTCGCAATTTTTTTCCGGCTCATACGAGGATGATATTCTTCGCGACCTCTGCACTTAATGACCTGGTGAAAGTAGAATAGACGCTCGCGAACGATTGTTATTAGACAAACGTGCACATTGACGCTTCGTACCGCTCACATGTACAAAGAATCTTCGCCGTATCGTTTGTATCCCTCCTGCCTTTATTTGTCATTCAACGGAGTTGATTGGTTTTTGCAGAATGCCCCGACGGTCAACTACCCTGCGACAATGGCGTCTGTATCAATAAGAACTTCTTCTGCGACCACAATATCGACTGCCATGACGCTAGTGATGAACGAAATTGCCGTAAGGATATCTTTTTGGATAGATATATTTTCTGCTGTTTCACCGAAAGTTCTATTCGATATTCAAATATTACACAAAACACTCTATGCCCTGTTATGAAGACATTTTTAAGTAAAATATATGTTTATTTTGTAACTTGGAGTGTAACACTTAGTACATACAATTAGATTATTTGTGTCCTGCACATTTCTTTTCTTTGAAATATTAGGTGCACCAAATAATTAGTTATGACATTTATATACAATTTTCTTAAATATACTTATAAATATTCTCTAAAGATATTAAAGTATATTTAAGAATCACTTGATAATTTTTATATACTTGAACACGACCCATCGTATGTAGTAAAAAGCCGGAAAATCATCGTGTATTAAGAGTTAATTAAGATTTTTCATTAAAAATATATTTAACCTCCGGAATTAACGGTAGGCCTATTGAACATATATTCAATTATGAATCTTTTTGTGAAAAATGTTAAACAATTCAATTGTTTTATTTGTAAATTTTAATTATTCTTTTAAAATATACTTTCTTATCAAAATAGATAAATACATAAATAGATAAATAGATATTTCTTATCTTATCGTTCTTTTTTATACAAATTATATCATATTTTATATAACTTATGTTCTTTGGTTTCTAGATTAGGATCTTTTAATTAACATAAATTAAATGGAACTTACAGACCAGCATCATTAACTGTATTACAGATTTTGACGTCAAGTTAAAGCATCTCCGGAAAGTTAAAGAAAATTTTTTTCGTTTATTTAACGAATTTTTTATTCAATAAGTGCAGCTTTGATAAACGCGTGTCGCTCCATTTTGCAGCGGAGAGCGGAGAGACTGGCAGTTCAGGCCATGAATGCCACGAGGGTAGCTTCATCTGCAACGATGGCAGCTGCATACCTCCAACTGCAGTATGCGATGGACGTGCGGATTGTCCGCACGACGAAGACGAGATAAATTGCCGTCGAGGTAAGTCAAATTTGCGGAATCGTCACTCGCGATATTCCTGCGTTGTCTTCTTTCGTAAAGAGCTGCGTTAATTTAGGTTCGAGGGAATGATCCTTATTGATAAAATATTCAGAAGATGGATACAGAATTCTCCCTCGTTGGTTAATTCATCATCGTATCGTATCGATACGATGTAGCCTTCGGAACGTATTCATAGCCAGGACTTAAAAGACATTGAGAGCACAATTCGAGGACGCAAACCTAATTTTTCAACTTATAATCTTACGTCATTATTATGAATTGAATGAATAAGGACTTTTGTAGACGAGATCTAAAATTTAATCCCACTTCTACTATGTATTTTGCGCAATGAGCAAGTGATTATTATACTAATAAGCTCCTTAAGCCGCCAATAATCTTGTCTCTCAAAATCGTTAGTCTAAATAAATCTTACTTCTAAGATTGAGTCCGATGGAAGATGATACTTGGAATATGAATGAAGGCACACAAACGCCTATTTGTGTCTTCTTAGTGTTTACTTTATTACATCCGAACTCGCGCTTTAAGTCCTGATTATGCGTACGGTCATCGGACAAGAAGAAGGCTTTTCCTCGAGATTTTCGAGGCGTATATCAGTTGCGACCGCGTCGCCAATACATCTTCCGACACATCTACGAGAAACACCGCAGCTCAGATTGAGTTACTTCTAGGTGTAGACGCCTCGGATAGTGTCTCCTCGAAGGGGCGTCCAGAGACGCCGGGGGTGATAGTCGGTGTGAATCCGGATAACGAGGCTTACAGCCCAGACACAGATGCAAATATTGATGTGCCGCCGACAAATCTGAGCACGCCGAGGAGTTGTGCTCCGGATGATTTTGTTTGCGCCGACGGCACTTGCATCCCCGAAACCCACCACTGCGACCATTTCTACGATTGCCGCGACTTTACCGACGAACAGTACTGCTTCGGTTAGATTATTTGTAGATCTCGAAAATCTGGTGACACGCACGCACCCCGCATCGAAGTCTCGCGCGCTTTCATTTTCACCCTGACGGTTCATTGAGTAATTTCGTAGCTATGGAGAAGAAGTTGTTTGTACGTCAATATCTCGACATACGAATAATTCTTCGTGTATTTACGAATTCACATTAGTGTTACTACTGTGTAAATAACGTTAAAAATTTTACGTGAAAAGAAAATTAGTTTTTTCTATATTCTTTTTAATAATCATTTACAGTATTCTTCAGTAGTATTGTGTCTCACTATTTTCTCTCTTTATTAATGGAAAATTGATTTTAATTAATTTTTAGTCTTTAATAAATATTTTTTTAATATTGTTTATTTTTTGAATAAATTTCTATAACATTTCTTTGTGAATTTATTCTTTTAGATGAAAAATTATAATATTTTAAATTTTGGTTCTGCTCTTTTGAATAAAAAAAACATCAAAATTTTTATCCGCGATAATATTCTGAAATATCGTTGAAAACACCAGATTCTCTTAGATCTGTTCTTTTCTGCCAATCTGTGTTAGCAGCTGAATAGAAGATGTGTAGGTTGTTCCAGTAGAGACTTGATTATATTTCTAAAATTTATAATCGCAGTCTTATATATATTACCCGGCGCATTTTTATAAATAATAGTGCATCTCTGCCTGACGTAAAATTTAGATCGTTTATTTTTCTCGTAGGTAGAACGTTTGGCATACATCCTATTTGGCATGCATAGCATGAGGAAAGTACAATTTTACCTATACATTTTTGTGCATTACATTTCGGAAGGAAAAATACTTTAAAAAGTCGATATACAATCTATTTATTAACAGCATCAGTACATTGCTGATTGAAATCGACAAAATTATGCATAAAAATTAAGGGATTATAAATGTCTTTCCTCCTGAATCTATAAAAGTTATATTGAATGATGAATTATATTTAAGTGTTCGTAGATGACAATCTGTACATATAGCATAAATAACTGAAAAATTATTTATATTATTTATGATACTTTTTTTATTATTGTCACGTTATTCTCTCTCGTGAAAATACGTTAAATTAGCTCACCGATTTTGTGCTATATGAACTGATTTCGGATATATTTGATCTAGATTCTAGACCAAAGCTGTCTAAATTGGTGACACGTTGGTGAAAAGAGGCGAGACGAATAAGAAAAGGAACGCGTAATAGTCAGACAGCTCTGCTCTAGATTATATTTAACAGTCTTTTCTAGGTAATAAAATCTTTACCTTCATCGTATTTATATTTCGGCGTTAGATCATTGTTTAGATTGTAACGGACATATGATGGCTCCATGGCTGACATTTTACATGTATCTGTGTCTCATCTATATCGTTTCTTTAACGGATCAATGACTCACGGTTGTCTCGTTAACGTACAATGCAAGCTCTTATTTTAGGATGCACTCGGGACCAGTTCCAGTGCGCCAATGGAGATTGCATCCGCGCCGATCAGAGATGCAACGGGTTCATCGAGTGCTCCGACGGTTCCGACGAGCCGGAGGAATGCGGTGAGTATATAAAGGAGTAATCATTTAATCAGCAACATAACGCACTAATTAAAAAATAACTAACAAGTAATAAAAAAGAAAAGAAATGTATAACCGCCGACATAGATTAATACAATACGTAACTTCGAAGTAATTTATAAAGTTGCACAGTCTGTGAAACGACAATATATAATTCTCTAATTAATTTCTTAAATCCTATTTACTTTTAATCTAATTAAATTCTCTCTTATATTTACTTTTGCTTTATTAGAGCCGCCAAAGCCAACACCAGGTCAATGTGCCACGGATCAATATATGTGCATTTCGGATAGAAGATGCGTTCCATTATCCTCCATCTGTAACGGAATTCCAGAATGCCGAGATGGGTCCGATGAACAAAATTGCGGTAAGTCAATAACGTATATATATTTAATTCTGCAGCAATTCTCATATAAATCACGCATTAAATTGGCAGTAAAATGAGCTAGACGAGATAGATAGAGTCGCGAGTCTACTTCGAATCTTTATATTAATAGCTAAGACTATAATTGACAACGCGACTTCCTGACTTTCTCGTTTAATCAAGATAATCTAAGCGATTCTGCGAAAACGCAGCATAATGACACATATTTAACGACGAAACTAAAGATCGCGAAGCGGTATGCTCGCACGAGGAATGGAGGTGCAAGAGCGGCGATTGTATACCTCAACATCAACGTTGTGATCGCCGGATTGATTGCCCGTACGACGATAGCGACGAGATGGGCTGTCACTATAGAGCGATGCAAAGAAATCACAGTAGGTGCAGCGCGCATGAATGGACGTGCAATGACGGTCATTGCATTCCGCTACATCAGCGGTGCGACAAAAGGCTCGACTGTCCTAGAGATATGTCCGATGAGATGGATTGCAGTTATGATAATTGTGAGTCTCTCCTATAGTTAGTCATCCAGAGCCGCCTTCGGGAAAGAGGACCGCACGACTGGCCGATAACACGCCATGCGCTAATCAATAATACCTTGTAAATATCCATGACACCGTAACATAATATCTGCTGTAACGTAATACTGTAATGTTTTATGTAACACTAAAAGGTATTTATTATCCCCGTTTTTCAACGGATGGGATACAAGCAAATGAGTCTGTATTGTATTTCCATCATTTAAATTGCAATTCCGCCTTTACCCGATAATGTACACACTTTTAATCTGAGAATAACAAATATCTATTTTATGATAAATCATACGAGGAGTACTGTGAGCTCTCTCGATTTTTGTAATGGTACATCGTAGAAGTAGACATCACACTTTGTATCATATTTCCTAAAAAAAAAAATTAATAACTGAACTAAAATATAAGATTGCATTTCCTCGTAAATAAAAAATGCAGAAAGGTGCCGGGTAAAAATTTCGAATTAACAAAATTGAACGTTTATCCTGTACATACATTTATTAATCATTAATAATGATTGTTAATGCTTTTATTATTACTTATTGTTAACTTGTTATTTTTATTCGTGCGCAGATACCGATGGAACATCTGACCTTAGACTGAAGACATATCCCAGTGAACAAGTGATAAAAGAAAGTAAGTATTCTGTTCTTATTAAACCGTGTACGGATTTGATGAAATGTTGTATCTGCATTTGTTGCACTTCAATTTTTGCGTAGTTGTATCATCTAACTAAAGTAGTCAATAATTGAACATCTTAGTTATTTAAATTAGAAAAATTAACACACAAAATAATAGACATTAATAATAAGCAACAAGTGCTGCGTTGCTGACGAATTAGGGTATTCCAAAAGAAAATTAATTAATGAATATGTTTGTTATTTTTTTCTTGCCTTGGCCAGATCCGGCGAAAATAGGTAAGACTTTTCAAAAAATATAAGCTATAAATCATGCTGTGAGCTAAAATAATTTTCATGAATCATTAGATGTGTTAGATTTGAAATACGTATCTCAGTTATGGTATACAAGTGTCTGTATATTATGTTTATGTATCTCGCTTTTTATGATTTTCTGTTGCAAACTTTTCTTGGGGCAAAATAAGCAACAGAATTGATCTTTAAAACTTCCAATAAATTCTAATTATAGCATTAAATATATTTTAAAGTCCGATGTTTTGTTTCGCTGATATATACATATTGTGCAATCATATTAAAATCATATTTATATAATTTTATATAATTAAATCAATAACCGAAAATTTAATTAGTAATATCGTTTGAAGCCATGCTTGCAAATTTTAATCATGCATGATAGTTAATGTCGTTCAAAATTTGAACTAGAACGCAAATTTTGGCTATAAAATTATAATGTATAAAATCTTCTGCTACCGGTATCTAATCCTGATTTTCATATACCTATACATTTTATTTATAATAAAAACTCTTTTGACATTAACTTTTCTTCAAAAAATCTCTATTTCATTATGCCGAATGCCTTATATAAAATTTTTTGCTGTCTATATACAAGCAAAGTTTCGAATAACATGATTAAGAAAAACTAAAGTTGCACGTGAATTGAACTAACACGTCGTCAGTATCGTCTCAATTTAAGAAACGGGAAAATCCGCTTGCTTACCGATCACTTACTGACGGGACGTTTGACGTACCGCGAGCGTAATGATCCGTAAAGGTGCAATCTCTCGAAACTTGAACAGAATTTATATCATGTAAAACCGTTCCGACCAGGTCGCGAGGTCGTGTTCCAATGTCGTGACGAGGGTCTTCTACGTGCCAGAGTACGTTGGATTCGCGGCAACGGCCTTCCTCTGCCGCCTGGCAGCCGAGACATCAACGGTCGCTTGGAGATACCCAACATTCAACTTGAGCACGCTGGAAGCTACATCTGTGAAGCCTTGGGTTATCCACCGTCCACCTCCGGTCGTCAAGTGACCGTCGTTCTTACTGTCGAGAAATGTACGTTCATTATTATGCCTCTCTGATTTACAGCTATGATCGAAGAATTTATTTGTGATAAGATACAGTCACAAGAAACACTAATAACTTTATCTACTATAGCTTACTTAAGCAAATCATGATTTTTACTGAATCCAACATTGAAAACGTTTTTAAACATTAATAGAAAATAAGAGATAATGTTTTCAATTAAATAAGTAAATTCTTATGACTCTCGAGTTTTCAATAGTCTATATCAAATAAGGCAAATGAGAGTCAGGCGCGGTAATCGGTGCGCAACAACAACAGTAAAGAATTAATAATAGTAAATTCTTACATAAATGTATTTAAGTAATTCAATGTTCACAAATTTCGAACGTTTCGGCCGCACTTTGGGCCATCTTCAGCGCAATACATATAAGTTTCGCCAATTATACAAACGTAAAGTATTACATATCCTAAGATAGAATGAGTCTTATTAAATAAGCTGAAATTTTAGTATTGAAAGGTGTAATCAACAAAAAATACACTTAAATAACTCACCTGCAGGTAAGAACGCAAGAAGGGCTTTAAATATCACTGGTTTAAAATTATTAATAAAGAAAAATTCGGATTAAATTACGAAGATGTTATCACTATGAAGTCAGAATCGTTTACCGCGCCTGACTCTCATTTGCCTTATTTGATATAGAATGTTTTCAATGTTTAAGGTGCAGTGAAGATTTAATTAGCCATTTAAAAGTACTGAACTATTCAGTGTGCTTTTAATACTAAAAATAAGCAATTTCTAGTATTAAATTGACCCAGTACTAAATTGGACTTCTGTAAAGGCATTCACAGTTAAATCTTAAATTAAGTTTAAGTTAATTATTATAATAAAATAGTTCTAATAATAGTTAAATCTTATTCTATAGAAATTCGTTATTTTGAGTATTAAAAGTACTACTTAAAATGAGTGATTAATACTCAAAATGAATAATTAATCATTATATCTTTCAATAAATTTCTATAAAGGTGTTAACTACCTATAAACAGCAAGTAAGCCATATTGAGTACTAACAATAAGCCATATTAGTCGCAGTTACCTTAATAAATTTGAAATTCATGTTTTAATGACTGAAGATCGCGTAATATAAAATTCATTACATGCAGTTGAGCAGCCGGTCACCAGACCACCACAAGTGTGCCAGTACGATCAAGCTACCTGCAGCAACGGCGACTGTATTCCCAAATCGTACGTTTGCGATGGTAAATTCGATTGCACCGATGGATCCGACGAGATGCGGTGCAGTAAGTATGATAGGCACCAGCGAAAAGCTGGATATGTCCGGCATTCATACTTTATGGTGAAAATTTCACGCGAACGCTTCGTATGTCCGTTTCGACAGGTCCGCACGGATGTGAGCCCAACGAGTTTCGCTGCAATAATAAGCAGTGCGTCAGCAAGTTGTGGCGTTGCGACGGCGACAAGGACTGCGCGGACAACAGCGACGAGGAGAACTGCGCGCCGTCTCCCCCGGGATCTCCGTGCCGTTACAACGAGTTCGCCTGCAGCAGCAATAAACAGTGCATCCCAAAAAGCTACCACTGCGACATGGAGCGCGACTGCTTGGACGGCAGCGACGAAGTTGGATGCTGTCAGTAACGATGGGAATTTCATGAGCGCCAAGCATCAATATTTTGTTACAGATCGTCTGACAATCTTCGTTAAATAGTAGTTATATAACGTTCAGGAAACAGTCGAAATTATTATTTATCGTACATTTTACATTACATTTTAAAACATTTTACTATTTTGACGTTTCTATATGGAAATTAAATTTAAATTTTATCTTTTCTATTATGAAAGAATCTTCTGCCTCAATATAATAATTAACAATACAGTGAAATATCACTATTGTTGGCCACTGTAACCAGTCAGCCAAGACTACGTTCCATTATTCACTACGAGTACCGAAAATTTACAGTTCACGTTATGTATACTATAATTTTCAATTCTTGCAACGAATAACAAAATGCAATCCAAGTCTGCTGGAACAGATTTTACAAATCGTCTGACAAATGTTATTAGCATGAAAGTTACAAAATTGACAGCAGAAAGCAAACAAAATCTGCATTTGATAGATTCTGTTTGATTTCTGCTGCCAATTTGCCGTCAAGTTATGTTTACAGGCTGTGCCAACAGAACACAAGATGATATCGAATCTGCTGCATTTTTCTAATCAAATTTGCTATCAATCTACTATCATTTTACGGGCAATTTATTTACTGAATATTAAATTAAGTCTATATATGATTTCTTTTTCTTTCAGCTCCCGTTTACATCGTGAAACCTCCACCGCCGATGGTCGTCCTCATGCCGGGCGACATGTTGGTCCTCACCTGTACAGCAATCGGTGTTCCGATACCGGAAATCAACTGGCGTCTCAATTGGGGACATATCCCCGCGAAATGCACAACCGTGTCTACCAACGGAACGGGTACACTAACATGTCCAGACATACGGTTAGAGGATCAGGGCGCGTACTCGTGTGAGGCGTTAAACGTCGGAGGCTTCGTCTTCGCCGTGCCGGATGCCATCGTTGTCGTGAAGGAAAATGGCAATGTCTGCCCTAAAGGCAAATTCAATTCCGAAGCGAAGACTGCTGAAGAGTGTATCTCATGCTTCTGCTTCGGCGTCGCCACCGAATGTCGCAGCGCCGATCTTTTCACTTATCAGATTCCGCCGCCGTTCGACCGCCACAAGATTGTGTCGGTTGAGACCATTCCGACGATTAGAATCCACGGCGACATTAGCAATCAGATATCCCAGATCCGCCCGCTTGCCCGGGACGGCGTTCAGCTGTTAGAGTCCTTCAGTAACGATTTGAATGTCTACAACGTTCCCTACTTCGCTCTGCCGGAGAACTATCACGGCAGTCAATTGAAATCCTACGGCGGCTACTTAAAATATTCAATTCGTCACAGCGGTAACGGCACGCCGAACTATGCCCCTTCTGTCATCTTAAGTGGCAATAATTACATCTTGGTGCACAAAGGTGAAGAGCCAGCACCGGATTATGAGAACGAGAGATCGGTCAGATTCTTCTATGGTGATTGGTACAAGCAACAAGGAAGAAGCGAAGTCCTAGCTTCCAGGGAAGAAATCATGATGACGTTGGCAAATGTTGATAACATTCTTATAAAGTAGGCATTGAGTCTAGAATCTTGATTATAAAAGATATTAGAATAATTTTTTTTAATGCGTTCAATATGTTGCAGAGTGAAATACGACGATTCTCCGCAACTAGACGTTCGTCTTACTAATATCATTATGGACACTGCTGATACGCGAAATACTGGCCTAGGATCCGCGTCCTTCGTCGAGGAGTGTCAGTGTCCTACAGGTACGTATTTCTTCAATGATCAATCAAGTATTTGTGTAACAAAGTTCCATTTGTGTTATTATCTGAATTATCTTCAAGGATATACTGGTCTATCTTGCGAGCATTGCGCACCTGGTTATCTGAGACGCGAAAGCGGACCATGGCTTGGCCAATGTTACAGGGATGAACCACCGTGTCCTCCGGGGTACTATGGCGATCCTTCAAGGAACATCCCTTGCCAGATTTGTCCTTGCCCACTTACGAACCCATCGAATCAGTAAGACAATTAAATTTGCCATTAGTGATATTTCAATTCAAAACACTTTGGTAATTTATCATATTATAAATAGATTCGCTCGCACGTGTCATCTTGGCTCTGACGGCCAACCCACGTGTGATTGTCCTCCTGGCTACGTTGGACGCAGGTGCGAGCAGTGTGCCACTGGTTACCAAGGAAATCCTCTTATTCCTGGAGATATGTGCGTTCCGCTTCAACAATGTGATCCTAACGGCAGTCTTAGTCCTAACGCCGATTCACACGGAAAATGTCATTGCAAGGTACAGCAAATCGATGATAATACCGCTGCTATTACGCGTAATTTTACACAGGATGTCTCAGAAATCACTTTTTTTTCGATTACAATCTCATCTTCAAAAAAAAAATTAAATAAATTGTTTTATCAAAAAATTTATGCGAGATAAATTGCGCAATTTCCTGGACACCTTGCATAACGATTTTATTATTGTTCTTGCATCCATCTTCTGTGGATTACTTTTAACTTTAAAAATGTAAGTATATTTTATAGTCTTTCTATATATAAAAATGTATGTAAATTGAGGTTTAGGATAAAAATGAGTACGACGTCTCGGTCGAGAACTCCGTCATCTATTCTCTAATATTTCTTTTTTTAGCAATATGCAACGGGTCTCACTTGCAACCAATGTAAGGCGAATACCTTTAATCTGGCCTCGACAAACCAATTTGGATGCATAGCTTGCTTCTGCATGGGCATCACCAACAGATGCGTCTCCTCTAACTGGTACAGGAACGAGGTACGACGAAGATATAGTATATAGTGTCTATTTCCATCTTTGTCATATAGATCTCAAGCAGAATACAAATTATGGTATAAAAAAATGATGTTAAAATGGCTCCAAAAAATTACTTTTAAAAAATCGCTTTTTAATCAATTAACATTTTTTTAATATCATTTTGATGTTATCACATGATTTAATCTTTCCAACATGAAAAGCTATGTATATATAAGCGAGATTTTATATTTCATATATAAACTTAACGTACAAAACAAATTGTTGAATACTATTTTGTACAACTTCTATAGAAATATAAGTTATCTCGATTAAAATAAGAACTTAAATCTATCATTCGCACTTTGCAGATTCGTGTATCGTTTACCAACTCGATTCGAAGTTTCTCTTTGATCGAATCCAAGAGCACTGACACACCAGATATTGTAGAAGGAATTCATCTAAACACCATTAACCGAGAAATAGTTTATAGCGAGTTTCCCAATCGTGGTAACAACGACGTCTACTACTGGCAATTGCCCAGCATTTTCTTAGGAGATCAAATAACATCTTACGGTGGCAATCTCAAGTACACTGTCAGATACGTGCCCTCTCCAGGCGGTCAAAGTTCAAGGAACAACGCTGCGGACGTCGAACTTATTAGCGTGAGTGCACATTCGTGAGCCTTAATCAGCGTACTTGACGATGAAGATATAACAGGGTGATTTAAAATGCATACAGGCTAACGACATCAACTTGCTTTACTATTCCCGCGAGTCTCCCGAGCCTAACTCTCAGCAATCATTCACCGTACCATTGCTCGAGCAATATTGGCAACGTAATGATGGAACTCAAGCGGACAGGGAGCACCTTCTAATGGCTTTGGCGGATGTACGAGCCATCAGAATCAAAGCCACTTACACGACGCATACAGACGAAGCTGCGTAAGTACTTTATGCATTCTTGATTATTAAATCTTATATATTCGCAATTAAGTGATAACTAATAATAAACAAAAAACGACTATATAAAAAAGACTAAGCTTTTTAAAAATATTATCTGAAAAGAACATTTCGGAGGACTGTTTAAAAATGTTTGTAAAATATATAATATATAAATTTCCGACATTTTTTTTAAACAAAAATTGTGGATTTATTCGATATTCAATTAAAATAAAATTAAAAACAAGAATGCTTCAAAAAATTTTTTAATTACCGTGATTGAGCAAGAGCATTATGTATGCTTCAGGCTCTCCTTCGTGTCTTTGGACACCGCTGAAAAATATAACACAGGTAAAGCTCGTGCAGTTGAGGTTGAAGAATGTACTTGCCCCGCTGGCTACAGAGGACTTTCATGCGAGGATTGCGACGTTGGTTACACCCGGGCCATTGAAGGTCTCTACTTAGGCATCTGCGAACCGTGCAACTGTAATAATCACACGAATCAATGCGATCCCGAAACTGGCACTTGTGAGGTAATAAAAACAATTTTAATTAAGCGACGACGTTATGTTTTAATTAATATAATGAAATTCTTTTGTTTTTTTTAGTTTAAATTTAATGAAAAAGTTTAATCGTTTAGATTTAAAGTAGCTATATTGATAACTGCTTAATTTAAATACAATATTTTTCCAAAATGCGATTATATATATTTGGTATAAAGATATAAAATATAAAAATATAAAAACTTAACTAAAGTTAATTAGAATTTTATAAAAATATGGCTATGTAAATATGTAGATAGGGAATCAGAAGCATTTGATACAAAAATTGATACCTTACGTCGACAGAATTGCGCTCATCATACTACGGGTGAGTACTGCGAACTGTGTGAACCGGGATATGAAGGAGACGCTACTCGAGGCAGCCCGAACGATTGCACGTATAGAAGTCAGAGACCTGAGCCATGCAGATGCAACGAGGCTGGTTCACGCAGCACTTCTTGCGTCGACGGTCGATGCGAATGTAAGAGGAACGTCGAGGGTCCAGAATGTAATCGATGCCGCCCGTCGACATACGGATTACGCGCCGAGAACATTGATGGATGCATCGAGTGTTACTGCAGTGGGGTAACCGATCAATGTCATGAGAGTACATTATACGTACAACAAATACCGATGTGGGTATATGACTCCCATCACGGCTTCACTCTTACAGACTCGTAAGTATGCTTTATTTTTTCAAGTATTTTTTTAAAATTAATATAAGCATGAATAAATTTCATTATTTTTTTCTTGTTTTATTTTGATAAATAAAATTTGTACATATAATAATAGCAAATAAAATTAGAATTTGGAATGAATTGATTTAATGTCCTTATTTAGGACTAGACGCGACATAATCGACGACGGCTTCGAGTTAAATGTAGCAATGAATGAAATCGGCTATCGCTATCCGGACAGCAGAAGCCGTAGATTGTTTTGGTCGCTTCCGAGTGTTTTCACCGGTAACAAAGTGAAGAGTTACGGCGGAAACTTGACTCTGACGCAGCATATCACCGCGTATCCTGGCGCTCAAAGTTACAAAGATCAAGACATTTTGCTGATTGGCAACGGCATTACATTATTCTGGACGAATCCGGTGGAGCTCCAGCCTGAAATTCCGCTGGTACGTAGAATAGATCCTATATTTTATAATTTTTTGAGAAGATCGAAAAACTCTTGATGCCTGAACCCAATTTACCAAATTGGTAAAATATTATTTCACCATACTTTTTCTAATAAAATTTCTTTACCCATTATTTAATTGAATGTCTACATCATTTATCTTTAAAGAATTTAATTTATAATATTATATGTATAAAAAACACCAAACTCTATATAATGCTATAAATTAAATTCAAATTCAAATGTTTCACAATTATAAAGACGTACATCTTTCAGACCTACACCGTTCCTTTGAAAGAGCACGAATGGAGAAGACTGACCACCGAAGGACCGCGCAGCGCTTCTAGGACGGATCTCATGATAGTGCTTTCCAATCTAGAAGCTATCTTGGTCCGCGCGTCCCACAGCGAGCGAATGACCGCAACATATATCAGCGACATCAGCATGGACACGGCTGTAGAAAATCTGATTGAAAACCGACGTGCGACTCAGATTGAAGCTTGTCGCTGCCCGACCGGTTACACGGGCACCTCCTGCGAAACCTGCGCTCGCGGTTATTATAGAGACACCAGCGATCGGACTATCAGTTACTTGGGCGCGTGTAATCCCTGTCCATGCAACAAAAATGAAGAGAGCTGCGAAATCAGCAGATCTGGCCATATCAAATGCCACTGCCTGCCAGGATACACGGGACAGTATTGCCAAGACAGTGGTGTCGGTAAGTAATAGCGGTTCTTAATGCTATAGAAATTAGAGAGAGAGAAATAATATTTCATTAACACAATTAATGTTTCCGATTACTTTTGTTCCCAAAAAGACAACTTTGAAAAAGAATTGAATGATAAATTGAACCAAATTATATTTATAACGAAGAAATATATCATTCTATGATAAAAAGAAAATAATCTACAATAGGTCAAATTATATGATTTATTATATTTGAATATGTTTTTGTAAGCGTGGGAGCAGAATTTTTTCGTCAGGATTTTACATTTATACATTATAGTAAAAAAAATATTTTAAACTCATCCTTTCCCCCTAAAAATAGTAATGACAATACGTTGGTCAGGTGAGCTCATGGTAAGCCTAATGCCGATGAACGGCGAAGTCGAGCCGTATTCCACGATCCAATTTACGTGCAACTATGACTATCCAGACATGTTTCACATCTATTTTAAATTGTCGTCGTTCGACGGATTTACCATAACTGCACGGAGTGGCGAAATCGGCCCGATAATGAAGACAAAGAAAGGAGCTGTCCGCACTTGGTTCGTCCACATGGGGAACGTTCCCTGTAACGTGGAGTGTCACATCGTGAATGACCGCGGCAAAGAACTGGTTAAAATTGTGACGTCAATTACACCAGGTTTGACGGACTATATAGCGAGAGCTTTCGCATCTTGTCCGTCCATCGGTGATTCATAGCAAGGGCTCGGATTATCATTTCACAACCATACCTGCGTTGTCGCCAGGTCATCGTAAATCATTATTGTCACTGAGTCTGGTAAAAGCACTTTCTTGGATTTGTAGTCTTCATCATGGTTCCGTAGTTTTTCGCAGGATTAGTATTTACGGAAAGGCTTGACTGTTTTCCTGGTATATGGTATATTCAGTATCGCGGATGTCCTGTCGATGTACAGTAAAATATGTGTACCGTAGCAATTAATACAAGTGTATCATTCTTCGAAATAACCGTCATTATAATGATTGTCAAACTGTAATGTGGTGATTGCATCCTTGTGTTACAGACGAATGTCGCTTATTCATTGCAATGTATCCACAGAATTGTTAAATTCAATAATTCCATATCTCTCTGTTATTGTTCGTCATATCGTTTTATTATTGCGTTAAGTCTATTGCAATTTCACGACATGAGAGAAACGGAGAGAAAATCGCGTTTGTCGATTTTTCAAATCAATTTTTTATTTCCCTCACAGTTGGAGAACCGCAAACAACTAGTACGCAGAGCCCAATATCTCCACCGAAAATCACAGTTTACATACAAGAAAATGAATTCCAGATCGTCCATACAGGAAAAACCGTCCGATATCATTGCACAGGCAGATCCAGAGAACATGTAAGTCCTTCATTGACTCGACTTATAAAATGTTTTCATAATTGCAATCCCTTTTTATGATTAAAAATAGGAATCGGTGAACATTAGATGGGAGAAAGAAGGTGGTCAATTACCGCCTGATAGGAGCGTGGACGATTCGAATGGACTTTTGGTAATTAGAGATGTGAAGGTGTCTGATAGTGGCATATACGTCTGCCAAGTGAGCGACGGAACAAACATTGGATATAAAAAAGTCACGTTAACTGTTGGAGGTATAGCGCAAACATGATTAATTCTAATTATATTACTCATCAAACTTAATATAATCTCGTAAATTCCCAGATAGTAAAATGTCTGCAGTTTTCTAGCAAACTGTCAGCAGGTTCCAGCAGAAAATGACGGCAGTCTATCATTAACTGCGTCCGCATTAGGCTCGTGTTCTGTTAACATCGTTTGTCGATATAATGTAAAGGCAAATTGTTGGCAGAAACTGAGCAGATCCTGCCGACATTCTGACGCTTGAAAATTCTGTTACATTTTTTCTAGCAGTCTATCAACAGTATTATGTACATCTAATTCTGTTGTTATTTTGTTGGCATAGTGTGTAGCAGACATTTAAAAAATCTGCTTTCTATAGACTAGGCTATCTGGGTTATTTTACTATAAATTTTGCGAAACAAATTAAAGAATAGATTAATTAATAAATCTCAATGTTATTTAATTATTATACATTGTATTACTGGATGCAGCGTTTCCACAACACTTGTTGGAAATACCAGGTACAAATCATAACCGTATCAAATCCGTGAATAGAACGTAATTTTATGCCTTCTTTAAGGAACCAACCCGGTAGAGCCTAGAGTTGCTATAAGTCCATCGTATCAGCAAGTGAGGGAAGGTGAACCTGTTGAGTTCCGTTGTGAAGCCACTGGTAATCCGCCACCCCAACTGGATTGGATAAGAGTTCACGGAAGCATGAGTCCGGAGGCGACATTCTACAACGGCGTATGGAGTCTTCCAGCCGCGTCGAAGAACGACGCAGCCGAGTACAAGTGCGTCGCCAGGAACAACGTTGGCATAGACGAGAAGACGACCATCTTATATGTTCAAGGTACGGTCAAAGCATTCAGAAATCTCGAACATCACGACATTTAAATCTCAAACTATTGTAGATCATACGAGAATTATTTTTTAATCCTCCGTCTGGATCTTTTTTCTCCAGTTCAAGTTGTTCACTGTGTTCTAGGTTTTCAAAAGAATGTGGAAAAATTTTAAGTTATTTTTTAACATCTTTATTGCACTAAATAGGTTTCTTTTATTTTAAAAGAGAAGAACCGAACTTCGCTGTCCTTTATTTTGGAGAAATTTGAGAGTTAAATTCAATTGTGCCAAAAAAGAATGCAGATGGAGGATTGACATTGATTTAATAGTATTAATCTGAAACTTACAGCTACAATTCGTGCTTTATTAATGAAGACTTCACATTTTACGTTGCAGATAATCCTAATAAACCACCACCTCAAGGCCTACCGCCGACTATAACTCCGTCCGAATGGTCCGGAACCAGCGAAGACGTCGTCAAGTTAATCTGTACACCGTCTCAACATGTAAATGTCACCTGGACGAGGTCCGGCGGATTGCCGTTGCCTTATACCGCCAGTCAACGTGACGGTATTTTGACGATCACCAATCCCACCCCCAGCGATTCCGGCATATACGTGTGCACCGCGACGAGTGTTCGCGGAACGGAGACGAGCACCACTGCCAGGATTACGATAATGTCTCGGAGAGAACCACCATTGGTCACGGTCAGACCGTTCCGGCAGGAGGTGAAACAGGGCACTGTAGCTGAAGTACGATGCATCACCAGCGGAGAGCCAGGTCTACAGGTGAAATGGAGCAAGTACACGGAAACAATGAGCTCCCGTGTCCAACAGGTAGGGGACATGCTCAGGATTATTAACGTCCAGGTCTCCGATCGAGGAGTATACCTCTGCCGGGTTGCTGGTCCCACAGGCAATTACGAGGCCAGTGCCATCATCGAAGTTGAACGTAAGCTCATAGTACCTAAAAAAAAAAACAAAATTCTCTTCTAAGCCTGCTATATATGTAATTTATATTCGAATGACTAAGCAAAAAGCGTTTAAAAATATTTGGATTAAATAAATTTTTTTTTTCTAAATTATATTAAAAAATTATATATGAATAAAAAAAAATGCACATTTTTAAATAGTGCAATTGACATCAAATTACTGATTTTTCATATAAATCGATATAAAAAATTCATTTTTGTTTCAATTCTTTATTAATTCTGTAAGATCAAATTGTCTTTTTATTACAGCTCGTGAAGCTCCAGTTTTAGAGCTGTATCCACAAGATATACAAACGGTCATCCTCGGCGGTTCCGCCGATCTTCAGTGTCGCGCGAAGGCTGGTTTCCCAGCGCCCGAATTGCGATGGTCTCGCGTAGACAATCGACCATTCGCCTCCAACATCGAACAACTTCCTAGTGGACTCCTCAGACTGTCGAACATCACAGCGAACGACGGCGGTGCCTACATCTGTTCCGCGTCAAACGAAGTCGGCTCGACGTCAGTTATCGCGCATATCGAGGTGCAGTCTATGCCTGTGATCACTATCACACCGCAGCACGGTATCTTGCAGGTGAAACGCGGAAGTCGAGTCCGTTTGATGTGCAGCGCGAGCGGTCATCCGCAACCCAATGTGGCTTGGAGCAAATATGTGAACGGAATAACGATACAGTAAGTTCACTTCATTATCGTACAGTCTTGTGAGCTAATAACAATTGTAGGAATTAATTTTTAATTACGTTAACTATTAATTTTAAAGTGTAAATTTTTACATTATTGAAATACAATTTCGTAGTGTCTAGGCAACAAAAGAAAATTTTATATTACACTATATATAAATTATATTATGATATTAAGTATTCAAAAATTAAGCTTAAATTACGATTTGACTTGGTTGTATCAATGCTAGTTATTATTAGATCACATAATAATTTTGTGACATTATTATGATTTACAGGGACACGTATAGTAGAACAGCGGCTACTCCTTTAAGTGCCGTTTACGAGATATTCTCTGTTTCACCCGACGATGAAGGATCCTACACTTGCACAGCTACGAACGCTGTAGGAATAGCCGAAGAGCGTGTCCAGATCCGCATCGAGGATGATGACGATTATGTGCCTTGCACTGGCGACAGAGGCGATATTCCATGCGACGATGATCGTCAGCGACCACAACCTGATTCTGTAAGTATTATAATTTTGTCACCTCAATACACAATAACATATTTTTAATGAAAAATTATTTACAGAGGGATCCGAATCAAACAGAGGGAGGAGTATTGATTCCCAAAGACTACTTGAGAATCCCGGACGGTGGCAAAGTGGAGATGCGTTGTCAGGTCTTTGGACCAGATGGAGACCACATCTATCTGGACTGGAAGAGAAGCGATCATCGTTCTCTTCCAGAAGGTAGCACAGTACACAATGGAGTGTTAAGTATCCCGACTGTTGATAGAAATGCGGCTGGAGAGTACATCTGTTTGGGCTTGGATCCTGCCGGCACAGTGCTCTTCCGGGCGAAATCTCATCTTGAAATTATATGTGAGTATAAGACAAGTATAAGACGCATCAAATTAATGTACAAACAAACTGCAAGATTTAAACCATATGGAATAAATAAATTTTAAATCGATTTTTCTTTAACAATTTTTCTTTAAGAAAAACTGCATAAAGACTTTTTAATTTATTTTTTCCTTCGATTTTAGCTCCACCAAGAATTGAATTAAATCCAACGCGCCAGACAGTAGGACCTGGAGAAAATCCATCTATAATTTGCACCGCTACGGGAGATGAACCTCTGCACATCGAATGGAAAACCATAGGACGTCCGTTACCATATTCTGTATCGGACAGCGGTGGCATCCTGCAATTCCATGGCATCACATATTCCGACGCTGGCAAATACGTATGCAAAGCAACGAACGCAGCAGGAACGGCGGAAGCAGTAGCAGAAGTTTTAGTTAATGGTTAGTTAATAATCAGTTAGATTTTTAAATTTGCAACGTATACAATTTTTTTTTTATTTTCTCTTAATTACATTTATGTAAAAAAAATTATTTTATATTAAAAGAAAAATCTAAAAAAAATATATATATAACGCAATTATATGTATAGTATATCTTTAAAAAAATATACATTTTTTTAATGTGAAATCCAGCAAACAATTAACAATAACATAACTATTAGTTCTTCACTCACTAATATAACTGTAGCATAATATGTATTATATTACAGTTATATTATTGAGTAGAAAATTATAACTAATAATTATGTTACTGGTAATTGGTGATTACTGAGAATATTCGTACATAAAAAACATCAATTAGTGTAAAAATGTAATATGATTTTTTAATATTTGCTAAGACAAAATAATATGTTTAAATATCCACCAAGCCTAAAATGTGTTTATTAAATATTTGAGAATTGCTCAGTACAGCAAACTATAAATTGATATTTACGATTTGCAGAACATCCTTACGACAATGCAAGGATCCGCGCTGAACAAAGAGACGTAGTAACTCATGCCGGTAATTCTGTACGCTTACGTTGCGAGGTGCGCGAACGTGCGACGATCCATTGGAGCCGAGAGGGGCTACCGTTGCCGGCCAACGCGCGAATCGGAGAAGATTACTTGGAGCTGACGCAAGTAAAACCGGAAGACAGCGGAAGATACATCTGTCAGATCCAGACGAGCCGCGGTGTATCCAGCGATTATATTAATTTCAACGTTTCTCGTAAGTTCAGCTATGTTTTCACTAAATCTCGTCGTTTCAGCATCATTTCACAGATTTTTGCTTTCATTCGAATGCATCTACTGAAGATCGCAGTACACACGCTAAATGATGTGTCGCCTATTGAAAAATCCTAATTTTTGCCTTTAATTCTTTCGGGATACTATAATGTTATTCTGACTTTTAATATCCCGAAAGGATTAAATCCCAAAATGCTTTTTTACAAAATACTTTGCTATCTCTCAGCGATTTTTCATCAATAGAACATTTTGGATTTTTGGTTCATCTGAAGATTTCAATTTCTCATTCAGGACGCGACGGATATAAAATGCTAATTTCACGTTTGCCTTAATAAAAAAAAGAATCGGCACGGAATTATTTATCAATATATATTTAAATAATAGCAATTTAAAAATAAGTGTATTATTTTATAAATTTATACTAATCCGCATCACTCATATCACTAACAAGCGCGCAGCAGATTACTCTCAGACAATACAAACAGCAAAAGACATCGTGCGAAAGCATTAAAGGAAACACATTAACAAACAATCTGAAATTCAAAATTTTCTGTAATCAATTATTGCGTAGATAAATTTTTATAAAAAATCTAAGGATATATTATATAATATATAAATTACAAATTTGCTAAATATTAAATATTTTTAAAAAATTTAGACTGTGGAACAATTCCCTCCGCCGCGGCATGATCGGACAAGTGGTAAGTTTCCAGAGGCAAAGATGATCTAAAATAAAAAAAAAGAGTTATTTAGATTATCTTTAATTGATTTTGGAAGTTTAAAAAGTAGAAAATACTAAATTTAAGACACTTATTAATTATATCTTCGAAAATACAAAACGAATATTGAAAACTCATACTACGCAATATCATGTTGTACATTATCATACCAATAACTCGGAAAAATGGCATTTATTGTCTGCAACGTTTGTGTTCTTCGGAACACAAAACGTAATTCAGTTAATTATCATTGAGATATTGCAACAAGCAGACAAGAAAAATTATAGTATACCGGTTTACCCCGCTATCCTGCTTTGCCTCAATCTTCCCTAATTCTGGGCAAATTTGTAGATTGTGTATTCCTAAAATAAAAATTAATCTACGTAATAGTTGACTTTAAAAAAATCTCGAATTTTAGACCTTGTCAGAGTAATATGACTCCTTAAAAAACACCTTAAATGTTTAGATGTCTCTTGAATTTTTGTATGGTTTGGTCTATAATGAGATCATATATGTATATTACAAACGTGGTTCCATGAACGTTTCCACAAGTTTAGGTTTTTTACAAGGCTCGCGTTATGATTTAGTAGTTAATTTGCTTGCGGATTGCATGCCAGTGTACCGATCGCAGTGCAGGCACTGGGAGTATCAATGCAGAAGCCTACAATGCATTCCGATGGAATACTTTTGCGACGGCTATGTTCAGTGCAACGACGGTACTGACGAACGCTTCTGCCGCAACGCGCGCTATCGCCAATATCTTCAGAGACAACGCGGTTTGTTTTGAGATATATGTGTGTCGTGTGATGTCCCGTAGTTCTCCTACTCGTAGTGAACTGTCCTTTCTTGCTTACTGTACGAACCCATGAGGAAAGGATACGGATTAAATTAAATTAAATTAAATTATTATGAAGACTCTCTTTGACCGAAGACACCAAGCTTGGTAATGTGTACAAACAAGTGAAAAGATTCTAAAATGTTACGAGTTTCCCGCCAGTTATCTTTTTATAAAACGTAGAAGAATCTAGTGCGGAAGAAGTGCACCCGTATCCCATCCTTGTCAGCAGCAAATATAATATATGTGTAAATCAACACGTATATACTTCAGATTTTAATTCGACGCTATTTTTTGTTAAAACTTTTATTCTGAGTAAATCTTTATGTAATATTCTTCTACAATCTTTGAATGCTAATATTAATTATTCCTTCAACAAGAAATAATTTTTTGTTATTTACGTAATTTTTCCTGGCGAATTTCAAACATGATATAAGGAGTTTAGGTATAAATACATCAAATAAAACGCTGCAAACGCATCTCGAAGTTCATTTTAGAAATCGATAAAACTGTAGTATCTTCTTCATGCTACGATGTGCAAAACAGAATATACATTTTCTAATTCTACGATCAATCTTAACAGATATAGCCAACATGCGTAATTCAATTCTAGCTGCTGCAGTGCCTTCAGTAAGCATTGAGGTGTCTCAAGATCCAATAAACATCGGCGACACCGTTGATATACATTGCACATACACTGGAACACGCAATCCACGTTATCGCTGGACGAGACCGAATCATGTGAGCCTACCAACAAACGCACAGGAGTACGGCAACGTCTTGAGGCTAACTAACGTAGTCGTTAGCGATAGCGGACCCTACAGGTGTACAGTTGACACACCCGAAGGCGTACTCGCGAAGGACTTCAATTTGATCGTCCACGGTAATTATATAAACAAACAATTAATATATATGTGGCAAACATAGATAATCAAGTATTTACACGAATATTCTAATGAAAGATTACACGTATATTCTTCTACGTATATCTCTTTTAATGCACAAATATCTACTTTTTGCCAATGCCCACTCAAACTGCATACGTTTTATGTAAGTATAAAGCCGACGAATAATTAATTTTATCATGAAAATTATTATGAACAAAGGATTTTATGATTTTCCAGGCGGAATCCTCGATGAACCAGCAATTGAAACCAAATTGGCGCCGTACGGATCAAGTCTGGAAATGGATTGTCGGTTAGATCTCGATCCGCCAATACAATTCCAGTGGAACAAACTCGGTGGACTTTTGCCACGTGACAGTCAGACTTACGAGGTACATAAAATGCATACGTATCATATACCTATTTCTATCTAATCAGGAATTTAATGATAATTTCCTTATAGAAATTTAATACTGGAAAGTAGTGATTACTTATTTTGAGTATTAAAAATATTCGATACTTTTAATACTCAAAATAAATAATTTCCAGTATTAAATTGAATTTTTGTAAATGTTATATTATTTTAGTAAAATGTTTTATGCCATTTTTTTTCACGATAATTCGATATATATTTTTCATTTTGCAGAACAAATTAAAATTAACTAATGTAAAGGCTGAAGACGCTGGAACGTACATTTGCTCCGGAAATAATGAAGAATCGCGAGTCGAAGTACCTACGGTGCTAGTTGTAACAGGAGTTGTGCCTAATTTTAGTCAGGCACCCGAAAGCTACATTGCTTTCCCTCCTCTACCTGACTCCTACCTCAAGTTCAACATCGAAATCTCTTTCAAACCGGAAAGTTATGATGGCATTCTGTTATACAACGACGAATCTGGTCATGGTGACGGCGACTTTATCGTTTTATCTCTAAATAATGGATACCCACAATTCAAGTAAATAAAACAAAATCTTAATAAATATGTACGAAACGCGTCACGAGTAGCGCCTTTTATTTTACTTGTAGAGTTCCGACAAGCATGGAGTCAATTGACTTTTATCTGAAACTTCATCTAAATAAAATTTTAACTTAATTATATAAACTTAATTATATGATTAAAAATAATTTTAAATTATTTTAATTTTTTTTTTTTTTTTAAATAATCGACATTAAATTCAGCACGGAAATTGTAATAAAAAGTGGATAATTTCCTAAATGCGCGTTATTAACGCGTTATTAACATAACGAATTTCTTAACAGATTCAATCTCGGTTCTGGACCAGCTGTTATTCGCGCGGATAAACCTGTCACCTTGAGCGAGTGGCACACCATTAAGATCCAACGCAATCGAAAGGAAGGAACAATGCTGGTGGACGGCGAAGGCCCTTACAAGATGGTCGCTTTAGGCAGACGCCAAGGTCTCGATCTTAAAGAACCCCTTTACATCGGCGGAGTGCCCAGCTACAGCAGAATCAACGTACAAGCCGAGGCGAACACTGGTTTCGTCGGGTGCATCAGCCGACTAGTCCTCGGGGAGAAACAAGTCGATCTAATTGGCGATCAGACTGATAGCGTGGGCATTACGACTTGCGAAACCTGTGCCGAGAATCCCTGCAACAATGGTGGTGTGTGTCAGGAAGCAGCCACGAAAAACGGCTACACATGTCTGTGCCGAGCCGGTTTCAGCGGCAAACATTGCGACAACATCGGACAATCCTGCTATCCAGGTATGATAATTTATCACATTTTAATTTATACTTTTTGTCCAGTTTACTACAACTACAATTTACTACAATGATGTCTATCAATATTAATTACGATCTATTTTGTAATAGTCATAATTATTAATCTTAAAAATGCATAATATATATGTGTATTAAATATTATTTTTTTTAAATCTTAATATTTTATTGCGCGCGCGCGCCAATTTAAAGTTTTTAAGCAACAATAAGACTTGTAATACTAAACACATTGAATGATATTAGGTGCTTGCGGAGAAGGTGAGTGCATCGATAAAGAAGTCGGCGGCTTCCATTGTTACTGTCCAATCGGGAAGACGGGACCAAGATGCGAGCATTCGGTAAACGTCTACGATCCGGCTTTCCATGACGACAGAGCTTTCATCGCTCACGAGACTCCAAAAGCTCTTAGACGGTAAGTACCTTTGCTCGATCGAACGCACGTGCACGAATTATTTCTTAATTGCACTTAGTCGATGTTAGAAGCGCACATGATGGAACATAATGCAACAGTGATTGTGTCTCATATTCATTTTATTTTGAGTTTTTTAAGTGATTATTTGTATATAGTTCATCTACGAAAAATAAATGAAAAATAAAAGAAATTATAATAAGACACACTCTGGAAAATTATTCTTCCAAATATTACAAGATATGAGAAGTTTCGAATATAATTAATGATTAATAACAATTGTACAGTTAGAAATAAATTTTATTTAATAAATTTTGTATTTTTCTGAAATTTTTGAAACACGAAAAAAATCTTTATCTAGATGTAAGAATATTATAAATATAAACATATATTATAAAAATATATCTTACGCCTTTGACGAACTAACAGATTTAACTGTAATTGGAATATAGGTACTAATCTCATTGTCAGTGCATATGAACATCCTCAAGCATCCTAATTACTAAAATTCTTTTCAGGGAAAGAGAGAGTTCGACCACTACACACAGTCGATCACGATTACGCAACGCACAAATTAGGAAACCACGATCAAGGCCACATCACCACAATAATTTGCACCACACAAAACATTAGCTAGACCTAGCACCAATTTTACGCACTCAGAGAATTTTCATTACTTATCCAATCACAACAATAAACTTTTCCCTCCGTCTAATAAAAACCACCATACATAATGAGCTATCTAAAATTTTGAAGATATGTTTATATCTGTATCCGAAAAGATTAGTCAGCTCGATTTGTTTTTGTGCCAATTTTTCACTGCCTATTTTTCTTTACGCGTAGTGGCGATGGTTATAATAATAAAACGAATAAGCAATGAATTCTTAACAGGTAGTTTGCAACGAGCCTACATAGTGCGTAGTTCCTTGTAATGGACATGGTGCTGTAACATTAGAACCACAGTCAATATATATATATATTTACGAATTAGTAATTAATACGTTTTGTACAGCTTCTTAATTAATACATTTAACGCGTCACTTTAGTCATTATTAATTATTAAAAGTAATACGTGAATCACTGCCAAATCAGTCGCATTTAACAGTTAGTCCCCACTCAAGCTTAGAAAACGTCAAAGTCGTAACAATCACATACGTGTATATGACAGTTATATATGACAGCATATGTAAAATGTTTGTACTTATATATCTAAGAATCTATATATATATATATATATATATATATTAAAAGAAAGAGATGTTTCACGTACGAAAGATCGTTTATATACTCAGCGGACTCATGCTATACGAATAAATATTTTTAAAGCAAATAAACGGAAGTCAGTACATGTAATAAGTCACATACGTTAATTTAAGTTAACATTTTATTCGATTTCATCACCTTGCATGTCGTAAAACGCTAAAAAGATATAAAACAAAGAGGTAAGTTTTAAAACAAAAACATTATTCATATATTTGTTTTGATAGTTTACTTAAACAAGCTTTTATAAATGTTCATGTACATATACGTATGTATGAATCCTTTCCTGTCTATGTTCTTTTTAATCCTTTTGCACGTGTGCTTTTGTGTGCAAATCGTAATAGATTTTATTGCCATTAAACTAATTTCAGTTAGCTTTCTTTTTTTGTAAAAAGTATAAAGCAAAGAATAATCGAGTTATTCATATAAATATTTTACGCATAAGGAGGATAAAAACTAAAAATGTGCAAATTGAGTTTTATAATAAACAAACTAAATGGAAAACTAACACACGGCACATATTGTTTAAAATTCTTTGAAAATGTAAAATAATACGTTTTCCTTACCTGTTCTATACCTAATTCTAGGCTTAAGGTAGCCATGAGTTTTAATCCGGCGGACTCTGGAGACGGAATCTTGATGTATTGTTCTCAAAATGACGAAGGCCTCGGAGATTTTGCAGCACTCGTGATAAAGGATAGGCACATCGAGTTTCGCTTCGATATCGGCTCTGGAATAGCGACAATAAAATCACCTCATCCCGTTCAACCTGGTGTATGGGCGCATGTGACGGTGAATCGAGATTTCAAGGATGCGAAACTGTCGGTGAATGGTGAGCCATTTGTGGAGGGCAAGTCACTCGGAGCTGCGAGAACTATGAACCTAAATACGCCTCTTTATATTGGAGGGGTTGATCACAGAAGGATCACGGTCAATCGAAACGTCGGTGTTGATCGTAGCTTCCGTGGATGCATAAGTAAAGTAAGCAAAATTATTGACTATTTAATTAGATATCAAACTCCGTAATTAACTCTGTCTAGTATTATTATTTAATAACAGCTTTAATAAAAAAAAATCATAATATCTCGTAATATTTTTTATTTTAAATTTATAAAGCTTTCTGAAAAATGTCTTAATCTTCAGATTTTATCTGTTTTTTTTTGTATGGAAATTATACAATGAAGATCCTAGAATACTTCAGAATTTATATTGTATATATAAAGAATTTTAGAAAAAAGATCTACCGAGAGAGAGGGAGATGGACAGGGAGAGGGAGAGGGAGAGGGGAGAGAGAGAGAGAGAGAGAGAGAGAGAGAGAGAGATGAGAGAGAGAGAGAGAGAGAGAGAGAGACTGTTTCTCATCATTTCTGAAAAGTGTTGTCAATTCATTGTATAAAAAAATCAGAGAAATTTTTTTTTAATAATAAAGTCACATAAAGTTCTAAAAAATTTAGAAATATATATACTTATAAAAATTGTTAAAAATTATATGATAAATTTTAGGAAAAATTTTTGCCAGAGAAGTTTTCTATGAAATCTAAAAAATATTTCTTCTAAAAATATTAGTGTAAATAAAATAAGAAGCTTATTTTTTATTTTAATATCCGGTATTTAATATATTTTTTGTTATTTTATCTGGGTAAAAATTATATATATTGTGGCGACTCGTTACTAGATCCACGGGACTCACTCGGTTCGCGTAAGCACCGCGCCACGCGAATTCCCTTTAAATAGAATATTCTGGATTCATTCCAGGCGTCTAAGACAAGTCCCACACTACATCGCCTTACTGATGAGTCTAGTAGCGTGGGACCAGGACGAAACGACCACAAAGCTTCGAGTCAGGTCTCCTTCGTGGACATTTCCACAGTAGTATGGTGCAGTTTTAGATGCCGCTTTAAGCAGGATACAGTAAAGTGCAAATATTGTGACCAGATGTATAGAAATGACTGTATCCTCAGTTGCATCCAAATGTTGCCATATGATATATAGTTCTCACAAACTGATATGGATGGAACATTTATGCAGAGTGCATAACATACATGAAGGAGGAAACGAATTAAGGTAGGAAAACCCACCTTGTATGTATGAATCATGCTTAAAGCGGCATCTAAAACCGCACCATTTACTACTGTGGAAATGTCTACGAAGGAGGCCTGACTCGAAGCTTTGTGGTCGGCCGCAGCGTTTCGTCCTGGTCCCACACTACTAGACTCATCAGTAAGGCGATGTAGTGTGGGATTTGCTTTAGACGCCTGGAATGAATCCAGAATGATATTCTATTTAAAGGGAATTCGCGTGGCGCGGTGCTTACGCGAACCGAGTGAGTCCCGTGGACCTTTAGTGGCGAGTCGCCACAATATATATGGACAAATTTTATATATAATTATCTATAATTATATGAAATGTTTTTTTCCGGGTAACTAAATTAATAGGAGCTTTCCAATAAAATCTTAAAGAAAAACTATATTTATAAGGAATAACGTAAAGTATTACAATAAGATGAAAATATATAATAATTAACACATTTCATCGCAATAGAGAAGAAGAAACTCCATTTTTAATGGGTATTTGTTAAATTATATTATAGCTCGAAGTTTCGTCGATCAGTTTGGATATAATGAAGTCATCAATCGACGCAGCTAATATCGAGGACTGTTCAGAGCCTCATCCGAATCAAACAATGATTCATACCACTATCACTACTCCAGCATCCACGCAACCGCCAACAACGTTGTATTATCCTTGTTCATCGAATCCTTGCATCCATGGCCAGTGTCAAAATTTAAATGATGATTATTCGTGTATATGCGAATACGGATACGCAGGCAGAAACTGCGAGAAGATGCAAAAGCAATGTGAATTTCTCACCCCATGTAGAAACGGTGGTACTTGTACAGATCTCCATGACTCCTACAAATGCGATTGTCGCCTCGGTTACAACGGGCAAAATTGCGAAAAGTGTGAGTATGAAAAAAATGTATACTATTTATTATATCTAAATTATAATTAATTATGCAAAAAAATTAATTTCCTAAATTTTTTAAAATACATGTGTACGTAAAAAAAAAGACAAAAATTATTTCTCGTAACGCTTGTATATATAGGTCTCTTTATATAAGATACGTTATAAAAAGTGTCACTATAATAATTAAAACATAGTTAAATATAATTTAATTATATTATATTAAAATTATATGTTTAAAATGTATAATAAAATAATTAAAAAATAGAAATTAAATAATTATGAATAATGTGATTATATATTTATAGTGGCAGAGATTACGTATGATGTTGCCTTCAGAGGAGACGGCTGGCTGGAACTAGACAGATCTGTTATGATGCACGAAGAAGAGCGCGAGGTTTTCGGTCTCGAGATCAGCACTAATAAGAGTTACGGATTGATCATGTGGCATGGTCAAACGCCGAACGATCTAATTCCCGATGATTATATCGCTGTTGCTGTAGTAGACGGGTAAGCAATACCGAGTGTACTTCAATAGCGGCGCATTTATAGTATATTTTCACTATTTTTTTAAATTCAATTGAATTGAAAAACTGCATTTCCTATTTAAAATTTTGAATTGAGCAGTATTCTCACGATGCGTTTAAAGAACTAAATTTTTTTTTAATTGAAAGGCATAGAACCGTTCGCTATTCTAATCTTAAGACATTTTGAATCTTTGTATATTTATACGATTTTTGTGTTCCCAGATACGTGGAATATCAATACAACTTGGGCTCTGGTCCCGCTGTAATTCGCATCACCGCCCAGCGCGTCGATGACGGGGAACGGCACAGGATAATCCTGAAACGTCAAAGAAGCGACGGTAGCATCGAACTGAACGGCGAACATACCGAAAGTGGTGTCAGTGACGGACTTCAGCAAATTCTTGATGCAAGGGGTAACGTTTATTTGGGTGGTTTACCTGATTATGCAATGACTTACGGTAAATACCATGACGGATTCTCCGGTTGCATTTACACGCTGGAGGTGCAGGACTCAGGGGCTATCGATATCGGCGAGAAGGCTATCAGGGGAGTAAATGTCTCACCATGCACCAGGTAAACATTGCACTAGAATTTAAAAAAAAAACATTTTTTCTCCAAATGTGTAATTACACAGTATTTTTTTGTATTAAAAAAAATTATTTCTACTTTTTTGAAGCTAATTTCTTCTTACGGATCTTTAGATTTTTATTAGTAAATTTAACACAATTTAGAGTACAACAAACGTAATACTTAACTCAACAAACAATACACAAAATTTGATTTTTAATTACTTGCCAGTAATCTAATGTTAGTAATCTAATAAATTATATTCTCTAAAATTTTTAGAGTGAATCTCATTATGAAAAGTGAAATTTCATTCTTAAAGATTTTAAATTGAGTTACCCTTTTTTAAGATTGGTTCACTTTTTATTCTTTAGAGTGAAATTTCAAACTCCAAAGAATTTAGAGAAAGTAGAAATTATTCAAATAATATATTAATTGTTCAAATAATTTCTACAATTCATTAGAAATATGAATATAAATTACATGCGGTAACGTTTGAACTGACTAACATCATTGGATATTTACTTCGCATGCTGCTCAGAGTAAGATGGATACCATCTTCGCTGGTATTCACAGATGCGGATGCGGATGGATTCGATGCGTTTGTACCACCGCCGCCGGTGAACATTATTCATCCGAAACCCGCGTCCAATCTTGCCGCGTACGACATGACGAGTTATTCATTATTAATTATACTTCAAAATCTCATCGCTTTGACTAGGGACGTTAAGGAACAAAGTGTACTTTTCACGCTGTTATGCGTAGACGCAGTTAACGTTCTCAACGGCTTGTTAAGCTAAATGAATAGAACATTATCGATTTCACTTGTCGGAAATACACATTTCCCTTTAGACCAAATCATGTTATTATCAAATCACGCTGCAAATGTACAGTATTCTTTAAAGGATGTGTATTTCTGCGAGTTTACATAATATGTACAGCTAATAAATTTGTAAATTATTTAATGCTTAACACCGACGTTGGAAGTATAACACGGCAAAATTACGGTACGTCACTTTTCCATCATTTTTTTCTTCTGTTATAAATATTAATGTACTCGATATTCAATCATTACTAATCCATAATATGTAAACTTGTTTTTAAATATTGAACAAAATTCTTATAATATCTCATAATATTTTTAAGAATTTATCATATTTTAAAAGATGTCTTTTAGAAGACGAAGATCTTTTTGAAATCTTACAACTTTTTCTTAAATAATAAGATTTGTTATGATTCATTATTTTTTATTGTATTTCTTATTTCAAAATATGAGGTAAGAAATACAATGTACTGTATCAGCACCACTGTAATGGATTTCTCGTTCTGTAAAAGTTAAATTTATGAAGATTTCTGAAAAAAATACTTCAAACTCTTTCACGATTCAAGTTTCTTTCAGAAATCAGAATGAAAAATTTTAGAAGTCTTAAAATATTTCAGAATTTACATATATGAAAAATTCTATAAATGTAGATTTTCTCAGCATTTCTGAAAAATGTTCCAATTCATATAAAAAAATTTGAGAAATTCTTTAAAAAGTTATAAAATTATACAGAACTCTAAAAAATTCTAAAATTTACATAAAAGTTGTGAAAAATTATATGAAGAATTCTAAGAAAAATTTTTATGAAAGTATCTATTAATCTTATGTTTTTTATTTTGCAGTGATCGAACTGATAGACTTCCCACACGCGGTGACCTCGAAAGATATTGAAGAGAAGATTCGCATTTGCATCTAAGGAATATACCGTGAATTCATACCACTTACGAGCGGTTATACCATTGATGTAAATGTCGTGTTTAAAGCCAAATATGTACGTTAAATTTTTCATACATATCTAATATTTTGAGAACATTAGAAATATGAAGGATCAAAAGCAAATCTGTTATCACAGCTAATCAAACGTTGTCGAAATATTGTGTAATATATTAAAGATGCAACTTTTCGATTGAAGCAATTTGGTTTGGCGAGGCATTCTGCATATACGCAAAAATCGAAAAGTAAAACGTATTTAAAATGCATGTACTCCTTTGATGGTTTATCATGAACGACCTGAGGTAACATGTGAAAGATACGAAAGTAACTATTGCTAAACGAGCAACAAAACAATTTTATATCCATAGATATACAGAGTCTATCTGCACTAATATATTGCTATCTCGATATTTTATAATAACTATAACGTTTTATACCGCTTTATTTGTACAAAACGAGTAGATACAATTCAATTCGCAAGTAACAAATCATTATTTTAAAAGCGACAGAATTTAAGATTTATGCATTATTCTCATCTAAAATTCTTCATTTACTATCAGTTGCAATGTAAATACAAGAAGGATGTAGCAATTAAGCTTCTCATGTCTTTCCTGTTTCTCCTCATTCTGTTTCATGTAATCAACCGCTTCGCGGTATCTTATTTTTGCGAATCAGCTGAACGACTTGGAGCAGCTGATACAGTGACTGATACGAAAGGAAAATGTGTTGATAACGATAAAGTACATAGTTATAATTTTTCACTGCCACGTGCTGATTTATTCATATTTATAATACGATAATAAAGTTCTGCGTTGTATAGGAAATAAATTCTATTATTCACTGGTGTATGAGTGTAATCAAAGCTTTACTAAGACTTTGATATATCTGCCGTTACTATATCAGAAAGACAATAAATTCTCGTCACAGTCATTTCGTTATAGAAACGATATTAACAACTTTTCTATAATCGATATTAGGTATCGAATTTTTACACTTGAAAAGAGAATGCACATTTATATATTTATAATGCGAAATGCATAAATTACGGACATTGCTCTCTATTAATATCTGAAAAACGAGAACCTTGAAACAAAACACATACATCAACAATCAAATATAGAGGATTGATGAACTTGATTGATTCTTCGAATCCAGATTGCACTCATACCATGATGAATACTTATCATTTACCGTATTATATACGCATGTAGGTGCTTAAATGTGATTTTTAATGCAAGGGAATAACAGGCGAATAATCAAGGATAAATGAATAAGTAATTGAACGGTATCATCGAACGTACGAACGTATGTACGTTTTTTTTATTAAAAGAATTTAATCAGGCTGCGTGATATGTAAACGAAGAAAGTTACATACGAGAGAATAGTGATAGGAATAAGGATGGCGTAAGTAAAAAATGTGTGTTGCTACATATATAAAATTTATATCGAATAGATTATGGAAAACTCGCGTATAAAGTAAACAGTAATTAGCGTTCTCTAATATTCTCTATATTTGAGACTTCGAAAGTAAAACGTACAATTTGATAATAATAATTGTTCGGCCATCAAGTTATATCATCTATCGACGCAATATATTGATAATTTATACATTATAATTTTCCAAATATCAGTTAAAGTGCAATATTTACTATATAAAATAACATTTTATTGTATTCTCAACGGTTAAAACAATTGATTTTAATCTTCTTAAATCATTGAATCATATTAGATATACTTACAGAGACGGAATATTTTAATATCAATATAGCTTGCCGCACAATTAACCCCCTTCAATTATATATATAAATATGTTTTCTTTGCAGTGTATCTATATCTAATACATTTTTATGAGTCTGTCATTTTTCTACTTTTTACTTTTCCATGTGATTATATTTATTCCGTCAAAAAGTATCATCTAATTTATACAATTATACTTTTCAATGATCTTCGTACAGAGTATCCCAATTTAATCCAGTTAATTTTCTCCAAAATTATTGATGGTACAAAAAGATGATTTCAGATGAAAATGGTACAGCCTCAAGGGAAATGCATTTTGGGTATGTTATTTTTTTTCTTCTGTAGGAATGTGAATGAAGGTGACCTTCATATCCTTAATTTCGGCGTCTCCATCGAAGAAAAAAACATAACTAAAATACGTTCTCCTTGAAACCGTTCCACTTTTATTTGAAACTTTTTTTGTATCACTAATAATTTCGAAAAATGTAATTGGATTTGTTAAAATAGAACACTCTGCATAACATATGTGTACTGCAATATGTGCGTTGCCGACATTTAATGTTTCGTTAATATATTCCTTGCGATACGTAATTCGATTAATAAGCTAAAATTATTGCGCATAATGAAAAAAGAACGTCATTAAACGAGATATTGCCTTTAGATATTATTTGAAGAACGGAATACCGAAATAATATATCATAGCTCCTGTGGAATTTTGTATGTTCGCTATGATTATTCTATTATAACACATTGTAAATGATCATGTACAGAAAAAAACCGATGCATATACTTGTATAATTATATTCTAACACACCTTAATCGTATACCGACATCGAATGAACGCTTTTTGATGTTCATGCAAACGTTAGTTACATAATAATGTAATATATATGTATATTGCATTATTTGTACAGGGTGCAATAACAAATATTCCGGTCTGAAATGCCTTTTTTACGCGATTGCGGCGTTTGGGTGTGAAAAATGCCAGTGGCAGCATCCTAATTAGAACACCTCAATTAGGAGCAATGTTTCAAGTATGGTAATAGCCAATATTGCTCCACCCTGTATTATAAAATCATACTGAAAGTATCTACCGTAATATATATATGTAGTCTATTGTTACATAAAAATTCTTCAAAGAAAATGAGACAATAAATTATAATTTTGCTAACAAACTGTGTGCTTTTATTTCATTGTGAATATTTTTATGACTAATTAATAATTTGTAATTTCTTAATTCTAATCAAATATTTTAAGGCTCCTGAGTACTCACTCCAGCCCATATTTAATCATAAGTGAGAAATGTATCATAAGCGACACATTAATTTTTCTTGCATACCATTTGTAAATAAAGAGAATTTAGATAAAATGAATATTTTTTATAATAAACGTTTTATTAATAAAATTAAATGTTGTATAAAGACATATAATGATAAAAACTACGTACTGATACATATATATACCACTAGACCCCAAAGATAATCTTAACAAGCGTTTATTTACATAATTTTACAAAACTTACATATTATTTTTATATTGTATACTAGCATATATCGTAAGTAACAATTACGATATTAAACCTGAGTTGCCCATTCATATAAAAAATTTTAAGACAAAAAATTTACGACTAGACAAGTAAATGTGTAAATTGGCATCAATACACTATAATATGTATACATATATGTATAATTACATATCACAATTAAAATTATTTAAATAATAATATATATATATATATATATATATATACACAAATTTTTCTAAATGTAGATTCTTATATGACCAATTAAGCTAATCTCGTCTTCTACAAACATACAAAATGCATTCTTTTTTATGTGTTAGATCTTTTTACAAAATATATGATTACACTAGCGCAAAATGCTATGAATCAATCTTATATCCAGAAATAAATGGAAGCCCAGTACCTACTCTTCTTTGGTATTGAACATAGTCTTCACCGAAGAAACTTAATAAAGTCATTTCTTCAATCAGAACACGATCATGGAAAAAACTCCATGACATCAGTGCGTATGCAAAAAGGCATAGTGGATTCTGAAGTATTAACTGGAATAAAATGTTATTTAAAAATTAAGTAATAAAAGGATACAACCAAATGCCTAATTGTAAAAAATTTATGATATCTCACCTGTGTTCCTATGGACCAATAAAACCATCCTACATAACTAGGATGTCTACAAAGATTATATACACCATGTGTAACAAGCTCATGATTGTCCCTTCTCTCATTTTGCACAACATGGTTAAAATTCTGTTTTGCTGTGCACATTGCTAATTTTCTTAAAATTTCACCAGAAATGCATAATATTAGACCAAAATAACACACGAGGGAAGGTCTTTTCATTAAGTTGAAGTAATGCCTCTCTATGATAAACTCCATCCAACTGAGACATGCTGCTACCCCATATGCTATACTATGATTAAGGATGAAACTGTCGATCGACAGTGTAGCTGGATTTGACCAGGCAATAGCTAAAAATTCCGTATAATGAAAACTCGCTAATACTGTTGTATAAATGCCAAACACCTGCCATGATGGTGGAGCATTAATTGATATTAAAATACCAATTCCAAAGATATATCCAAGAAATAATGCTCTGACTGCAACCTATAAAAAACATAATACCTTAAGCACATAAAATTTTAATATGTAATGTAACATGATAACGAGACAACTTACTTGATAAGTAAAACCACGAAATGCCAGCAATGCGGATACATTTATGAGAATGTACTGTACCGCATGTAAAACCCAAATATTTGTAAAATATGCGACATAAATATCGAATCCTAACCTGAATTGCAGTTCAGGGAAAAGGGAGATTAAACCTGCTGTAATAAAGCAGAATAAACTGAGAGCTCCTTCGCGACACATCTTCCTCGTGAATCTTTAACTCTCGACACTTTTGAAGTGATGAACGATAGTCACGATTGGTCACGGTAAACAACTTGACATATCCAACCAACTCTCCAACGAATTCTCAACTATTTGTAGTAATTCATGGCTCATACATTTTTATGACAGAAATCTTGCTTTATGTTGGCAGTAATATATTGCTTAACACTGTCAAATAGGAAGAATTAAAAGTCAAACTTTTTAAAAAGACAATATGAGCAAGGCAATCAAAATTATTGAACAAAAAGTTCTTACGTCAAACTTCTCTTTCTCTTTGTTTTGTCGATCACTGCACTCTGCACTCTGCACTGCAGTTGACTGCAGTACCGTCACGTCTGTGGTGGTCGGTACTGTCAGTGATCACTGAGGGTCAATGACTACCTTTACGGCTCGATTTACGCTAAAATTATAAAATCGATGTTATAAAACTGGCCAATCACAATCATTCCTTTCTTCAGAGGAATTAACTGTGGTTGGCCAGTTTCATAACATTGATTTTATACCATTGTTTTATGGTAAAAGTAGTCTACGTCCCTGTAGGCAGTCACCGACGAAGTATTATTAGACTGCTAGAGAAAATTTTCTTGCCCCTCAAAGTGGCCTGGGGGAAGCCCAGTCGCAATTTTAAAGAGCGTTGACATTATCAACTATTTTGACTATACAAATACGACATAAGAAATGAATTAAAAATGTCATTATTTTCGACATTTTAATTTAAAATTAAAAAGGATTGTACTTGATCATCAACACACACAACACAAAAGAAACACATAAGAAATACTTTCTTTTCAAAATATTCAAATGTTGAATGATTCACCGTGTAATGAAACAATACTTTATTTTAAGTATATGTGTGATATCAATTAAGAAATAAGATAAGCTATATATTTTTTATGAATATATGTATATTTGCGTTTTTATAATTATAAAAAGTCCATAAAATTTATCAAATATCTTTTATTTCTTATAATTATATAATTTGTGTTCATGAAACAATACATATCAAAGAATAACATATTTAAGCAATCACATAAAGTGTATAATCGTTTGATGTAAACTTATTACTTACTACAACATTTAGAGGTAAATGGTGATATCAACATGGTTTAGAATATTGGTAACGCATGAGAGTTTACAAGAACATAAATTTCCATGCAAAATAATTTTAAATCTTGTAAAAAAAAAATAAAATAAAATTCTTTATGCAAAACAAATTAAAGTTTCTTATCCAAAACAAAATATTGTTCAATAATATAATGAAATCTTATCTTTTTTTATATGAACATGATTTCAGCGTAATTGGAGGAAGAGTTTTTTTCGTGCTTATAGCTTTAGCTTTCTTGAAATCCATAAAATAAAACAAGTCAAACAAGTTTTTCCTCGTATTTTTAAAACCATAATTACGTAACAGTCTTATAAAATCTTTCACATCCTCAAATCTGTTTTCCATTTCGACTATTTTCAAGATACCACTAAATTTATTGGAACAAAAATGTTAATTTCTTATGTTATCCAATCAAAGAACATCATTATTACTTACTTGTCTTTCAGAATCCTATTGGCTTCTATTATATAGTCGTTAAGATTAGATCCTATTAAAGAGAGACAAAATACGACAACATGGATGCTGTTTGTTTGTAATGAAGTAGAAGCCATATCACAAGCTTTCACTCTATCATTCAGAGCAATGAAATCAAACGAATGTACCACATGAGGAACAGAAGCAGCGAGTTGTGCTTCACCACATCCAAAATCAGCGATTATGTTGTCCATTGGCCTGCAATTATCAAGACATTATAATATTTAGGTTCATGTAAATTTTGTTTAAGAATAAAGCATATAATATACAAACAGTTCTATAATTGATGATATTATAACATCCAATGGATTCGTTGTCCATTGTTCAAGTTGCCATTTATATCCTATCTGATAAGCCTTAAAGGCATCAGGATTCTGTTTAAAGTAATGCTTAGATTGCGAACTGTTATTATTGCATAATATCTCATTTATAACTTTGAATCTAGTTGCTTTTAACTGTGTTGTCACTCTATCTTTCAAAGTTTGCATTATTTCCGACTTTCTAGCAAGCATTTCTTCCAATTGTTTAATTTTTCTCATATGTTTGTTCAGCTTTAACAATTCGTCTTTATTTTTTATATGTTGCGCTTCTACTTTAGCTGACATTCGTTTCATTTTTTTTCCAGTTATCTTTTTAAGTTTCTCAATTTTTGTCATTTTATGCTCAAAATTAATTGATCCTTTTACACGCCTTTCTAGTTTCTTGTTTTTTTCTTTTACATCATCGACTCTTACAGCAGTCTTATTTGCGTATTCAAGATTTAGCTCCAGCTTTCGGTTATTTTTTTTCTTGTTTTCTGATTTATTATTTATGTTAATTGATAGTTCTTGAAATACCTCTGATGTTTTTTCATCATCCTTCGAATATGTCATTAGAATATCTGATTTCTTCATATCGTTCACACCACATTTATTTTTTATTTTATGTTCCATTTTACTATCTGTATTAATCTTTATTAAAGCATCTGATTCTTTTGTATCTTTTACATTAGATTTAGTCGCAGAATGCTTTTTCTTCTTTTTGTTCTTTTGCTTGCTTGTAAGTATATTCTTATCTATTTCATTAGATTTACTTGGTTTCTTTGAATCATGTATGCTATTTAATAATTCTTTATCATTTTTTTTTCTGTGTTTCTAAAACAAAAAATTTTTTAAATCATAATAATAATATAATTATACATAATTTTGTGTGTGTGTGTTAATTTAATAATAGTAAGTATTAATAAAACAAATGTCATGCTCTTATTTTAATAAACTCTTATGTGTTTTATAAATATTGTTACTGAGTTTTAACAAAATTGTTTGGGAATTACGTACATTAAGGAACATCATCCAAAAATCTTGACTTTGACATATGTTATTAAGGTCATGATCCTAAGTAACTTTACTTTAAGAACTAACTGGCTGCCTCTTATAGGATCTAAAATATTTAAAGTATAATTTTAGTAGAAAATTTTGACCTAAACTCTGATGATCTCAACCTTGACATGATCATGACCTTGACAATATATGTCAAGGTCAAAATCATGGGAGTTTGTTCTCCAAAGTAAAAATTTCTACTAAAATTATACTTTAAATCTAATAGCATATTTAATTTACCGACTCAATCCGACTCCAATTCAATAGTCTGTTCTGTTTAGGTACAAAAGAAGAGCTTAACTGTACAAGGAATGCAGCTAAAAAGAATAGACCATTGTTCTTTGACTCAAAGCAGGTCAAACTAGTAAATTAAATGTGCTATAAATGTCTTAGAAACTATAATAGATCATTACCTAGTTGTTAAGGCTAAGTTATCTGCAATTAGAATCATGACCTTGACATACATCAAGATCAAGATGGACACAGTGACCTTTAATGTATACATAATTACGGATTATTTTCAATTAGAATACTGTTAGTGATAATGCTGTTAATATATCATTATTTTGGTATATCATAAATTGGAAAGTAGAATGGCGAAAATAAAGATAGGAACGTAAATTGAGTATATATACGAGGAGAGTGATGGAATCATTGACGAAACTTCTAGAAAGCGTAAATTAGAATCGTGAACGTAAGAGGCATTTATTTCTATAAAATATTTTTTTATGTTTCGCCCTTTTAATTTATGCTCCTGTTACTGTTCTTGCATTTGTATATGTGTAGATTATGTTCGAATTAAAATTTTTTCAGGGAAATGAGGGAACGAGAAGGGGACTTGTTTGTGTACATATTACATATCAGATTTAAGAAATCAAACGAACAAAAAAATATATATATATAAATCGATTACCTTAATGACGTATGTGCTAGTATTTTTTATAGCAGCTTCTTGATCCTGTGCAGTTCTTTTTAATTTCATCATTGTCTTATCAAATCAAAAATATCCTAATCACGTAAACCAATCCACGAAACGGTCGTTAATGATCATTCAAAACTCGTTCCAAACTTCCAACAGTTCCAACTCAGTTCCGTTTCGATGCGTTCAGAAACTCTATCCCCGGCGGCCTCATTTCTCCTGGCGCCAAGTGTTGCAAACACTGGCTGCGTTCAGCAAACTCAGCAGTTTTGCAAGGGAGGATCCCGTTTGCCTACAGTTCTGATTGTACACACCACTCATATCAACTGGTGCCTAATAATTTTTCACTGTTTTGCCAATGAGATTATTTTATTTTTAAATTGGCCAATCAGCGATACATGTGTGCAATATGCGATGTGTGCAATCGGAGCCCTCCCGTTTTGCAACCGTTTTATGATTCGTCGCGCTGATTGGATTATACTTTTAGATTTAAAGGATTAGTCCTATCTCAGCGAAGAATCACAAAACGGTTGCAAAACTGTTGAATCTGCTGAACGCAGCGACTGAACTATATATACACTGGAATAGGCATCTCCGTTGAGAAGAATAGAAAATCGTAGCCGCAATTGATCAGCCGCTATTTTGGCTGGGTCAGATGCTTGAGCGAATCAGAAGAATTTCAGGTGTTCATGCGCACTTACGTTTAGTGTTCTTTATAGTGTTATCGGCTCGATCGAGTTTGCACCAACCTGGGTTGGATTAATCTTTCCTATTGGTTGATGTTACCCGCTCTACCAATAGGAGAGCACAAAATTAATCCAACCCAGGTTGATGCAAACCCGATCGGGCCGAAAACGCTATTAGTAAAGCCTTGTGTCCATATACCATTCATGTCCATATAGATTTCCATACATCGATAGTACATCGGTCGATACATCGATCGCAACGCGCGCGCGAGTGCTTTGATTCGCTCAAGCATCTTACCCAGCCAAAATGGCGGCTGATCAATTGCCACGAATTTTCTTCGATATCCATTCCAGTGTATATATAGTTCAGTGGTTGCAAACTAACCACTGGCTGCGTTCAACAGACTGAACAGTTTTGCAACCATTTTGTGATTCTTCGCTGAGATAGGACTATTCCTTTAAATCTAAAAATATAATCCAATCAGCGCGACGAATCATAAAACAGTTGCAAAACTGCTAAATCTGCTAAATGCAGCCACTTTTTCTAGCCTATATGTGCTCTTTTAATGCTGAATCGCGGTATTGTATTGGATTGTACTTTTAGATCTAGAGAAATATGATCCTATAGCAAGACTATGGTCCACTTGGGTTGCGTTCCTTATAAAGCGGGGAGCACAGACACTTGCATAACACATGAAGCATAAAAAATTGAACCAACCAGAGTTTTTCATTTCATGGAAGGAAGAAAACGGAGGACTTTGATTGATACATTTTCTTATGCATTACGTGATATGTATTAGTCCGGATCTACAATAGATTTTAAGAAATGGGCGAATCACAGTCGCTTATTCTCCTAGAATTTGATTGTAATTGGTCAATTTCTTATGACTTAAGACTTAAGTAGTAACTACAATAGTAGATCCGGGGTAACAGCCCTTCTACAATAAGCTGCAAGTCAAAAGTTCTAAGCGATCTTAAGTCATAATCGGTGAAGTTGGCCAATAGCCAACTTGAACGACTTGGTTAAGACTGGTTAAGATTTCTGACGTTCTGACTTATGGCTTGTTGTAGAAGGCCTATGAATTTTAGCTGTTGGGTAAGTAGCATGATTACCCAATCACATGCGTGGATTACCAGATTTACCTCACAGGTAAAATTTACCAAAAGCGCCGACTGTCTTTAATAATATTTCGTCGATGTCCATTTGATATAATAACATAATCACGAATCTTGCACGGTTTATCTTTTCTCTTTTTCTTTTCAATGTAAAGAGAAAAGGAAGAAAGATAAACTGTGCAATAACTTCAGCTAAAAAGAAGAGACTTATGCCCATTTCCACCAATATAGATTAACTTTAATCTCGGTTCAACTTACTCTTCGTCTTTTTCTAATCTTTAGAACTAGAAAAAGACAAAGAGTAAGTTGAACCGAGATTAAAGTTGATCTACGTTGGTGGAAACGGACCTTAATAGGCCTGTTCTTTTTGATTGAACGTTTGCACCAGTTTATCTTTCTTCCTTTTCTCTTTAGGAGAAAAGAAGAGAAAAAAAGATGAACTGGTGCAAAAGTTCAGTCAAAAAGATCCTAATATCAGTAATATCTCGTCGGCGACATGTCAGTGTGACATGTCTACTATATTTTTTCCTCCAATTTTTTTAAGAATTGCAGAATACAGATGTTACAGTTTTTGTGATGGTGTCAACACAGTACAATTTTAATGGTATTATATTAATGACATATATCGCTGTAACATATGTATATTATATACAACGTATATTATAATACGATGATTATTACTTATATTTCGTAATTTGTGAAACGACAATAATGGATAACATCAAGTACATTTATCATTTGCCATTTTCCGAACGATCAGAATTTTGTAAAATTATGAACCAAAATGATAAATGGGAAGAGCTGGCAGGTAATCTCTTAAAAAATGTATGTTTGTTTCATGCTGATCTATTTGTTTATTATTAACCTATTCATGTCATTTACCTGCTTTCATAATTTTGCATTATATTATGCTTATATTTTAATATTCTCCAGTTTGCTCAGCCAATTGTTTTTAACAAAATGTACAATAATTTATGTATATTATGTGTAAAACTAGTACTTTTAGTTATATTTTTTTATATTAATGTAATATCAATAGGTATTTGGATGCAATATGATGTTTTAACGATACAGAGTTTAAGAAAGGAGAAAAATCCCACAGATGAACTTTTGACGCTATGGGGTCATTTCAATCATACAATAGCAGAATTGTTTGTATTATTGTCCAGAATGCAACATTATCAGGCAATGGTGCCTTTATTACCTTTTGTTGAACAAAGATTTCATCGGCTTTTCTACAACGGAGAAGCCAATTTGCAAAATATGTCACGCAAGCAGTTGGTTAACAAAAATACTAAAGATTTAAAGATTGGTACACAAAACTTTAATCAACGTGCACTGCCTCAGCAAAGTGTCAATAAAATTTTTAATCAACCAACGGCACAATTGGGTATTAGTCCAAGCAACTCCAATAATTTATTGGTAGCTTCGCCAGCAGCTGCTGCTGTTTTCTTACCATCTCCACAAAATACTGGTAGCAATGAAAAAAAGATCAATGAATCACCATTACCAAAAACAGAAACTACTTTGCCACAAGCAAGTTATAGTGAACTGGCTATTGCCACAGATGGATGGAATCAGCACAACATATTAGGAAAAGGTGGTTTTGGAATAGTATACAGAGGTATATATTATCTAATTTATACTAACATGTAGCTTAACAATTATAAAATTAAAATATGACAAAGATTAAAGACTTTAAAAAAATATGAATTGAATAGTTTTAATTTTTAAGTAGCACTGAATTTTTTTAAATGGATATTTGTTATATGCATTCTAATTGACTTGGAAAAAAAAGCAGATTAGCAGAATATTTGATTAAAAAGAATTATTTATTTATTTACTATTTATTTATTAACTTACATTTATGTTCATATATAGGCTTTTGGAAAAATACCGATGTTGCAATAAAGAAAATCCGACAAAAAGGGTCTGATTCAGATGAAAGTTACATATTGCAACTCCAGCAATCTTTGAAAGAAATAAAGATTTTAAATTCTCGTACTCATGAAAATATCTTACCTCTATATGCATATAGTTTTGGTGGCGAAGCACCGTGCTTGGTTTATCAGCTAATGAAAAATGGGTCTTTGGAAGATAGACTGCTATTAAGACAAAAGACTAAAGTGTTAACGTGGATGCAAAGACATGAAATTGCTAAAGGTATAGCGCGCGGATTACAATACTTGCATACTATCGGTGACAAACCATTAATTCACGGTGATATTAAGAGCGCAAATATTTTGTTGGATAAAAATTTCGAGCCTAGGATTGGCGATTTTGGTTTAGCACGGGAAGGTCTTGAAAGAGATAGTATGAAGGTAAATAATTAGATGCTAAAAAATTACGAGACTTTCTTAGATTTTACGATTATTTAAGAAAATATATATTAAATAATATATTAAAAGATGTATAAAAAAATTTCTGATATAGTAAGCAATTATTCCGAAAAATTATTGATAAAGTATATTTTATCAATAATTTTTCTTATTGTTAATATAATATATACAACGTAATTGATAATTATAAATATTAATAATAACTATTAATAATTATTAGATCAGCAGAATTCATGGTACAAGACCTTACCTGCCGGAAGAATTTTTACGTGACAAAAAATTGTCTACAAAAATAGACACTTATAGTTACGGTATAGTCTTATTCGAAATGGCGACTGGTCTTCGGGCTTACGATGATATACGCCCTGAGAAGTTATTAGTAGATTTAATTGAAGCTTGGAAGGATAAAGACATTTCTTTATTGATAGACAATAAAGCTGGTGAAGAAAACAAGCAAGTTTATAAGAATTTAATATCTATAGGAAAATGGTGTGCTAATGGATTGGCACAAAATCGACCTGAAATGATACTTGTATTTCAGACATTGAATGATTTATGAAATTTAATATTGGATAATAGTTTGTGAAGATGTACATCATTGTTATGAAACATAATTATATTTCTATATGTATTATACATATATATATTCGTTATATATTGTCAGTTTTACTGACAAATTTTAATTTTACAAAATAAAATTTATTAACATAATTTATCTTATTATATTTTCATCAAAAAAATTCAAATAAATGAACTATTAACTGTAAGGGAGTGTTTATATTGACCGTAACCGTATGCCGTATGTCGTAAGAATTGATTAATCAGTCGAGTATTTCCCTCTCCTTCGATGGTAAGAAGGAAATATTCGAAGATGATCGATTTTTACAGATTATAGCATACGGCATACGATTACGACCAATATAAACGCTCCCTAAATTGTATTCAATACAAAGAAAAAATATTTTTATGTTTTATGTTTTTTGACCAACTTCGCAATATTTTATTGCTTGTTGTAAAAGTAAACGTTAAAACAATTTTTTATAATATGAAAACAAATAAATAAGCTTAAAATTAAAATATAAAAACGGTTATATAATAACATTCTTTTTTTAACATAATGCAGAGAGACCTTAATGGAATATACTCACGTTTATATTCAATCTTACTACATTATTTTGTACAATTATCAATTACAACTTATATAATATTAATTTTTTATTAAACAGCCCGGGAAAAAATGTTTCATATATAATTATATATAATTATATAAAAAATTGACATTTTATACATAGTTATATATAATTATATATAAAATCCGTCTATATATATATATATATATATATATATATGTATATTGTATATGTAACATTTTTTCCCAGGAGATTATAAAAAATTATATTCTCTCACTTAAATATAAGTCAAAATTAAATTTATTCACACTAATATGTCCTATCAATATTAAATACATATACATATACATAGAAACTTAATAAATTTGAATAATCTAAATATATAACATTGTACAATTGCAATTTAAACCTAAAGTTACAAATAATGCAACTTCGCGTTTAACTATAGATAATAGATATTATTTATGTTATTGCAGTAATTTTTTTAGTATAAAATATAAAAAATTAAAAATGTATATACGATATAAACATTTGAAACTGTATTTAGATACAGTTTCAAAGGTTTAGATCTTTCTTGTTTAAATTTAAAATGTGTCATTATTTGCATCACCATATATACGATATGTATTATATATATTTATATATATATATATATACAAGTGTCCGTGATTGTTAAAAAAGTTCCATCGATATTCACTTTATTTGTAAATTGATGTGGATCGCATATCAGTGTTATGTGCAAATTTACAAAAAAAAAAAACAAATTTTCATGTTTCCATGCAATGATATGCGATTGTAAATATTTTTCACTATGGCACCTAATTATAATAATCTGTCAAACAATCTGTTTGTGATGCGATCTTCTTGAGCGGCGATACAATATTGATGGGAGTATAATGGCCATTATACAAGGGTACCCTTGAATCGGAATTGTCGTTATTTTTAATCATTTCCTGCTCTTGCTGCTGTTGCTGATTGAATATCCACATAATAGATATCAGCGATAACACTGACGTCGTCACTCCGATTATGCCAAGTAGGTACATGAACATTATCTGTGCGATCGGTAATATTCGAAGTACCAACTTCAATATGATTGTTATATAGGTCGGTAACGATGTAACAGACTGCAAGGAAGAGATTTATTCACTGCATGATTTGTTTAAAACAAAAACATAAATTTATAAGAATATATATATATATATATATATCATATTAGCCACTATTAACGTTTTCATTTTATGCTTTTTACGCAAACGTATGTACATTTCTCTAAAAATATCTTTTATAAATACATAAGAATATTATCATATTTTATATACATTTATTAATCACATTCACTGTTATTAGAAGCTATGAATTACAAACACAAAAAGTTCTAAAAATGTATGCAAAAAATGTAGAATTTTAAATAAAACTTTACATGCTGAAAAAATGAGAAGAAAAGCATTTTATAAAATAAATCAATAAATAAAATTTAACAATAGTTATTAGAAGTGGCTCAATAACATAAATAAGAAGGAGCATACCGTCACATACGCAAGATGTTTTTTGCACGAATCATATATTTAAAAGTAAAAATGTAAACGTTTCGGTCACGTCTTGATCATCATCAGTACAAATAAAAGAATGCGAGATGTTAAATAATAAAAATGTTATTGAAACGTCGAAGTGAAATTTAAATCCGAAAATTATTCTAATTCCTCGATCTTTTTTTATATAATCTGTCTATCTTTCGTAACGAGGAGCAATGGAAGTTATTCATATTCAAATGTAAATTCTTATTATTTTTCGGATTTGAATTTCACTTCGCCATCTCAATTGGCGTTTTTATTGTTTGACATCTCGTATTTTTTTATTTGTACTGATGATGGTCAAGACGTGACCGAACATTTACATTTTTAATTTTAAATATATGACTTGTGCAAAAAACATTTTGCGTATGTGGAACTATATGCTCCATCTTATTTTAATTCAATAAAGAAATTTCACTTACATTAATAAAAGTGGCTTTAAATTAAAAAATGTCAACAATAAGCCCGGATCCTCATACGGACAACAGCGCTTTGACACCGAATGCTGATTGGTGAAAAACGGATGATGAAGGTAAATTTTACCTCCACAACCGGCTTTTCACCAATCAGAGCTCTGTGTCAAAGCGCTGTTGCCCGTATGAGGATCCGGGCTAAGGAGCATTCAGCCACAACGCTAGATGTATTCAGCTATAGTCATATATTTAAAATTATAATTGTATATAGACGTTTCGGTCAATATTTGACCATCTTCAGTACAAATGACGATATGTCAACTTTTTCATTTGGACCTGAGATTTTATCTAATTGTGTTTATTGTAATAACTCTTTTATATTTGTACTGAAGATGGTCAAATATTGACCGAAACGTCTATATATAATTTTAAATATATAACTATAGCTGAATACATCTTATAGCGTTGTGGCTGAATGCTCCTTATTATTGACATTTTTAAATTTTACTTAATATCATAGAATCAAATTAATAACTTTGCAATTATCTGGTATTATCGATTCGCATGTTAGAGAAATTAAATTTTTTTTTTTTTTCATGAATACGATGATATTACTCCACAAGTTGCTAATTATAAATACAAAAAGAAACGAATCAGAGAAAGTCGAGAGATATATAATTAACATATATAGCTTTCATAGGAAATTTTCTACGTCTATTCAATAAAGTTTCTGATTACCTACCAAATCGGACCAAAATAAGGGTATCGTTGTATCACTGAATACTGCAATTTTAGAATTGTAGCGTAAATGACTCATTATCAAATTCGTCTGCATTCTAGAGTGGAAGAACATGGGCATACCAACTGTCTGAAAGGACGTGAAAAAAAGATTTATTAGCTCGCGTATAAGATTACATATTTAAACAAATATTACAAAATCTGAGAACATTAGAATTTTTTAATTTGAGAGAGAGAGAGACTTATGAATAATTTTGCCTTATTTTCAAAAAATAATTTTTTAATCTCATGTTGGATAGTAATTTCATTTCTTTTTTACTAATAAAAACACCTTTCATTATAACTTAGTTTGTGAAAAAGCTTTCAATAGTATGTAAAATCTGAAGTGTATTAAAGTGTAATTAGAATTTAATTCTTTCAGAGAAACTTTTGATATCGAAAATCTTGGTACGTAATTTTATTTAAGAATGTCATTTTACATAAGATCTGCTCTTTTTCCATATCCCAAGACTGAATTTCTTGCACGATTAATCTTTTGTCTTTTTTTCTCTAATGTAAAAAGAAAAAGAAGAAAGAACTGTACGAGAAGTTCATTCCTGAAGTATGAAAAAAGAACAAGCCTTAAACGTTAGATAAGACAAAAATGTCAATAAATAATGAACCACTTTCAAACGTGTTCTTCATAAGCAATTCTGAGAAATTCTTTAGCTATTAAATAATTCATACACGTAAGACTTATCTAATCCCAATTATACAAGAATATGTAAGTAACTGGTCAGTAGTACCGTAAGCCTAGATATACAATCATATAATATATCTTCAATATTTGCGGCAACTCAACATACATTCTTCGACAAAGAAAGTTACACACGGGTCTATACTTGTGTTATATAATTATACACGGAATATGTTCGTACATCTTTTCTTTCTTTTGTTAAGTTAGTGTTTAGCATAATAAAAATAATAATAATAATGTAAGAAAACATAAGAAACAATTACAGAGATAATTTTCGCGTTATTTGTTTTAGAAAAATCAAGTTTGGAATTAAATAAATTTGGAATTAAATAAAATTATATGTAAAATTATAAATAATTGTATATGAGCAATTTTTTTTATATTTCTTTAAATTTATTTTTTTCCAAATAAAACAATTCGAAAATTATCCTTGTAATTACCTCTTATTTCTCATTATTATTATTATTTGTTTTATTATAAATATTAAACAGTAATTTTACAAAAAAAAGAAGGATGGATATGTATAGACATATGGATATATTTTAATATATGGATATATTTTAGATATAATTATATACGTTTTAAAAAATAATGCAAAATTATATTTTTAAATAACTTTTAATATTAATTAACTTTTAATGTTTATTATTTTTACCTGCTGAATTATTACGTAAGATTTATGTTTCTCTGGATCGGGTTTAAGACCCTCCACATTTTCTAGCAAACTCGGATCGGCATCAAGGAAATGTGGTAGCGATACTGCTGCTGGGATATCTAATCAAGGCAATGAATTATTTATAAAACATGTTATGACAATACGTCATCTTGGAGTGATTGCATGTATCTTCATGACTTTCGACATTGAGTAAGAAAATTTCAAAAATGTGGTAATTTATGGCAGATTCAAAGTAAATGACCTATATAGTAGCAAAGCCATGATATAAACTCGTAAATCTGTACAGTAATTACGCAGTGGATCTATATACTGAGAATTACAATTTTTTATCACTTGCATGATAATGCGTACTTTTTCACAATAATGAATTATATTATAAAACATACATTTCTGCGAAAAAATTATAGACCCGCATAATTTATATTACGCAATATTTAAATGCGGTATTTAAATTTAGAGGAGAAGCCCCTATTATGAGATACCGAGTTCATTAATTTTGGGTAAATGCTAGAAGTTTATGAGCAGAATTTAAAAATAATAGGTTATTTTGAAGGGAATTTAATAAGCTTTAAGATAATATATTACATAAAATTTAATTCAAATTTCATTCTTTTTGAAAATTAAAGAAATGTAAAAAGTGAGCAAATCGCAAAGTCAAAAAATTGTGCTCCTAATATGAGATAGCTCGAGACATCGATAGTAAAACGTAAAGTATATCAATATTGCAACTAAAAAACTTTATTTAATGTTTCTTAAATACAAACAAACACAGCCAGGATGCGCGAAAAATGAGTATGCGATACATTATACCCAAAACTCTTCAGGTAGTTGAAATCAAGCATCGCAGAAATAGACACTCGACGTTCATTCCGGTTGTCTTTTTTATTATTGTACAATAACATTTATACTTTAGCAACGATTTTCACTATGACATGGGAGCATGGGTTATTTCATATTAGAAATACCCTGGGTATCTCATATTACGATTTCCCCGCCTTACGATTGTGTGATCATCAAATCTAACTTCTGTAATTAAGCAATTCAACATATCCCGTATTTTTCTATTAGTACTTACTTTATCACTACATGAAGAATTTATTGCCAAATATTTATTTATTAAATAATAAACAATGTTTAAAGGCTCATTTCAATGAAACTTGAAGATATCCAAATTTTAAAATCTTTTTTTACAATGACTACAGGCATGATCTAATAATGAATTTTCTACTAAACAGTTTTCAATCAAAGAGCAATAAATTGATGGTGGAACCAATAGATAGCGTCTATTAGTTTAGCAGAAACGCCGCTATCTCATATATTAGGTGCCTATCTCATAATAGGGGGCTTTCCTCTAATTACATTTTTATTTAGGAAAAAAATATTACAGGAAGAAAGAAAAAATGATGTGTAAACATTTTTAACTTTGGCGTTTTTTGGCTTACAAGTTTTATACGACAAGCTTACGTACTGTAATAGCATGGTGTTACGTCTACTAATCCTTTCTTCAAACAGGTCTTCATTTTGCGGCAAAAGCATTCATTATCCGGATTCCGATCGGGTGGAGAGGCAAAATCATCCGTGAGAGTATAAAAATATCCTGGCAGGCCGTTATCCGCCCAAATCTCTTTCCTGAATATAATCGGTAACGGTCGACAAAACGCTTTCCTATAAATCCTAAAAATGGCACGCTTGTCTATATACGACGGGAATACAATACCTTCCGTGGCACCTTGAAGCATGTTACATTTTGTATTCCTAAAACGAAAAAAATACTATTTAGATTACGCTATAAACTAATAGAAACAATTAACATTAAATAAAAGTCTTATTTTATATATTTAATTAAATTTTGGAGCAATACATCTTAATATCGAGTAAACAATTCAAATACACATAAAATAAAATATATTTAATTGAAAATTTGTACATTTTATGTTGTTTAATCGTTTCCTAATTTTTTGCACAATCTCTTTAATTTTCACAAAATTCATTAATTGTAATATTGTTCTCTTGCTTCAAAAGTGACACAACTTAAAAAACATGATTTTTTAGTTATAATCATGAATGAGTTAAGTAACATTACTCTATCAGCCATAAAAAACGAACTAACTTAACCTCTTCAAAATCGTCACAACTCAAAAAGAACGATTTAAAAAAATCATCATAATTAAACCCTTCATGATTCAACCCTCTTGATCATTGATAATCCAGGCAAACTATTAATTTTGAATTATTCATTAAATGGTAAAAGGAATGGATCGGCTGCCTTTTCTAAAACAAAGTTGTTCATAATACGAACTTATTAGCCAAGAGACTGTATTGCGTCATTCGTGTTTCGTACACTGCACTGTACAGCAATAAATAACAGTTGAACGTATTCACCAGTAATCAGATGAACCGGCAAAGTTGTTTTCTTTAAGTAAGTGAATCATATGTTTTTTTGCCATTTTTAACCTTTACATGTACATACAGGGCTGGGCACATTTCAAATACTTGTATTTAAAATACAGTATTTGAAATACAAATACTATTTTAAATACTGTATTTCAAATACAATACAACATGTATTTTATATTTTGTATTTCAAGAAGGTTATTCAATGTATTTTGCATTTCAAATATAATTTCAATGTATTTTGTATTTGAAATACAAAAAAAATCCTTAATAATGATCCTTGACAACAATAATAGTAACTTAAATTTTTTTTTCATATAACGGCGATACTGATTATTTTCGTTAATTTTCAAACAGTATCAAGTCATCAGTGTTATCAAATCTTATAATCTCGCACAAAAAAATAAGTTTCTCGTAAGATTCTCGTGCGGTTGGTAGCATAGAACAATAGAACTTTTAAAGAGTACAAGAGAGTGAAGACCTAGACACAATGCGAGGAAATAGCCATAGCGAAGAATAATATGATTTCAACCTATCAGAAATTGTGTACTCCGGTGTATCGCAAACTGTTTGTGGCAAGTGTGAAATAACATTGTTGTTTTTTATTCAATTATTATGTTATGTTCTCAATGTTTCCTGCCAACTTTTGTTTCGAAGGATTATACTATATTAGAATTATTTTACTGTAATGTTTAATTATATTTGCTTATTACTCTGTTTAACAATCAGTATCATATAATTTTTCTTCACAGTTTCGATACTATCACAATATTTTTATAGTGTTGAATTCGTACAATTTCATTATTTATGTTATCATCTATCAAACAACTTTATTAATTTTTTATGAGCATACAATGTCGGGATATTTATGAGAAATAACTGAAACAAATCAGTTACTTGGTTCAGTCTTACTTTGTGTATTTACAATAAAAAATTTGAAAATATTTTGTATTTTGTATTTTAAAATAATATTTTGTATTTAAAATACAAATTTTAGAAGTATTTTGCATTTTGTATTTCAAATTGAAAAATCGAAAGTATTTTGTATCTTGTATTTCAAATGCTAAGATTGCCAGTATTTTGTATTTTGTACTTCAAATACTTTAATGATGTATTTTGCCCAGCCCTGTGTACATAAATATATATATATATAGAATATACATATATACATATATATATATGTATATATAAATAAATAATGCATTACAATTTGTAGTATTGTGCATTCTAATAGATAAATTAGATAAAACAATGGTGTGCTTATATTTTTTTGCCGATATTATTTGATTATATAATGCAATAATTTAAACAATAATAAAATTGGAAATAAGACGTTTACGTTAGAAACATTACATTAAATATTAAGCGCCACTACTGTCTGAATGTTAAGATGTTGAACTATTATATATATTCATTTAAATAAATAATGCATTCCATGCGAGCGTCCTAAGCCTTTAGACCACCGAGACATCGAATGCAAGAGATCCGGGTTCGACTCCCGGCCGAGGCAATATTTTTCGCAATAAATTTATTACAATTTTTTAAGATTAAACTTGGGAAATTTGGGGGATTAATATTTCAGATTAATTACGTAGAAAGTTCGACAACAATATCGGCACGCAATTATTATTTCGGAAATTAATTCATTAAATGAATATATATAATAGTTCAACATCTTAACATTCAGACCGTAGTGGCGCTTAGTATTTAATGTACAATAATTTAATTTTTTTCAAATTAAAAATTAGTTATGAGCTCATCAATGAGATTAAATATATTATTTTTTTAACATTTCTAATTATCTTTATACATAAATAATTTTTTATATTCTTTTCTATATATCGGGACAAATCGTAAAAATTTTTTCCTCCAATCATTAAATAATATATAAATCATGATATTTTGTTTGTGTTCATAAAAAAATTTTTTTTAATTTATTGCGACGAATTGAAGAATATCAAGTTATTGTAGTTATCGAAGGAAGAATTGTGATATCACAAAAACAAATAACTTCTCATCCAAACGCATCGGCATCTGATTACTCAGAATTTCTCAGAACGATAGATATATATAATATTTATGTTTTTGCAATGTTATTTGCGTAATAGTTTACGTTTTCAAAAGCGTTTTAAACATTAATGCGTTGTTTGATCTCTAACAAAAACTTCCATAAATTATTTTACTCTTAAAACGTCACTTAGCACCTTTGGACAGATTAAACAACGATTTCTATGTATTATATCCTCATTATACATGACTCAAGTACCCACACAACAAAAAATTCTATCGAACAATGGAACTTTCGAGTAGTGTTTGTCGTTTGTCTGTTTAGAGGGAAAACGTATTTTTCTGCAATAGGATCATTAAAATTTATAATTCTTACTCTTCTCGCGTCTCGTTGCCTTCCGTTTCGACGTATCCCCATTGCGCCATTCCAGGACTGCCGTTATACTTGTCGATGCTGAGATATCGTCCTTTCTCTTCTGCCATGTCAGCATTCTTCTGAAGAGTCACCGTCACAATATTCTCCCCCTCGTCATACATCTATCAATGATACATCAATTTTCATTTTATGCTAAAATTTGTCTCACAAGTTTTTATTATCAAAGGCTTTTTAAATACATCATTCCTTTTATAAATAATATAATAAATAATATCTAACTATTTAATTTTATTTCAAAAATTATTTATTTTGTAATATTGCATCTAATATTATCTACAATATTTAAGCAATGTTCAAATCATCTACACTAAAAAAACGATTTTGTTGAAATATTAAAAAATTCAGTTAGATACAGATTTGTGAAAATAATTTTCTCGAACTATATATCAAAATAATTATATACGTTCAAGTATAATAAGCAATGCTGTAAAAAGTTCTGACATTCTAGCTTGATCGTCCTATATAATTATTTTGATGTTCTGACAAAATTATTTTCAGATTTGTATTCAACTAAATTTTTAGATAATTTAGCTAAACCATTTTTTCCAATATAAATCGTTTGTTTACATATTTCCATAATTAGTATCAAAGAAAAATAAAATACATAATTTGTTTGAAGTTGAGAGGTCATTGAGTGTATTGATTAAATATGGATATTAGTAAGAGTAATACAATAGGTTGTTTATTAAAGTGATAACAGTATAATTTTTAACCGATTAGTAATTAATTTGTATCACTTTTACAAATGTTTTTTCGTTTTCAGTATTAATAAATCAATGTATATATATATATACATACATATATAATTATTTATTTGAATTATTAATTTATTAATATCACGAATTATTAAATATAATTATTTAAAAATTAGATATAATAATTTTTCGTAACACTAAAGCAATATATTTGTAAAATTCATTATAAAGTTAATAAAACATAGAACAGTGAAGCATATGCATATACACACAAAATTAAAATATTAGAATATAATAATTCAGAGTTTGACATAACAAAGGTTTATGAATAAAATTTTAAAATGATAGAACAATTCTCTATTGTACTGCCACTATTTATTGCCAAAGCCCGCGATTTATATATAAGAGGATAAAGCAAAATTTTATGAATTTTGTTATTATTTTTAATGTATTATTACTATTATTATGTTAATTAATATATGTATTTGCAATGCGCAATCTTACAAATTTGGATAATATCCAAAAATTATCCGAAAAACTTTGTTTAAAATATTTGTAAATTAAAAATCCTCTGTATAAATATTATATGCAAGATTTTACATCCCCATAAATATGTAATAATTTTGTTGAATAAACGCGTTACTTGAATTAATAATGCAATCAGGAAAAGATAAGTGCGGAAATTATGCGTACTCCTTGGGACCGGTGCTTAAAGTCGTTAACACTAACCTCGTGAACCCTGAAATGTGTGTAAATAGTGAAAGGATAAGCGGCTCGAAATTGCGAAAAGCGACAGCAATTCAAGACACACGGGTCCGCGTCCGCGACACTGTTCCATTTGCTTTCGCGCGCACTGTCGCATAATCATGATCAGGGTTGTGTCATAGATTATCAAATAATATTATCTGTGTGTGATACTTGTAATTTCTAAAGGAAGTATGGTAAAAACAAAAAGATTATTCAGAGAAAGAACCTTTATATTCTTCATTACACTCTTTATGTGGTTGATACAAAAAAGCGCAAATGGAAGCGCGTATATTATGGAATTGCCAAATTTGAGTAATGTTAAACAATTTATATAATAAAAATTAAATAATAATTAAAATAATTAAAATAGGTAAAGATCGTTCTTATAAATTTAAATTACGATAAATTTTGATTAATATTCTTAATTTCAACAAACTATCCTTGTGAAAAAGTACTATTGAATTAGTGAAAAACTCATTGGAATGAATAACGTACCATATTAGATTCCAATAATTTTCCAATTATTTCCAATCGTTCTTTTCTAAGTCTAATATAGATATTTTAGTTATTTTCATAAGGATAATATTTTACAAAACTAATATCTAATTTGAAAAATGTGTAAAAAATACTATTGAAATTATTTTGATTAAATATTTTTTATCTGTTGTAAAATTATTTAATTTTATATAATAATAATCGCTTTTATACGTAACCTAATATATATTTATATATAGCGGGAAAACAAAAAGAAAGGGGTAAAATGGGAAAAGAAAGAGCGTCTGCAGTTGTAAACTAGTAGCTTATTATGCATAAAGAATGCGTGCGCTTGAGTGATTCGCGTATGACATGAATTTCATGCAGGATATGTTGAAATTGCAATTTTTTTGCTAAGAGTAAAATTTCGATCTAATAATTCCACCCAGCATTTCTGCTGGATCCAGAAATCGGGTATAAATGGTTCTGAAATATCACAGCACGGTGACGTTATTTGCGAAGGTCAAGTCGTGCACTGAGAAACCGGTTTCTTTTTCATGCCAAAAGCTGAGTGTTTTTGTAGTCTTCGATAACGCATAGTATGATCACGTATGATTACAAACAATCCTTTAGTAATTAACCAATGACGTAATGCCAGTGACTGAGATTCATCATTGATTAGATTTTTTACTATTTTCTTTGTTCTATGGCATGAGACGAAATAAATTGTTGTAATATAATGTTGTAAGAAGACGTATATTTTTCCATTCAAAGGTCAGATGTAATGATGAACAGTTGCTGTTCGTCATTACATATTTTGCACAAGATCGCGCATTAAATATATTCGCTATCTAAAGAACGTCTGGATTTTAACCAGTTTGTTCACGATTTAGTAATCGCGAATGTGCATCGATGTTCGTATGATTAATTAAAATGCATCCCTTTCTCGTTCTAATGAATTTAATTCTGCGTCATTGACACTTTCGATCACTTTGGATATTTTTTCGGCTCCTTTGCGAACTGTACGTAAAGTACACGGAAAGCTGTAACTTCTGCATCCTGTTCTGCCAAAGTGAGCCTTTTTTTTATAATAAACTATGTCAATAAGAATTAGTCGTAATACATTTATTGGTTGACCAATGGACTTCAAACTGGTTATATGATTTAAAACAGTTCTTTTTCGACCGCTATATAAATATATGCCGAAGCGCATTCGCCTCCTGAATTTCTAAACCTCCTAGCGCTCGAAAAATACTAATAATTGATAATAATAATTGACCGAAAAGATTTAATAACATAATAAATGTCAACTTTATATACATCGTCGCAGATAAAATGATCATAAATAGAATAAATAATAAAGAAGTCATTCGTGAGAAGAGTCATTTCTTGACATTACAAATGAATAATTTAGGTATAAAAAAGAATTAAATAAAATTCTTTTCTTTACTTATTTTTACGCTATTTTTTTTATATAGAAAATGATTCGAATGTAGAAGAAAGTCCCCTATTATGAGATAGGCGCTTAATTTGAGATAGCGGCATTTCTGCTAAACTAATAAACCCTATCTATTGGTTCCACCATGAATTTATTGCTCTTGGATTGAAAACGATTTAGTAGAAAATTCATTATTAGATCATGCTTGTAGTTATTGTAAACAAGATTTTAGAATTTGGATGTCTTCAAGTTTCATTGAGATAAGCCTTTAAATCTTGCTTATTATTTAATAAATAAATATTTGGCAATACATTTTTCATGTAGTGATAGAGCAAGGTCGTACTAATAGAAAAATACAGGATATGTTGAATTGCTTAATTACAGAAGTTAGATTTGATGATCATAAAATCCTAAGGTATGGAAATCGTAATATGAGAGAGAGAGAGAGAGAGAGAGAGAGAGAGAGAAAGAGAGATACCCAGAGTATTTTTAATATGAAATAACCCATGCTCCTATGTTATAGTAAAAATCGTTGCTAAAGTATAAATGTTATTATACAACAATAAAAAAGACAACCGGAATGAATGTCGAGTGCCTATTTATGTAATGCTTGATTCCAAATACCTGAAGACGAGTTCTGGGTATAATCTATTGGCATGCTCATTTTTCGCGTACGCTCTGGCTGTGTTTATTTGTATTTAAGAAACACATTAAATAAAGTTTTTTAGTTGCAATACTGATATACTTTGTGTTTTACTATCAATTTCTCGGGGCATCTCATATTAGGAGCACAATTTTTTGATTTTGCGATTTGCTCATTTTTTACATTTCTTTAATTTAAAAAACAAATGGAATTTGAATTAAATTTTATATATATATAACGTTAAATTTAAAGTTTATTAAATTCCCTTCAAAATGATCTATTATTTTTTTAATTCTGCCTATAAACTTTTAGCATTTACTCAAAATGAATTCGATACCTCTTAATAGAGGCCTTTCCTCTATAATATAAATATATAAATATATCTATACAGAGAAAAATGTTTTTGTTAAACAAACAAAAAGGTCCACCCAAAATGATATTTTAATAAAGTCAAATAGAATTTTTGCTCATAACCAGAAAATGGTTATAATAATCAGAAATTCTGCTTGACTTCACCAAAATTCCATTCTGGTTGGGTCTTACTGTTGGTATAAAACGTTTTTCGTAATGTACAAATATTATCTCATATCTCATGCATATATGTATATATAGATAAGGTAATAAAGGAAAAATTGAAATAACGTTTTTTGTTTGTGGATTTATCTATTTTGGCCTTAGGAATGGACATTTCATCAGACATATGTATTTTTTTCTTTCATTACAACTTACAATATGTTAAAGAAATAGGTATAAATATTTATAAACTGTCCAGTATTATAAGTTCAAGACCAAGCTGGGACATAAAGTAATTAGTTAATAAATATTTAAATATACGTTTGCATGCGTCTTTAATGATTATAAAGTAATTTTTCATAATATTATTTATTTTAGTGCTTTGTATAAAAAATTGATTTTACTCACCCTGTCCAAGAGACCGAATTTTAGGAAGTTGATAAAATTTGGCACGATTCTACTGGCCAATTTTACTAACGAATCCTCGTAGCCCCACAGATAATCGTATACCGAGATATTGAGAATTGGTTTGGTATTCATTAAATTAGCTAATTGTACTATAGGATAGTTCACCATAAATCCGGCATCACTCAAAGCAGATGAAACACCCTGCGTCAAAATATTTTTGGGTAAAATTTATCTTATAAAATTATTCTAAATAATTATAAATATTAAATTGAATTAATCTCAAAATTAAGATTAAATGTACGACTAAATGTAAGATTGTATTTTCTACAATAAAAATAATATCCGAAGCTCTTAAATATTGTATTTTATCTTCAAGATTTCTGTGCTAAAAAAGACACAACTTTTTATATGTCTCAAGATCACGATTTTTTTGTCGTTTTTTTTTATATCGAACAAAGATCATTTAATAGTGTAGATAAATACGTATCTAAGAATAATATCGTATTATAAAGTATAATTAATGAAAAAAATTATACATAAGTTGTTTTTCGATAAAGATTACTTCATAGACTTAATGGATAATCTACTAACATAAAATAATGCGGAAGTCATATCTAGATAAAAATAAAAACTAATAGTCGCATCTAAAATGGAAAATATTATTTTAATTTTGATCACAAAGATTAATAAAGCTTAATTTTGATTAACTAAAAAATAAATAAAAAGAGCTTAATTTTTATTAACTAAAAAATAAATAAAAATAAATAAAAAGCTCGAGGGAATAGGCGCTGTTCAGAGTGCTCAAATTGTTCAAAAAATCTCTCAATATAAAAGTTAAATTTACTGAAGAGACGACAGAACAAAGAAAAAAGTTTTTTTAAGTCAAATTATAAAATAATAAATAGATGATAAATAAAATGTACTGTACATTTTATTTATCATCTATTTATTATTTAATAATTTGACTAAAAAAAATGTTTTAATTGTGGATGTTCCTTGCTATCAAGACTTTGGATTAGCAGTTTATTTTATGTGCTTGCAGTTTTCGTTGACGGACACCAAAAATTGTGAGTTCCATCCAGCCTTGTAACTGGCAAGGAAAAATGTATTATCGACAGAGAACTTAATTTGGCTTCCCTGGAGACTGCAATAAATGAATTTTACATCTTCCGATCTTTTTTTGTATACGTTAGACAGTTTAAGTATGTAACATTGCGTTATTATCGCTGAAGAAGTTAGAAGACTAACCGAAACGTACGAAATTTATTATCGTTTAACGATTTTTTCTTTGTTCTGTCGTCTCTTCAATAAATTTAACTTTTATATTGAGAGATTTCTTTGAACAATTTGCGCACTCTGAACAGCGCCTATTCCCTCGAGCCCTTTTTATTTATTTTTTAGTTACTTTTAAGTTAGGAAAACGTTATAATCAAATTTAATTTTTATTATTATTGATGAAAATATTTACGCATCATCAATCTAACCATAAAAAAACGATAAGTTGCTCAAAATATTGCATAAAACCTTAAATATTCTAAAATGGTCAAAAATAGAAATTATACATTAATAATAATAATTAATAATAATTATACATTAATAATATTTGAATTATATAGATTGGATTTTTTAACAGGAGCAAAATTTAACGAAAGAACAGACTTTTTCTTTATACTTTGCTTTAAAATAGATAATATCGCTTTCATTTCGACTTTTTTACGCAAATACGTAGTTTACATTTATTTATATAAATAACGTTCATCGAAAACAAAATCTTAAAAAGAGGATCTTAAAGATTTTTTTTAAATAAGAAATATTTAATGCATGAAAAAAATAGTATAAACACATACATATATAACTTTAAATACATATAAGAATTGTAATTTTAGTTGTCCTGGGCATCCCTTACAGAAATTAATACTGTATATAGTATTGAATTATTATAAAAGACGATATCGATCTTGGAATAGTAAATAAAACTCTAAGAATATTAATGCTAAATATATTTATTACTGTGCAAATGAGTTAATGTAAGAAGCATAAAATTTATCAGTAAAAAACGCTGACAATACTAATTACTTAAATACTTCTTATTTTGCAGACTCTAGAAAGAAGAATTGTGCAACCGTAATTAAATTGGAGATATAGTATTTTAAAATATATTATATTATAATATTTTAATTTAAATTAAATTTAGATTATTATAAAAATCAAAGACATTTTGATTATCAAATTAAAAGTGTTGTGATCTAAACTATTTTGCAAATTAAATTTTCATTTGTTTTATGTGTTATACAATACTTATTAGTTATAGTGTAAATAAAAACTTTATAATATAAAATATCGTTTTATTCTTTTTTTAAACGAAAATTTTAAAAATTTCTTTTTTCTTTTCTTTTACCAAATATATCTTAATATAAAAATTTAATTTTCCAAATAATTTAAGGTATATTACAACGTTAAATTCGAGCTTGAGTTTATCAAAATAATTATGTTGAAAACTAATATTTCAAGTAATATAATAATAATTGAAACAATAATTAATGTTTTCTACTATTTTTTACTTTTCTTAATACTAAAAAAAAGAAAAATAAGTTTTTTCGCGAGTTTTTATGTTTTCCTTTTTATATTATTATATATATTAAATAAGTGTTAGATCAAAGAATGTTCACAAACATATTTTGCTATTGCAATTTTATCAGATTCTTATAATTGAAAATTAATCTCTTATATAAATCTTAAATTAATTCAATGTAATATATAATAATAATTTATTAAATTAGTTGATAATTAATATAATTTATTATGCTTACTAAGTAAGGTATATTCGGGACGTTGACTATGTCTTCCATAGGATCACCGACTGACATTTCGGGAACATAAACTACCGTTCTTCTGGGGACATAACTTATAGTGTCTTCATTATCATTAAATGTAATGTTGTCGTTTACAAGATATTCTCTGAAAATGTATAGAGTATTTTAAATACATGTTTATTGTGCTAAAAGAATTATTATTTTTGTAAAGTACTTAGATTATGTTAGATGTAAAATATTTTATTCACAATATATGTTTACATAAGTAATATCTTATAATAATAAAAAAAATAATATAAAACATATTTACTGATATACATATGGCCCGAGTTCTTGAAGTTTAAGCTTCTCTTTGCCACTTAGAAATTCTATCGGATTGGTAATATTAAATATATATATTTTTAAATAAATATCAAGATTTGGTTCCTTCCATATTTTGAAGAGAAATGAATGAGGCCTCATTTGTAAATTCTGTAAAAACAATTTCCACTTCAGTATATTTTATTAGACAAAATATATGTATTACTTAATTTGCATATGTAATTTGTGAAATGAAAGAAAATATTTAAATTATTAATAATTATTTCGCTGAAAAACTTATATAATGATTTACTATACATATAATACATATAATGTTATATAATATTATATGTATATCTTTAATTTATGTAAGTCATATAAATTAAAGATAAATAATTTTAATCAATACTGCTTCTAAAGATTAAAGTCTTTATTATTAAAGTTTTTTCTGATGCAATAAATGTAATATTGAAATCTTCAATGTATATATATTTACAAGTTCCTTGAATAAAGTTTTAGAAAACTAAAGAATTTTTAAAAATAACTAAAGAACTTGTTAATAAAGACACTTTTACTTGCAGTACTTTATTATAAAAAGGAATAGAAATTAATAAAAATTAGGAATGCACCAGATATCCGGAAAGTATCCGGTATCCGGTATTATCCGGCACTTTTTACTATCCGACCGGATAGCCGAATATTATTAGCATCCGGTAATATATCCGGTTGAAATGTGATATCATTAAATTGTTGATTTTTCTTATACAAATGTTCTAGAAATAAGTATGCATATTCATGATGCTATTATCTTATACATTGCAAAATTATAATCTTTTTCCCTAGAGGTTTTTTTTTAGAAGACACTTGGAATCCAGTCGAATATCCGGAAAATGTCGGATATCCGACTCAAAGAAATTGCCTTCTCGGATATCCGATCGTATATCGGATATCCGATGTTACATTCTGTCCGATATCCGGTATCCGGTAATTTTACGATCCGGTGCATCCCTAGTAAAAATATATAATTATTAAATTGATTACACTGTCCGACACGGATTTTAAACAACGAATTGAACAAGGTAATTCTTACAGATTTTTTGTCGCTGAAAATAAATCCGTAAATAAAATTGCTTTATCACATCACGTTTTCGAGAAAGTTGAACCTATAGACGACTAAAAATCGTCTATTGTGTTGGCTGTTTTATGCAAGAAGTAACAGTTATAATGAAAAAAAGAGAACTTAAATAAGTAGATAAATATAATTCTCTTTGAAAATGTTTATGCAAATTGAATAATCATCTGCACGTAATGGTCATAAAGTTGCTAATTATGAATTTAAAATCAAAACACAACAAAATGATCACATATAATTAGTTAACTGTTTAAACAATTATTGTTTAAATATTTTAAAAAAATTTAATTAAACAATAATGCCATTAGATTCTATAGAAAAAAAATGCATATAAGTAGTGCATTGTATTCTCCCGCTATCCCATTTGTTGTGAAAAAATACAAAACAACAGAATTAGTTTTTAAGTTCCTCTTTTTTCAGTTCAACTATTATTCTTGCATAAAGTAGCCAATACCAACAGGTGATTTTTATAGATTTTTGTCGCTGAAAACAAATTCCAGTAATTATTCAGTTTAGCTACCGCACCTCAAAAATCAATAAATTAATTCACTGCTTTAAAAACAATTTACTACTTTAAAAACAATTCACTACTTTGAAAACAATTCACTGCTTTAAAAACAATTCACTGCTTTAAAAACAATTCACTGCTTTAAAAACAATAATTCACTGCTTTAAAAATACAAATTTACTGCAAAGAATTTGTATGTTTAAAATAGTATACTGTTGTTTTTAAGGCAGTTATGGATATCTTTAGGACCAATTTTTTTAAAAACATGATAGAAATTTTATATACTGATTCATTTTCAGCGACAAAAAATCTGTAAGAATAACTTTGTCCCGTTTATGGTCTAGAAAAAAAGTTTAAATTTGAATTAGAGACAATGATATATTATTAGAAATTAATATATACAGGATGTTTAGCGTAACGGTCCGATTTTTTCGACAGTTAAAATAAAAGTTGAAAGATGAATGTTCATAAAAAAATGTAAAAAGAATTCTTTTTCAAAATCTAAATCACCTTAAATTTTTTAAATAGTATCATACAATTTTTTTCTATAATATTGTAGGGATCTTCAAGACGAATTATGTACGTATTTGTTTATGTTCTATGTTCTAGTCAGAAGTTGTAAGTACTGATGTTACAAATAATGCTGCAAGTTTGATATTAAATATCAACAAAATTAATAAAACATCGATATACAAAAATGACATTTCGGTAGTGATTTGAATTCGTCTTGAAGACCTCTACAATGTTATGGAAAAAAATTGTATGGTACTATTTAAAAAATTTAAGATGATTTTGATTTCTTATAAAAATTTTGTTTTAATTTTTTTATCGCATGTTGCAGCTTGTATAAAACAGATAAATATTCACCTTTTAACTCTTTCTTTAACTGTTAGAAGTGTCTAAAAAATCGTGCGGACCATTATGCTAAACATCTTGTATAATGCAAATTATAGAAATTAAAGCCTTAAACGATCTAACTTGATCTTAAATGCTTGTATGATTCTTGTGTGAATTTATATACTACGTATGTAGTCCCTAGAAACGCGCCTAAATGATTTTTCGGTCTTGAAAACTCCTGTATAATAACTTAGTACCGTAAGAACTGCTTTTATGTTCTAATTGTAATATACCTAATTGATGCAGCATTTTAATCTAAAGGAAGAATTATTTTATTTAATCTCTAACAAAATCGAACATTTACATATATTTTCCCAGTTAAAATTCTTTTCCGTTTGTTGCATAGATTGCTTTATTTGTTTCTTCTACATATGTTTCTGTATTTTTGTCTTTTATTGATACTTACATATTCCAATATCATGGTTATAGGATCGATGATGTAAATCATATACGTCAAGGAGCTACATCCAATGCCTATCATGAACAAGATGATGCATTCTACAAAAAAAAACCTTCTTGAATAATTTATCATAACTTACTACAGTTCTATGATACCGCAAATAAAGAATCTTATATATAATATAAAGAATACTCAACTATAATTTCGAATATCAATTTCTGAAAGTTAATATCATAGCGCCTTTTTTATGTGCTCGAATGTATAATAAAATACGATAACATATTTAATATAATTAATGAAAAAACTATTTTAGTTAGTTTTTATGTATATTGTTTATTAACTCGTCTTTTCGGAAGCATAAATTGAAATCTATTTTATCATGTTATTTTATTTAAAATTTATATATATTTTTTTATATAATTGAATTTGTGACATTAATAGTTATTTTTTCATTGTATTAATTTAAGGAATCTATAAATTTTGTATATTTCTTTACTTTTTATATGTAATTTTTATTGTTGATTTTACATGTGTGTGTATTAATATACAGGGTGTGAAAAATATTTTAAACAAGAAAAGGTTGTATTATTATGACCACAAATTTTCAGCCAATCATTATATTTTGTTTTGAGAGCGACAAAGATGTTGTTTTGTCTTGCCCAGCATCAATAATCCATTATATTAGCATATACAATTTCATTATGAACAATTCTATCGTTTTCCATGTTGGTAAATTTTATTGAAATACTTCTTCATATCGGAGAATCGCTGCGCGCGCGAGTGAGTCGAATGCTTCCTGAAGTGAGCAACATTTCGACTGACGTGTGATCTACTTGCTGCGTTCAAAATCATCATCCGAGATTCAGAATCATCCACCCAGGTGTAATTTTATCCTTAACATTCGATGAAATAAAATGAAATTTATAAAGATATTGATTTTTTTTTCCTATACAGTACGTTTTTCAAATTATTACAGTAATTGAGGGGATGGGCGGAATAATGACACAATTCTACTTAGGCCCTTTTTCCGGCAATTAGCTTTTTCATGTAATATTGATCGTAATATAGAAATATTGTAACATGTAACTTCTTAAAGACATTACATAAATTCATTTAATATTGTATCCATTGGTGTATAATAAAAAAGTAGCAAGTTATTTTAATTTGTATTAATATCAAGATTTTATAATTAGACCTTTATTATGCCCATCCCTTTAATTATTTAAAAAAATGGGCCAATAGCTGAAACGTCCGGATGTATTGTTTTTTTTTTCGCCTAAGTATAGCTTATAAAAAGCGCATTAAAATCACCGATACCATCACCTGGTGTTCTCCTTGTAAGTTGAATTAAAAAACAAAAAATTTCTTATTTATAATTCTGAATAAAGTGACATTCATGATGCGTTTTTAAATGAAACAATGGATTTTTTACTTACAATTTTGAACTGAATAGCATTCATGACTCATTTTAAAAGAAAAACTTTTTTTTATTCAATTAGATTAAAACACTACCTTTCAATTAAAAAATGTTCTATTCATAATTTTGAATTGAGCAATATTCACGATGCACATAAAATATTATAATATTATTTTTAGGTTGAAAAGCATAGAAATATACTCCATGTCATTCCTATAAATAAATAAAAATCCATTCAGGATTCAAAAGAATTTATTTTAATATTCATGAATCCGTATTTCTGAAAATCTGAATCTATTTCAATCCATTCTTGTTTACTGGGCGTGCACAATATATTCTCGGTACACAAACCGATAAATGTGGGAGTTGTTAAAAGGTTTTTGACATCTCTAATAAATCTTTATTTACTTAATACTTCACGCTTCCAATATCCATCAAAAAGCAATGTGTCTTTCAGTACATATTGATTTACCATTTACCTTCAACTTCACCCTATCTTGTATAACAGAAGACGGATTCAGAAATACAGATTATTTGAGTGAAATTCGGCTCGATATCGTTAGTGAACTCTAGATACCGTCATTCTTCGTGTCGTTATGTGCGTAAGGGAGACCGGGGACAAAAGTAACACGGGACAATAATAACAACATCAATATTTCTTAAACTATAATAGATATATGTATGTGGCTGCGTGGTAAAATTCTATAAACAGATAGGCATTGAATCGTTCGTTACATGCTGATTTTCGCGGAACGTGCACGAGTGCAGAGGCAGAAATTACTTTTTTCATGCTTCAAGTAACTTTTATTGCGTGCACAAAATTCAAAATATTTTTTTTTTATAACAAAGGTATAATTATTTTAATATATTTTAATGATTATCTATGTTAATGTTTTTCACATTTGAGTTGATTTTTATCTAGGTTTTTATTTCAAAAATTTACTATAAATCATAAAATACCATTAGGAGACAACAGTAACATCGATGCCTGGGGTCAGTTATTCAATTTTATACTGTAGAATCGGAATTTTGTAAGAAGGACTGTTACTTCGGCTTACTTAATAGCATTATCAGTTTTTTATATTTGGCGAATACTTTTTGTAATTGGACCATGGCGTATATCCAGAATTTATTTTTTGACAACTATATCTATTCATTGTTGAATACTCAGTTGAATGTTTGGCGTAAATCTATAGGATCTTCCGTCGACTACATATAACTGAAATCAGACCTGAACAACGAAGGTCTATTTTTAATAATTTTCATTGTACTTCTATAATTAGTGATTTATGTTAATCTATTGTAGTCAACCGCTTTCATATACATACTCGTTTATAACTTTGAAAATGAAGGTGGCCGAAACGTTAGTTGATGTAGACATATTTTTATCTTGTTTTTACTTTTATTTTACTTAAATATGTCAACTGTATCATATGTACATTAAAATTTGTTTTGTTTTGGCTCGTAGCTCTTCTGATTTATTTTGTTTTATTTGAATTATTTGAGCCTTTCTTAATTATTATGTATTTTTATTAATAAAACCAATAAGATAATCATTATTTTATTTATAAATAGTATGGTACAATTGTCCCTCTCTATTGTTACAATCGTCCCAGGGTTTGGGACGGTTGTAACAAAATTCCTCATAGTCTTTAAACATAACTTTTTTTCTAGTTACATTGAAAAATTGAATCAAAGAACATTTTGTAGCTAGATAAATTCTATATCTAAAGGTATATACTTTTTTTAATGTAAATATTATATTTTAACTGTTATAACACTTCAAAGTCAAAATGTTACTTTTGTAACCCCGGTCTCTCTTATTTGTGTGCGACTCATTGACCACACATAACGATTCTGTCAAGATTTTTATTTTTAAGGATAATGATTTGTGTCAATAAGAGTTCAATGTTCTTAGACCATTTAAGAAATCTCCTTCGAAGTCATAATGATGAATGTCGGACGTCGTATGACGGATGTCGTACGTAGTGTGAATCCTACATTTCAAGTACGCTGGATTCGTTCGGAACGATCCCGAGCAGCTCCCGAGAGACAAAACGAACAATACTAATAAAAGATATATAGGACGGAAATTAATTTAAAAAATGCTGTACATAAAGATTCAGGAAAACGGATTGAATGCAAAATCTGGCACGGAATTTCTATATCATGCTTACACGAACATTCTTGACAAGTTTTGATAGTTTGATAACGCCTATTTATGACTGACTTTCTATATATGATTTATGTTTATGACTAATCGTGCCTACTTACGCGTTTACTGTACTTGTGCGACTTATTTTCAAATCTATTTATTAATATTATTGTAACATTGAACTTCACACGATACAGACAAATTTTCTAATCTTTACTTTCATTGCTAAGATGTGCGTTTTAACTCAATAGCGATCTTTTAATGCAGCGGGTGAGTTAGACAGACTTTCATTTCAATTGTTTTATAGTGTACAAGCCCTTTACTTATAAGGTTCATTTTTTAGCTTTCATTTAGCTTAACAGCTGCATGATCGATGATTACACGTGTTTTCTAAACTTGTGAATTTGGATGTTTTTCTTGCTGCGCTTCAAGATTGTTCGGTTGATTACAATTTATGCCTTAAACACTATGTGAATCTTATTATACATTGTTGAAGATGGCTAGAATTTAGCCGAAACGTCCGAAAGTTATACACGAGACATAAATGTAAGATTTCTGAATACAAGATTTTTTCATTTCGCAACGAGAACTGCGGTTTTTTAGTGCTCTTATTTGCTCATTATTTATACGAATTATTAAAATTATGCTTTTCTCTCTCGTATTAATGTACTTATTATTTATTTATTTTTATTTTTGTATATTATTTTAAATTTTTATAGTCTTATTGTTAGGAAATATTGATAAATTCAGAAGTGTGTACAATTTTTTAATACTTTTATAAATTTTGAAATGATTTAGTTATGTGACTAATTATTCTAGTTATTGCTATAAATATTATTATAATTTATTGTATGTAATTACTAATTGCAACATATGTTCCATCGTATTATTGTTATTTAGATAAACTAATTGAAATAATTTGGATTTATTACTATACTTATGAATGAAATATGTTCAATACCGTATCGAACCGAATTCCGCTCGAATGATCCATTTTCTTTCACACGAGATTAAGCAAAATCGAAAGTGAATGGTAAATAATTAGCATTACGAGTTCAATTAAATTTGTTATATATGTTTTAATAGTTAATTACGTGTCAGGGTTTATCTAAACCCATACAGCACCGATTATTGCGGACAATTTTCAAAAATATTTCAACCCCTTTCACATTTCATGTGCAACAATTCTGAAAGAATTCTGCAATATGTCATATGAAATGTTTTAACAGAAATGATTCTAAAATCTATCATAGACAATAAATTAAAAAACATATTTAAACAGAACATAGAATCATGATGTTAAAATGGCTCCAAAATGTAAAAGTCATTTCTTTTATCAATCACGAATCAGTTCAACGTCATTTTGTCATGTGAATTGTTCTACTTTAATGCAAAAACTTTTGTATATAAATGACGATGGATCGAAACATTTATTCAATTATTATATACAATAAAACTTAATTGCAATAACATCTTGCATTGGCTCTCAAAGACATTTTATTCTTAATTGATTTAATTCATTAAGTTTATAGAAATCCAACCTTTTTGGCGATATTTCAAAAAGATTACAGATTCTTTCTATAATATTTCTTCAAGCTTCCAACAAAATTTTATGTGCAAGAATCGCGGACATTTTGCTATTCCAGAGCTGTCTCAGAAATGTTGCAGACATATTTCATAATTTTTACGAAATGTTTTACTTTTCAGTTGAAACATTTCTGAGACATTTCTGAAAATTTTTCGGTGCTGTATGGGAAAGTAAACTATTTGGAATTTTTTAAATGATCATGAAAACATATATATTAGTAAACGTACTGTATAATATTGAAAATAAAAAAATAAGTAGAGGAAGGTCACCGATATTGACATACCACTTTGTTTTTAGATAATATTTCTTAAACAAAAGGTAAAAATACAACTTCAAAAACATAAATACAAAGTAAAAAGTTCTATCAGATAGTATAAGCAATTTTTATAATACTGTTTGTAATTTTGCAATAATTAAGTTTTTCGTAAATTATGCAAAAATTAGCGTCTGACAAAATGGGCTCCAAAACTGACATAGTAGACAATAATACCAACATTCCTATTTTATAAATAAAGATACATCCTATTCTGTAAAGAAAACTAATTTATATTAAACTATAAACATTTAAAATGACATAATATTATCAATAATACAGTTACCATTATTTTAATTACGCAATTTGCAAAAGAACACCGTAAGAATTTTCTTCTTGGATTCATAGAATTGATTTTTAGCTAATTTGGTATAGAAATAAGCCACAAATATATAAATTATGAGTTTGTACTTCTTTAATTAGCTAAACAGATCATGATTTTATTAGTATTAATAAAGTGCAATAGTTAATTTCTGAGAAATAAGGGGGTGTCACTTTAGGAGATCTATGTCAGTATCGGCAACTTTCCTCTATTGTATGCCTTAGATTGCATCCAAGCTATTGGAAAAAATCGTTTAAAGAAGTTTTTCTCTTTTTATCATTTGTAACTAAAATTACAAAATATACAAAATTTTTATAGATATAAAATTTTAGGATTTTTCTCGTTTAGATAAAAACTTTTAGATAAAATCGTTAATTTTAATAACAAAAATTTAAAGTTATGAAAAACTTAATTTCTTAGCTTTAAATAAGTAAATAAGAAATTGTATCCTCTTTTAAAAACCTCTCCTCTTTTAAAAAATTCTCAAAAATACTCTAATTCTAATATATACATATAGAATATACCATAGTATGAAAAATATACTATAAAGGATACTTTGGGATTGTAATGGAATTGGTGAAACGTATACAAGTATGGCGTATCGCAAATATCCTCTTACTTTTATCTTTCCGAGAATTATGTATGAAAGTATATATTTAATTTACCAAATCAACAAAATATATCTCTTAAATATTGAAATGCTTAATGGCAAATTGTGGTTTTCAGCAATCTACATATTTTCGTCATTAATCATTGCTTCGACAACTAAAGCAGACAAATTGTGGGAATTCTTAAAACTTTAAATAAAAATTTAAAACTTTCAAGAAAAAGTGAAGTATAAATTCAGGAAAAAGAATTTGTACTTCCTAAATTTTTAGAATAATGTTTCAACAACGAACTTTCAAATCGATAAGCTACTATATAAAAAGACATTTTGTTAAAAGATCTTAATTATGTTTTACGCATATGTCATAAAGGAAATGCCAATTATTTATAATAATGCTACTTCAAGTAGCTAACATAAGATAATTTATTCAACTGAGCGGGAGAAATAAATTGGATCACATAAAACATATTGAAAGCCATTCTTGGAATAAATCTTGAAGCTTTACTGAAAAAAAAATTACTTGTCATATTCTTGGATACACATTTGTTGCTGATCTGATAAAATTTTTTACACACATAATTATAAACTCGATTTTCTTGGAAATCATAGCAATAAGAATGACAGCTGCATTTAATAAAACATGAATATGTAATGCATTTAATCTGCACTGAACAAATTTTTCTTCTAAACAAATGTCTCGAAAGATCATAACTTACCTTGACTTACATCATACGTTATCTATAGTAAAGTAAAAAGAAAGATTAATCGAGGTCAATCATTCATCAAGTTTTCATTCGAAATTTTCAATTTCACCAAGCAATGATGAGATTCAAATGACATACTAAAGTCTATTTTATAGATCGATGCAGAAGAACAAATACGACATTTATGCAAACAATATGATATGAATAATATTTATAAAGATGTAAAATTAATTTTTTTATTATTATTATTTCCATTATTTATAAAGTTGTATATAAATGTTATAGCTAATTATTTGATGCTCTTAGTTTTTCGAAGAAAAAAATGTATGGGATACGAATAACCCAATTGTGTGTACTAAGGGTATAAATCTATACAAATTGTACAGTATATTAAATATACTTATATATATTAAATATTCTAAATTTCTATATAATCAAATAACAATAGTTATCACTAGACAAGGGATTCTTATGCAATTTCATACTTTTTTAGAAAACAGATTGGAAAGTAACATAAAAATATATATTTGTCTCATTAAAAAAGCATTCTAAAAATGCATATTTATTTGTGCAAATTTGCATATTTTGTGCATGTTTGCAAAAAATAAAATTTCTGCATAAAATTTCGATGTCTAATTATCACCATTAAACGACTGGGATTCGTCTACAAGTTGCAAATTAAAGAATTACTCACTTTTAAATTGTTGTAATGCAATCGTGGATTTCATGGCTGTGACCCGATTCTTTTCGTTATAAGTATTTCTCTTCGTCACCTTGACTGTAGAATCCTGAAAGGAATACAGAACCATCCAATTATTAAGTAAATCGAGAGTATAATTATGAGTAATGTACCAAGGTTAACGATATCAATTATGTACAAGGTAGCTGTCAGACTGATTGAATATATTCATTTACTATATATTGTCAAATCTATCTATATCCTTTGCTTCCTTAAGGTCAATACTTTAAAAAGTAATCTTGAGGAAGAACTGAGAGGTAATAATTATTTACAAGGTGCTCTTTCGCATACTAAATCTGTGGTTTGACATTTTATTGCGTTTAATTATAATATTTATTAAATAATAGTATTATTTCTTGATAAGGCTTTTAAGGTTTTCACAAGTACTTTCTTCAAAAATACCAGAAGATTTGCGGATTATCACCGTGTTTTTATCCATTTATTGCTATAAATACCAACGGTTTATAAACTTTGCTGTTCACTTCTGTCAGATAATAGAGAGTTTTTGCAATAATGTGGATCCAGATACGGTAAACGCTAAAGTTACGTTATCTTTTTCTTAATTAGTTGTTAAGAAGAAGATTGTTAAGAAATTGTTAAGAAGAAGATAACCTTAGCGTTCATCATATCTGGATAAACTCCCTATTGAGTATCAGTGTATTTTTCATTCTGATGAAGTGAACAGCAAGGTTCACAATGTTGACATTTGCAATTAATGACTATAAATAATATTATTAAAGATACCAGAAAGTTTGCGGGTTATCACCGTGTCTTTACCAGTAAGTATAAAAATTACAGTATCAGAACATAATATTATAATATGGAGTTCTTTTATCATTTAACAATGATTCGTTTTTGTTATAAAACTAAACTGATTATACTAAATTGATTTTATAAATAGTTCTTAATCAAGTTTTGAATGATCCGATTTGATCATTCTTTATCCCAATCGCATAGATGTATAACCGTGTAGTACCGTTTGTTTGCGGTGTAAGTAAATTTAATGCTATTCACTACAAGTTTACCGATGCCATTAACACCTTACTTATATTTGCATGACGACCACAGTTATTTCCTTCTCAGTAAAGTCCACGGACACTTTCCTCCGCTATTCTCTCTGTCTGTCGTATTGACTCACGAGACAAAAATGTTAGATTACCGCATATTACAGAAGGAATCACAAAGATATAAAAATAATATTACTTAACGTCATCTCAATGATCACTTAAATTATCTATATTTAATATTATCTAATTTATCTTGAAAATTATATAATTTAATAGCAATGTCCAATGTTTAAAATTTTAGAAATAAATTATTTTACAATAATAAATATAATTTTAGAAATAATTTTATATCCGCTCATAAAAATGGGAGATATATTGCAGTTCATTCCTAACTTAAAATAAAACCAAAATATAATGGCAAATTAATATAATATCTTAAAATAAGAATTGACAATAATAAATTTTCAAAACAAATCATATATCTCTCTATAATAAATTTTTGAAAACTAATTATAGCTGTAAAACAATAAAACACAAAGATACAATGCAATTTACTCAATCGGATTGCTATTACAAAGTATGCATTATTTTTCTTCTTTAAATAGCTATTCATTATTATATTATAAAATTTATCGCATACGTATACTTGGTAGTTCGAAAACAACGTACACGATATCATTCATTAACGTTCATTAATTCATAATTATTTTCAGATAACATATTTTAGTTCATGCTGAAGTTCGCGATTAACAATTGAATGTCTTATACTCCCATGTATTTCATCAATTGAAGGCTACGTTGTTATGTATCAATAATCTTGTCAATAAACTCTTTTCTCAATCAATATATTACACCCTGAATAGTAAAATGGAATTTTCCGTATCTTCTTTTATAATAAATAAAAATTTATTTTTAGCTTAAATCTATATAATTTTCAATGCTTGATGTGTTGTTTTTTTTATTTTCTTTCTATAATTGATTACACGAGTATAATTATCAATACTAATTATTAACTATACAATTTCAATTACTAATTGCGCATGACTGATTGTCAAGAGCAAAGATTATAAGTCGAATGGTGATAATCCAATCATTCAGTCATGCGATTTTTTATGTGATCTTATATTTCAATGCAATTTTATATTTTTAAGTAGATGAACAGAACATAAATGGCAGATTTTTAAGCACGCGTATACATAAAAAGTTAAACGTTCCAGATCATTCTGTACTATCTTGATCGCATTAACTTTAAATTAACAGCTTGTTATCACGCAAATTCTAGCTTCTCTCTAACGTAGTTGTTTCATATCGATTATTTAATCACGTCTAACTGTTTAAGTGCATTTTCACAAATTGTAGTATTATAGCTGTATGTAAATTTTTATAAGCAATATCAATACTTTTAATCAATAAACCACATAAGTGAATAATTTATTTTAATTTATTTTGAACGGATAGTTCAAAATTATTAAATGCAACAAATAATATGTATGACATATAAAATCAATATTCTTCGTAGAATTGAGAAGAACATATTATTTCTTATTTTATTACTGTTTTATCTTGATCGAATATATTAAATTATATGAATGAGCAGATATTTTTTAAAAAATCCAGAATTTGAAAAATTTTAAACTTTAAAAATAAATGATCATGTAAATAATTGTATTTTTTATGATAACCTCAATACTAAAACACAAATATGAAGTTATGTGATATAAGTTGAAAATTATGATTGGTGTGGTTTTACATATTAAAACAGCATGATCCAACGGCAATCGACAATTAATTTTTTATTGAGATCAATTAATATTCTTACTTTAAATAAAAACGTAAAATTATTTTATTATAAAATAATCAGAAAATAATCGCAATTAACGTATCACAATTTCTCTACAATCTACAGATTAGTGACAGCCTTTTTTAATGATTAAGTTAGATTTCTAATTTTCCAACACAATTTACTTTTGCTAGTATTTCTTCTTTATATAATAATACGAAAAGAGACAGAAAGAGAGAGAGAGAGAGAGAGAGAGAGAGAGAGAGAGAGAAAGTCTTATATATTCTCTTATGAGAACATTATATATAACAAATTTAGCAACATGAATCAATAAGAATATAAATAAAAAATCAAGCAAAGCTTACATAATGTAAAACTTGTGAAATAACTACTCAATTATATTTATAGATATACAAAAATAGAAAATATACACTAGAAATTATTTAAAATCATAATTAATAGAATTTATCATGTACGCTGTTATGACAATGATAAAATATTCAATAATATAAAAAAAATAGAATATACTAAATGAAATATTAAAATAGAACATTTAAATATGTCAAATTTATACGATTTATTTTTGAAAATAAATCTGATCGAAATAATAATTTACAAATTAGTTCTGTAATATTTTAATGCATAATAGACACTTAATAAATATAATTTCTTTTATAGTAAAAGAATCTTTTATAACGGAAGTAATGCATCGTTTCATGCACGGCTGTCATTATAAAATTTACATTTTACGTACAGTCTGTGATTTTTTTTCTATTCTTTATATTTTATTATTAAAGAATTATCGATTTTATCATTTATGTGAACGATGAGAGTCTTATATATACGATTTCTGATCAGAGTCTTATCTAACGTGTATACAATTTCTTATTTTCCGCTACTACAGTTTATTTTTGTATTGAATTACTGATTGTTGATTGACATCCTAAAATTAATAATTTTATCCTACGTACAATTTATATTTAAAGACAACGCTGCGACGAGAATAATTTTATTGTTATGTACGCGTAATTATTAGACGAACATGCACACACGTATACATATATGTGATATACGCATAAACGTATGAAGCATAAATGAAGGTGAAACAAGATTATACGATTACTGTGAATAAAACGTCTTCATCCATTTTATTTCCATCTCTATGAAAGCAGATTGAAAACAAATTGTGAAATTTTCTGTATATGTGAAATATTTAATCTCGTGACCTGTCGATTACGAATCGGTTACAAATCGTGGTTATCTTACACGGAGACATAACATTCGGCTCTACTGTTTAATGAAGTTGATAAGAAAAAAAATTAATTGGTTATTAGTAATTACTAATATCAAAACAAGTAAAACATTACCACATATATCAAATATTAAACATATTTTAGCAATGACAGCAATCAGGATTACGGGAAGAAATTATGATAAACTAATAACGTATATAAAACGCTTTTGACTGATCAGAGAGAAAGGTTTATAAATCATTAATATGTACAAAACAGATAATTATTTATAAATCGAGATAATTGTTACTTAATATAAACTTCCAAAACTTTAGAAACATGTTGAACTTTCCGTTTGAGGATCCACTTCAGTTGGGAACCGGTTTGTAACTCACGTTTGACGGAAGACTCAATAAAATGATTTGAGATATGTATTGCTGAGGACTCCAAAAAGAGTCGAAACGTTCGAAATAAATAAGATTCCACATAATCTAATAATAATACAGATTAATAGTACAGATATTAGTACAGATAGATTAATAATACAGATTTTAATCATTGGCACTTTTATCAGCCTGTGACTCATATTGGCCTTGTATGGATTGTTTATTTTTATAAACTAATTATTTATTTCACAGAGGAAATAAGCGTGTTTCTTAAAAGTGTATAATCAATATAATATATTCAGATTATTACGATCATGAAACAATCTATAAGTTTAGTTAGTTTTATTTTAATTATTCGGCAACTCTTAAATCTTTAAAGGCATCAATATTTTAATTGTGAATATTGATAAATTTAAATCTGTAAAAAAAAATAAGTAAAATACAATTCAACTTTCATAATAACAAAAATTCATTAAAACTTTGACACGTATGCCAGAATGTTTTCAGATTTTTATATAATCCGGAATGATAAAAATTGTTTTGTTTTTTAAAGATCTCTATTACTGACGAAAGAGTTAAAATTCATGTGTATGTGTTTATGCCAATAGAGGTTTAAAATAAAATAAATTAAATGAAAAATAAAAAAGGAAGAGATATTGTCATATATATTATACATTATCGTCAATTTCTAGTTAATTCAGTTCTTATTCTATTTTATTTAATATTTCTATATAATAGTAAAGTTAGGCACCTGTTATCTGCTACAAGAAATGCACCCGTTGTCCTCTACAAAGCTAAGAAGCTGAGCGAGACTTCGGTGAACATCTGCACAACGACGAGACGACGCCTTTGCGCTCGCCGAAATCGAAGATCACTTTTCACAATTATTCCAGTATATCTGCGAAGAAAAACTTGAAGAATAAATGCCACAAAGATCAAATGAGAAAAATAGCACCCTTCGAGATGCCGATCACTTTGAGACTCGAATGAAAAATGGAGAACGTGAGGCACTCGCCAATTCTACACTCCCTCGGCGAGTCACAGTCTCCCTCTTTCTCAATCGTATGTTTAGTGAGTATGAGACTTACTTGCGGTCCCCTTTATACCGTCGTTCACTTGGGAGTAACCCAGATGACCCTCCTCTTCAGTCCAGTGCAGCCTTGAGAAGTCGCCTGTATAGCAATATTTGCGATATATTGATACCTAATCTTTATTGAATAATATAAATTAAATACAAATAAATAGAAAACATCATATCCGGTCAAGGCGAATCTTCATGCCTAATGATAATTTTTGTGAATTTATACAATTTCCAGTTGAAGCAAACTGTACGCTAATTATTTGTCGATCTTGAAACACAATCCTAAACTGAAGCCAGAGTAGTAATTAATATAAACAATATTATATATTATAGGACCGTATATATGATAACATAAACTATAGAAATCAAAGCCTTAAACATGTAATAAATAATTAATATAAATTAAGTTTCATATAAAAATATTTCTCTATCAAAAAAAATACAGATTATAACACTAGATCTTTTCTTCTTTTTTAGAAATTTAAAAAATTAGATTAAAGGTTTTGAATACATATATTGTCTATTCTCAATGAACATTATGTTATCAAAAGGAATTCTTCAAGAGCTCATATTTGAAAATAAGATGTCCGACAATACTGTTTTGAAGATAACATAGTGATATCAATAAGTTTTCTAACGCATCGATTTTATATGAAAAAAAGATGTCATTTAAATAACATCTAAAAGAATTCCTAAATCTGAGAAATATATAAAGATATTAAAAAGATAGAGATAGCTATATTAAAGAAACTTACCTTAAAAAATGACATATTTAAAGCACAGATTTAAATATATAAATATATAAATTTAAATTCATGAATTAATTTTTGGACAAAATCGAAATTATGCTGTCGAAACATTTGATTTGTTTTCAAGATTTTCTGTTTCTACACTCCCTGAACTGGTAACACACACATGTACAACATGTTAAAGTGTGTAATAAATATATGTTTATTTCACATTAACTTATTGCACTGTATGCACCACAATTCAGAGAGTGCAAGAATAAAAAAACAGATCTAGTGAGTCTTATTTTAAGCATTCAATTAAAAAATAGTTCTGTATTAAAACACGGAAAGACATCATTATATTGTCCCTTTTATTCTATTCTGTATGGTTCTTACTTATGAGGAATTGAAATCTGCCATTTCCATTTAGTGGCGGTGCTACGTAGTTATTTATTAATTGTATTTATAAGTTGATGTCATAAAGAGTTCTTTTAGAAGACATCTTATAGAACGATGACTTTTTTATATCATTTCTAAGAGATTTTTAATGAAATGTTTACTGGGTTTATTTATTCAAGTTATAATAAAAAACTATAATTTACAGTAATACCGTTCTTCGTATTCTTATGCCGACGGCACATGATTTTTTCCTCCTGGATTGCTAGCTGGATTAGAATTTTACCACCGTATTGGCTGCGGGGCTGACAGTGCCATCATCACAGCCAATACAATAGCAAGAATCTAATCCAGCTAGCAATTCAGCAGGAAAAAAGCATCGTTTGTCGCCGGCTTTACTATTAAATATCTCTTATTTTTAATGATTTTTTACATAATAAAATAATAAATAAAAAAGGAGAAAATTGTAACTGCCTAGATAAACTTAAAATGATATTAATAAAAAAAGGTTATAGTTTATAGTATTTATGCAATGTGCTTCTTTGCTTCTTTTCTTGCCGTTTATCTTGTTTTTTTGTTTTTTGGGAAATAAAGGTATTTTATATCTTCATTTCCCATTTTCTGAGATAAAAAGTTAAAATTTCGAAAGAGGCAAAAACATACTTAATGAGAAAACGATTGTAAAAATGAATACAGCGAGAAGATAAAAAATAAGAAACAGAAAACAAAAACATCGTAAATTAGACTGAATAATCGAAAGATAGCGCAAATACAAACAAATAAGTTTTAATTTACTATTATTAGGTGTTAAACTTAATTCCTGCCGTTTGTCGTTTCCAAAATTGATTTATTTCGAAGGGAAGATGAATGAATACCTTAATCAAAGTAATTTCCTCCATTTTCTACTTTATTACTAATTAATAATACTTTGATTAAGGTTATCTCCCTTCGAAACAAATCAATTTTGGAGACGAAAAACGGCAGGAATTAAGTTTAACACCTGATAGTAAATCAGAAAACATTCAAATATGTATAATATGAATGTCCAGTTACATTGTAAGAAATATAACCACTAAACACATGTAATAAATAATTAATTAAAAGTTAACACAATATGAATAGATTTAAGTTTTGTGAATCAATGAAATTGTAGTAATTCCAATAAGGAGTCGATACTAAATGAATATGTGTATGAGTCCGTTTATTACATAAGCAAATGGTAAATGGTAAAACCATTTACTTTTATGTTACTTATATAATAAATGCACTCATGCACGTATTCATCTACTGATATCGGCTTCTACTGGCATTATTACAATTTCATGATTTCAATAATTAATACTTTCTAACATTGTATCACATACGATTAACAAATCAGTAACAACAGAGATATATATTTTTTTATCCCATCGAATGCTAAAAAATCTGCTGTAAAAATAAAGACTGTTTTTGTGTATTAAGATACATTCATTACATTCCAATACATTCTTCAGATATGTTGTTGTTCAGCAGGAGACACGATGTAACACAGTGATCATTTCAACTGCGTGTTTATCATTGGCAAACACAAGGCTTTAATGATTTATTGTATTGCATTGTATTATTTGTATATTTGTGCATCTATAATTGAATTACAATTTTCTCAGAATTTAATTTAAACAAACAATAGGCCAAAAAATTTGTAATAATTAACAGATATCTCTAAATACTCTATCACCAATTTAACAAAAAAAATCAATTAAAAAATAAAATTATATTAATTATTCCTAAATAATTTTGTTAAAAGAATTAATATTTCAAGAAATTGTTATTATATTAAAAGCAACGCGTCAGAAATAAACGTTGTGGCTAAACATATAATAATACACTACAATTGTAGATTGAGTCTCATCATGTAAAATATTATACTAGTTATAAGTGTAATCGTTCTAATAGCGATTGTTATTCATGCGATAAAAAGATGAAGATAAAAAAAGAAAACATATTTAAGCAGAACACAAATTATCAAGACATCGAACTGACGTCAAAATGATTATTAAAAGTGGTTACGAGATTGAAAAGTAAGTTTTATTTTAACATAATTTTAACGTTATCATGATTTTTGTTCCACTTGGGTACTTCTCGCATTAATCTTTTTCTTTTAAGTAACTCGAGTCCATATTTTAAATTAAATAAAGTGCCTTATTAAAGTGATAATTTGCATATAATAGCTTTATACGGTGTCTATCGATCAATCACAAGTGAAAAAAGGAAATGTATTACTTATATGCAGCCAGATAAGCAAGATTGCATAAACTACAAACCAATAAAACAGCAAACGGATAGTCTTACTAATTATTACCATCGAACTCGAAACTAGGTACCAGAAACGCGATACTCATGTGATGCAATAGTACTTATGACGAAACAACCGGTGTTTTTGCAGCGAAAATATCAATGCAAACAGTGTACTTAAAATTTTCTTATCCCTACATTCCAAACTAAAAATCTGTTTTTGACGTTTTTTAATTTTAAATACCAGCTTTGAATCTCTGCATTTTTATGATAAATATAAATAAATATTTAATATATGCGCGTATTAATTTTCCTACAAATTTATCATATAAAATATATAATTTTAAGTAACATTAATGACTAATTTCGATTATAAAAACTAATTAAAACTATACTGAAAAAATGTTGAAATTAAATTAACCATGTACTTTCAAAGAAATAATTATTTTTAATCTCATGTTGACACTAAATTAAACATGATATATTCAATGTTAAAATTAACATTGAATTAAGATTTTAATTAGCATTATTATTTATTATTCCTTGTATACTTCCTGTCGTCTTGGTTGTCGGTTATTTTATCTATAGAATTTATTCATAATTTTATTCTCATATTTTTTTTAAGATAGTTATCGCTTTCGGCTATTGCACTTTGAAATGTTGCGACATTGTCGTATTGTATTAGTTATCTCTTAAGTATATTTAGTGTTTGAATGGTGTGAAGAACTGTTCCGCAAGTAAGTTACCGCGTTCGTTTCGGTGTATTAAGACAAATTGCTAGTTGAACCTGC